TCGGGTTAATCCGTTTCAATGATACTCCCATCTATACTTCGGGTTGTTGTAATCGCTGCTGTTGCATAGAACCTCTTTGGACTATTTAGTGGCATGACATGTTGCGTGCATTACAACCGTTTGGCGGTTTTTATTTTTGTCTACTGATAATTCCAGTTTTTTTTTTCTATTTCCCAATTGTAGACTTAGTATTTAGCCCCCACTCTTCCCTTCTCTTCCTCTCAGTGGCCCTCTGGATGATGTCAAATAGTGGGGTGTCATCACCACCAATGATGCCCAACAAATTCTTGTTAATTACATAGTCAATCCGAAGATAAGATGTTGTTTGGTTGCCTGAATTGTTGGTGGCTGTAATTAATTAGGCTGTCTTTTGAACTTTGTTTTAAAGTTTGTTTTTGGGAAAGGGAGAGTTGGAAGAACGGGAAGGCTGTCTACATTCTTCAAATAATTAATTGAAAACTACTTAATTAATTCCCATGCCCAGTTTTTAATTTTGATCTTCTAACAATACTGTCTTGGATTTCTAATAGAAAAGGCCTCTAGGAGGGAAGACTGTGAGAAAATTTCAAAGACATTGATCCAAGAGAACTTCTTGGACTTCAAAAGAAGAATTTATGAAGCCATAGCGAAGTAATTTTAATTTTTGAGATTTTTTTTGGAATATTTATTTCGCCATATGCAGTGGCGCCCAACGTAAAAATAAAAGAAATTTGGTAGTTTTTTGTTATCGTTTAAAATGGCGCCCAATTGAGTAATAACTAAAACCTATAGAGAGGTTCTTTACTTCATTTTAATATATCAAATATTTATTGCGGGATATGCAGTGGCGCCCAACGTAAAAAAACAGACTGAAGAGTTCTGAGTGTTGGCGTTTTATTATTATTATTTTTTTTTTGTGGCCACCTTAGAAATGGAATTCAAATGAAAACAACCAAAAACTAATATCGAGTTCCTCTGTTTCATTTTAATTTTTCGCCATTTTTTCGAATTTTTATTTCGGTTAAAATAAAATAAATTAGAAAAGCCGACCAATTGAAACCAATCATTTTAATTTCCGGGTTTTTTCCAATATTTACATCGGTCAATACAATGGCTCCCAAGGTAAAATAACGCCCAGAAGAGTTCCAAGTTTTGGCCTTTTCTGTGTCCACCTACGAAATGACGGTTAATTGTGAGTAGGTGAAACATATATTGAGGTCCTCTGTTTCATTTTAATTGCCGGACTTTTGGTTTTTTTTTCAAAATATTTATTGAAGTCTATGCAATGGCGCCCAATGTAAACCAATGAACTGAAGAGTTCTGAGTTTTGACGTTTTTGGGTCCACCTTCGAAATGGCGCCAAATTGTGAGTAAGTAAAAACCATGGCGAGATCCTCTATTTTATTTTAATTGTCGGCATTTTTACCAAAAAAATCATTGCGGCAATGCAATGGCACCCAACGTATGGCAATCAACTGAAGAGTTCTGTGTTTTGGCATTTTTGTGCATCACGTTACCCATTTTCATCAGATTCAAATAATTGGCGGATTTTTTTCTTACAAAAATGACAAGCAGAATGTAATGCGTTGCTAATGGATCACCCATTTGCCACATAAATTTTGTAAAGGTCAATTAGTGGCACAACGATGAGGCCTTCTTCACTGTCATGCCAAAAATAGCTTCATTATGATTGGCCTAGTTTCCACTATCCAGTGATTATTGAGTAATTAAAAATCATTTAAAAACGTATTTAATTTTTAATTCATGGTTAATTTAATTATGTTTTACATTTTTTAAAAATAGAAAATGACTATAAAGATTCGTAAAAAAGATGAAAGAACGCGATCTCAGAACTATGTGTGTAAAAGTAGGTAGCATTTATTGGTCCACTATTTCATTTAAATTTTAGATATTTTTGGAATATTTATTGCCCACCCTGTGCAATGGCGCCCAACGTAAAATAACTAAAATTTAGCGTTTTTTTTTTGTGTTCCTATTTGAAATGGCACACAAATGTGATTAACTGAATCCCATAGCAAGGTTCTCTACTTAATTTTTTGGAATTTTTTCTAAATATTCATAGCGCAAAAAAAACTAACTGCGAAGGTCTTTAGGAGAATGCTTTCTGGTCTTCTAGGAAAAGACTTTCTGATATTCTATGAGAAAAACGTCTTCTTTGTGTCGGGTCCTCTTTTGAAATGGTAACCAAAGAGGTACTCTATTTTTTTCTAAATGTTCATTGGAATGGCGCCCAACGTAAAGTAACAAATTGGAGAGTTGTGAGTGCGGTTTTTTGTAGGTAGCCAAAGCTATAGCGATGTCTTCTATTTCATTCCAATTTTTCTCTCGAAAATTAATTGTGGCGCATGCAATGACGCCCAACGTATTTTACAGGACGTTTATTGATATGTATATAATTTTTTCGAAAAATTGTTGCAGTCTATGCAGTTGCGCCCAAGGCAAAACAGTGGTTACATTTTTACTTTTTTTTCTTTAGAAAGGTGTAATTTTTTTAGTTTTATTTTTGCAATTTTCTGCATTTTTTCTCAAGTAGCGCCCAACGCACGATTAAAGTTTTCCGCATCGGGATAACGTAACCGTTTTTGAAAAAAAAAACTACAGAACGTTTCTTAAAATTTAAACGAGAAAATTGGGTTTCATTTAGAAAGGATAGGATTATTTAATTGTTTTTCCCCGCATATCGAGTTATGTTAGACAAATATCCGAAATGTTTGGGAATTAATATTAACTGGCGCCCAACGTGAAAATTGGATTTTATTGCGAAATTGACAGTATTTCTTAGAGATAGGACTATTTTACTGTTTTTCCCCGCATATCGAGTTATATTAGACAAATATCAGAGATGTTTGGGAATTAATATTAATTGGCGCCCAAGGTAAAACTGGGATTTTATTGGTAAATTGATAGGATTTCTTAGCGAAAAGACTATTTTATTGTTTTTCCCCGCATATGGAGTTATATTAGACAAATATCCGAGATGTTTGGGAATTAATATTAAGTGGCGCCCAACGTGAAAATTGGATTTTATTGCGAAATTGATAGGATTTCTTAGCGATAGAGCTATTTCATTGTTTTTCCCCGCATATCGAGTTATATTAGACAAATATCCGAGATGTTTGAGAATTAATATTAAGTGGCGCCCAACGTGAAAATTGGATTTTCCTGGGAACTTATGGATTTCTTAGCGAAAAGACTATTTTATTGTTTTTCCCCGCATATCGAGTTATATTAAACAAATCTCAGCGTTTTTCAGGGAATAATGACAACATATAAAATGGCGCCCAACGTAAAAATAGGATTTTATTGGGAAAATGATAGAATTTCATAGCGATAACACTATTTTACTGTTCTTTCCAGAATAAATCGTCGTATATTAAACAAATTTTCGAGATGTCGGGAATTATTAACCACATAGATAATGGCGCCCAACGTGACAAATTGGAGTTTATTGCAAATTGATAGGATTTCTTAGGAATGGGATTTTTTTTTATTTCGAAAAATCAATTTTTTGACACTTCACAGCAAAAATTGAGTTATTTTAACAAAATTTCGGAGATATTGAAAATAATGACAACATAGATAATGGCACCCAACATGAAAATTGGATTTATTGCTAGAATTGCCTAATTTTGGCTAAGTTTTTTGACTCTATAGACAAATCAAAAAGACCCAAATAATATTTTGGAACATTTTTTGATTTTACAAAAAAAAAAAGCAATTAAACATAAAAATATGCCATAATTTTTATAAACTTCCTACAATTACCATTTATATTTGAATTTTTTTTTTTAAAATATTAAATTGAGTTTTTCTCAGCTAATTGAGAAATCTATTGGAAAAAATCAATTAATATTTTTTCCAATTCCCTCACCAAATGACTTGCTGATATTTTCAAATACGCCCAGAACATCAATAACTAATTATGATGAAGAGATGAAAATTTGTTCTCAACTTCCAAAAAAAAAACTTACTTTCCAAACCGTTAGCTATTCAAAATGCAACAACAACACCAAAACAATCAACGATTTTTTCCAATTATAAAAAAAATGCATCATAAATCACCTATTCCCTTGACCAAACAAACTAAACGTCAGTGATTGTTGGCACTTTCCTATTTGGCCATCAGCTGTCGCTTCAGCCATTCCATTTACCTTGGGTTGTAAATCAATTTCATGTTGTCTCGGGAACTATCCAACATTGTTTCTTTCTTATCTTGATTTTGTTTTTGGATATTTTTCTCTACTCGGGAAAAATCACATAACAATTAATAATTTTCCATTTTTCCACGGAGGGGGAAATTCAAAAAAAAATATTGAAAAAGACAAACAAAAACCCAAAACAGAAAAAAATGTTGGAAAAATTCTTATGGCACACATTTGTAGCGTCTGTTGTGTTGCAACATCATTACAACAATTACAATAAAGTTTGTCATTATTTGTTACCTGGATTGAGGACAACAAAGACTTACATTCCAGGTACGGCAGGGCACACTTCAGGTAGAAAATGAAAATCTAAATGTACACACAAGCAATATAAAGACAATAAGGATTAAACCAGGAGATAACAGTCCTGTTTGCTTTTGTTGTTGGTGGTGGTGGTTAAATCCTTGCACGTACTATTTGTACAATGCATCCTGACGCGTCATTCATTTTGGGGTGGGAATGCCAGAGAACGTAGCATAATTCTTTTTAAGGACGGCGAGTGAGAGAAAGAGAGCGAGAGAGCAAGGGAGAACCCATAAATATTTGATTTTTAGGGGATGAAGATATAAAGCCGGCTTGTTGGCGGATTAGGCTAGTCATTTTAGAAGCGGCTTTTAAACGTGATACATCGATCCTAGATCGTTAGCTAAATTTCTTAAAAAAAAAAAATAAATTTATCCGAAATTTTCTTTTCCTCTCTGTTACTGCTTTAAGGTACAGCTGATCCCAAATAAACAAAAAAAACAACAACTTTACATTCAAACTAACAGCAAAATTTTCCCGCTTTCTCTCTTACAGCTTGTCTCAAGGAAAATCAATAACCCCAGAAAACCAGTAAACGTTTAGGAACACCCGTAAAAGAAGTATAACCCACAACAACCATGGGAGAACAGGAGGAAAAAGAGATCCCCCAGAGTGAGAATTCCACACAACCAGAAGTGGCCGAGGCTGAACCCAAGGAAACCGACAAAATGCTCGAGAAAAAAGATGACAAACCCAGTGCCGAGGACACGAAGAGTAAAAATGGTTCCAAGCCCACAACACCCACGGCCACAGAGAAAACGGAAAAGAAGACACCAGCCGGTTCACCAACTTCGGAAAAGAAAAAAGAGGAAATCATAGACATCCCCGAAGAGGAAAATAACGACGAGGCAACAAAAACAAATGGGGCCGGAGGTGAGGGAGATGAACGTAAAATGTCGGGTGAGGAACGTGAGGTTAAACCCAAAAAGATACCCATTGGCGGCCTGAAATTACCCGGCTTCTTTGTCAAGAACAAACCCAAGGGTGAGGGTGATGGGGCCGAGGGAGAGCTCTTGGAAAAGGAACCCAAAGAGGAAGAGGCCAAGACCGCAGAGGAAAAGACCAGCAAAAAGGAGGAGAAGCCTGGCAAGAATTTTGGCCAACGTTTGCGTAGCTTTTTTGTACGCAAACCGGCTGCCGAGAAACAGGCCAAACAGGCGGCCAGCAATGAGGCAGACAATAAAAGTGGTAAGTTTTTCCCCTCTCTTTTTTCTCCCACATTCAATTGCTAATCTCTTAATTTTCCCTACAGAAGCCACAGCCGAAGCTGCTGCCGCCGAGGATGGTGAACCTGCCGATAATCCTCCCAAGAAACGTGGCCTCCTGAATGCCATCAAGCTGCCCATTGCCAATATGGTGCCCAAGAAAAAATCCGATGATGATGTAGAGCTGGGTATGGGTAAGGCCGGTCTGGCCTCCATGGAAACCCTGGATGATTCACTCAAGGATCAAGATGTCGTCGATAAGGCAGCCGTCACCAAAAATGGCAATGACGATGTTGGCAAACTCAAAAAGTCACCCAGTGGAGAGATCAAACAGGCCTCCAGTGATGAAAAATCTCCCGATGGTGATGAGGAACAGCCCATATCGTTTTGTCAACGTTTGCGCTCCTACAAATGTTCGGTGGATGATGCTTTGATTGCCTTGGGTATCCTGCTGTTTGTCCTGCTAATTGCCGTTATTGGCTATGTATTGTCGCATGAGGGCCAAACTTCGCCTCCCATAAGGGAGGGACGTTTCATGGATGCCGTTACCGGTTGTGGCATGGTTGAGGGTCTGAAAGAAGATGGAGCCTTTGCATTCCGTGGCATACCCTATGCCGTGCCACCGGTGGGCGATAGACGTTGGCGTCCAGCCCAGACCATAGAATCCATTAATGACTGCTGGAATGGTACGCTGAAGGCCCACAACACCAGTGAGGTGTGTACCCAAATTCTGGGCAATGGCACGGTGGTGGGTGATGAAGATTGCCTGTACTTGGATGTGGTGACGCCTCATGTACGCTATGAGAATCCCTTGCCCGTGGTGGTAATGATTGGCGCCGAGACTCTGATGGGACCCTCACCGGGCATTGTTAGGCCAACGGCCAGATTTTCCCGGTCACATGATGTCATTTTTGTGCGACCCAATTTCCGTTTGGGACCATTTGGTTTCCTGGCCTTGGAAATGTTGACCAAGGACACCTATCCCCATACCTCGGGTAATTATGCGCTGTCCGATATCATTGCTGCCCTGAACTGGATCCATTTGAATATCAGACATTTTGGTGGTGATCCAAAATCGGTAACTCTGTTGGGTCACAGGGCTGGTGCCACTTTGGTTTCCGCCTTGATTACATCGAAAAAGGCAGAGGGTTTGTTTACCCGAGCCTGGATTTCCTCGGCCTCGGCCATTTTGCCCGGCAAACCATTGAGTGAATCGGAAAAGAAAAACGAAGAATTGGCCCAGGCTTTGGATTGTAAGGATGTGGCCTGTATGCGCAACGTGGAGGCGGAGAAGTTATGGGATGCCATACCCGATACCTGGTTACATTTCCCTGCCGATATCCCAGCGGCCGAGGAGAATACCACAGCCCATCATGAATGGTTGGTCTTGGATGGTGACATTTTGAAGGAACATCCTGCCGAGAGCTGGAAGAAAGAACATGTTGGCAAGCCTCTGCTGGTGATGGGAACCACCGCCCATGAGTCACACACCGAGTCACTGCACAAGCGTTTTGGCAACTGGACCGCCGAGGAGATTAGATCATTTTTGGAAAACTCCAAAATTGGAGCCTTGAATCTGACCGATGAGGCCATTCAACGTTACAATGCCACAAATTACCGGGCCTTAGTGGCCATGATCACCGACATACGTACCGTTTGCCCTCTGCTTATAAATGCCAGGCTACAACCCTCGGTGCCATTCTATGTGGTCAGCCAGGGTGAGGGTGAGGAACAATTGGCCACCGTCGATGCCGATATCCAGGCCATTTTGGGTCGCTATGAACCACATACCGTGGAACAGCGACGATTTGTCTCCTCAATGCAACAGCTGTTCTATTACTATGTTGCCCATGGCAATGTACCCTCCTACGATCCACGACGAAGAGTCATCGATGTGGGCCAAGACCCCCTGTCACAGGAAGATCATGCCAATTGTAATTTCTGGATAAGTAATGATATTGTACCGCGTTATGCTCGAGTTGATTAAATGCCAGAAAAGTAACAACAGCAACAACAACACAACATCATTCAAAAGGAATCGAAAAATAAGAAACCTAACCTCCAAAGATCTGAAGAAAAAAAAAATTAGGTGAAATGAAAAAAAAGGAGGCGGCAGCTGGCCCAAGCGCGAATGAAATGAAAAGGAAATGATGACTGATGTTTATTTAACGACTGATTTATTGATATATCTACAAACATACATACAAACAAACACACCAGGAAATCGAAAAAAAGGGAAAACTTGGAGCCTCCCACTACCCCCTCTCCCCTTTGGAGAAAAAAGAAAGAAAAAGTAGCCTAAATCCTATGAATCTCCCAGTTTTTGTTTTTTGCTTTCCCAAAATGGGCGACTTTTTGGAAGGACAGGGGGAGGACTGGATATTACCTTAAGATTCAAAATTTCCAAAAATAAATCCCTGCCCTAACCCCTCCTCTCTCTCTCTCTCTCTTAAGGGTCTAATTTAATTTTTTTCAAAAATAAACCCCTGTTCTAATCCCTGCTCTCTATTTCTCTCTCTCTCTCTCTCTTAAGGGCCTGGATAATATCCTTTAGATTAAAATTTTTCAAAAATAGAACCCATGCCCTCTACTCCCCCCCCCCCTCTCTCTCTTTGTTAAGCGCTTAAAACCCAGAATCTCCAACAATTTTATTTCGCTTTTCCAAATTTGCGGCTTTGAAGAGGAACATTTTTTGACGGAACTTAGACATCTGCCTACCCCCCCCCCCTCTCTCTCTCTCTCTCTCTCTCTTTTAAGGGCCTGGATAATATCCCTTAGATTCAAATTTTTCCAAAATTAAATCCTTGCCCTAATCCCCTCCTTCTCTTTTTCCTAAGAATCCAAATCTCAAGAATCTCCAACAATTTTACTTCGAATTTCGAAATTTGCTGCTTTGGAGAGAGACCTTCTTTGGAGGGGTCTTAGATTGGAGATATAAAATGAAAAAGGAAGTGGCTAATGTTCCCTGGAAATCCTCCCTCTCTATCTTAAGCGCCCAAATCTCAAGAATCTCCAACAATTTTTTTTTCGCTTTTCCAAATTTGCTGCTTTGGAGAGGGACGTCCTTTGGAGGGGTCTCATATTGGAGATATAAAATGGAAAAGGAAGTGGCTAATGTTCCCTGGAAATCCTCAAGCCTTTCCCCTAAAGGGGACATCATGGCATGGTATATTAATGGCAAATTATAAGGCATGGCAGGGGTCTCAATTCTTGTTCTTTGAAAAAAGGGAAAATGAAAAGTTTTGTAAAAAAAATAATTTCAAATGAAAATTTTATAAAAAAAATATTTTTCATTTCATATTTTCAAAAAACAAGAATATAGCCCCAGATTCATGGGCAACTCTGGCATCCTTCTATGATATAATACAAATTGTGTCCTGCCCTGAAGCCTGCCAAGCAGCTATGCCATCATCTCCTTAAATATTTCCCTTTTTTTATAAAATTGTATTTAATTATTTCAAATATTGCTCATTTCGAGCCCTTTCCCCATTCTCCCCCCTTCCCCTCTCCTCCCTCACCCAGCCAGCTTATTTGTGTGTATGTGTCCATTCTTCAATTCATTCTCTTCTCTCCACGAATTGGAAGCAAAATCTAATGCAAAAAAAAAAAGAAACCAACAATTTTTTGTCCTTAGTTAAGTAAGAAAAACAAAAAACAAAAACAATTTAGCATTTAACGAAAAAAAATTTTGTACATTTTTTATAAAATATAAGTTTTTAATTTTATACATGCATATATTATATAAATATTATTATTATTATTAATATTATTTTTTCATTTTTTTATATATAAAACAAAAAAAAATTATATATTTAAATAAGTTATGAACTAAAACAAAAACAAATTTATAAGAAAAAAAAAACTAATTAATTACTTATGCAAAATTTATAAATTGATATATAAACCAAGAAAAAAAAGAACAAAAACAAGAAACAACGTACATGCAAACACAACAACAACATACATATTTTTATGTAATTTATAATATGATATGAAACAAAACAAAACAAAAAAAAACAACAAATACCAACAATGATTATAATACAAACAACAACAACAATACACCCAATAAAAAACACAAAAACATACTTTAAAAGTATACAACAAAATGTTTTTTTTGTCTGATATTTATATACAAACATAGCAACACATAGATAAAATTTTGAAAAAAAATAATAAAAAATTGAAAAAAAGACACAAATTGGCAACTGGGAAATTAAAAAAAGTTGATAAAAAAAAAAATCAGAAAAATATTTAAAACTCATATTCGAGAAATTTTAAATTTAATCATGCCTTTCTCATATTTCGAAGACTTCCTTTCAATTGATAAAAAAATAAAAACAAGTTAAAAATATCAGTCCGTTTTACCGACAGATGTATTACCCTTAGCCATTTCTTTATTATTTAAATATATTTTGACTTCTGGAATAATCCAATTGGTGACCCTCTATGGAGAGGATCTCCTATATCATATTTTATAAGAGTTTTATTTATTCCAAATTCCAAAACCGGATGATCCTTTCTCATTTTGTGTAGTAAAATATTTTTTTTGAAAATTTCGACCTTTTGTGGGGAAGGTACCTGGATCCATATCCCAACTTGATCTTAGTTTGATAATAATATTACGATGTACCAAGTTTGGACGAAATTGGATACTCCCTTCGAGAGTTATCGTGGGCATCAGCCAGCAGTTGGGTTAATAAAAATATTATGATGCGTGCAATTTGAAGACAATCGGACATAAGAGTTATAATTATTCAAAATTGTGACCCTTTGTGCGGGAGGTACCAGAAGGAGTGGACCGATATATTCCATCTTCACACCTGACCTAGCACTGATGCAAATATTAAGATTTGCAAAGTTCGAGCAATATCGGATTATCCTTTCTCCTTCTGTGCAGTAAATTATTTTCTTTGAAAATGTTAACATTTTGTGGGGGAAGTACCAGAAGGAATGGTCCGATATTTTCTATCTCCAAACTCGATCTAAGTTTGATAATAATATTACGATGTACAAAGTTTGGGTCAAGTCGGATATTTCATTGAAGAGTTATCGTGCGCACCATTCGGGCAGACGGTCGGACGGACATCGCTAGATCGACTCCAAATGTCCTGAAACGGATTTGGTCCAAAGAGATCTAGTTCCTAAAAGCGTTACTTCGATGAGGCACATTTTTGCCGTATCTAATGAGCCATATGGCTGAGGGTATAAAAATATTAAAAATTCAAGTTAATAAAATTCATCAAATTTTTGAATTCAAAAAAAAAAAATACGATAATTAAAAATTCCAAAAATTATATTTAGGAAAAAATATTTCCACATTTTTTTTGAAAATTTTAAAACATTTTCAAAGCAAAAATACTACAAGATAATTTTTCTCTTTAAAATTAAAGTAAAAATCATTCAAATTTATGAAATTCATCAAATTTTTTAATTCAAAAAAAAAAAAGAAATAAACATATCCCGTTCCTTGGATATTAAAAAAATCTTAAAATTAATGTACACATTTTTATTCATGATTTTTTTCCAAAAATATTTTTTTTGATTACAGTTGCCAATTTTTCATAAACTAAATATCACTTAGAATTGAGAGGACTCTTTTTAAGCGCAGAAATATTGAATTTTTCGAAAAAAAAAACCGTAAACTTCGGTGAATCCTTTATATGGAAGTTATTTTATGAATGTTATGATTATAATTTGTTTGATTTTCAAGCTATGCCAAACGTTTTCTAATTGGAAAACTAATTTTACATTTTAAGAGAGTTATTTTTAAAAATTTTCACCATTTATAGGTAGGTACAAAAAGATGGAGAACAATACTGATAGTTTCTGACGTAGGATTCATATAAATATTACTACGGACCAAATTTGGACCATATAGGATACTTGATGTGATTTTTGTAAGATGATGATTTTTGTTCGAAATTTTTGAACTTCTAGTGACCGAGGAGGTATTAGAAAAAAGGGTCCGACATACCCAATTTTAACACTTTTAATAATTATTGATAAAAATATTGGGATGTTCAAAACTTAATGAAAATCGGTCATTGATTTTAATGGATTAGGCGGAATATCGCTTGATTGACTCGCAAATATGGTACATTTTGGCATATGAAATTGTTTTAAATGTTGAGGCTATAAAAAAACATGTAAAAAAACTGAACCACCATCGGGAACGAATTTGGCAATTTCCAAAAATAAAATTCGTTAAAAATGCTGTTAAAATCTTAAAAATGCTGAATGGAGCCGTTATATTAGGGTCCATACGATGACGTGGATCTGCATAGGTAAGCCATTAGAATATTCAAATGCGAAACTTGAAAAAAATCGGTAAATAATGTAGCTAAAATTATCAAAATACCGAATATCGGGAGGTACCGCTATATGGGGGCTATACGAAGACATGGACCTGCACAGACAATTTTCTGTCCTAGGCTGGTCATAAGCATTTCGAACTTCAAATACGAAACTTGAAACAATTCCGGCGAACAATGTCGCTAAAATCACCAAAATACCGAAAATAGGGAGGTACTATTGTATGAGCCTATACGAATACGTGGACCTGCACAGACAATTTTCTGTCATAGGCTGTAGTATCCATTACATCACATACATCAAATACGAAATTTGAAACAATTCCAGCGAATAATGTCAAAATACCGAATAACGGGAGATGCCGGTATATGGGGGTTATACGAAGACATGCACCTGCTTTAGTACCCATTAAAATCTTCAAATACCGAATAACGGGGACAGTCAGTCATAGGCATACATTACCAACTTTAAATACGAAATTTGAAACATTTCCGGTGAATAATGTCGTTAAAATCATCAAAATACCGAATATCGGGAGGTACCCTTATAAGAGAAGACGTGGACCTGCACAGACAATTTTCTGTCTTTAAATACCAAATTTTAAACAATTCGGATAAGAAATGTCGCTAAAATCTTCAAAATACCGAATATCGGGAGGTACCGCTATATGTAGGCTATACGAAAACGTTGATCGACATGGCCCATTTACGAACTTAACCTGCCTATTGGCAAAATACACATGTGTGCAAAATTTTAGCCTTCTATCTCAATTCGTTCGAAAGATGGCGTGATTACAACAGACAGACACACAGACAGGCGGACATCGCTGAATCGTCTTGGAATTTTACGCCGATCCAGAATATATATATACTTTGTAGGGTCTATCGTCAATATTTCGAGGAGTGAAAAATGGAAAGAATGATGGAGGTTATAAAAAGGCAGGAATAAAATTCTTTAATTCGCCCAGACCCTTCATGGGCTGAAAAGCAGCCTTCGACAGAAAATAGTATAAAAATTCTGTATTCATTAAAAATTGCACAAGTTCTACATCTTTCTAAAAATGAAAAATCCTAAATTAGAAAACAATTGTGCCCAAAATATTTTCAAAGCCCTCAAATACGGAATAATTGCGGGACTATACGGAATAAAGTTGGGGACTCTCTACTTACTAAGTGAGATAATTTTTAAACGGTAAATATTTCAAGCGTAAATCCATTTAAAATTTTCAAAATTCCAAATATTGGGAGCCATACCGAAAAGTGGAATTTTACATAAACGTTTTTGGCAGTAAACTTCATACTCTCTAACAATAAAAAAAAAAGAGTTTAGTTCGGAAAGCAACCTCCTTCAAAACAGTTCTATAAGTGTCGAGATTCAATATTTCACCGTTTCATGTTAACGAGAAGATTTCTGTTTCAAAAAAAAAAAAAAAAAAAACTTGAACATGTGGTTGCCGTATGTGGAAGCTATACAAAGTAAGCACCATCAGAGGTGCCGGTACACATAACGATCTTCAACAACCAAATTCCAAATAATTACATTGAAAATGTGGCTCGGTTCCTTAGAATAGCGAATATTGGGAGGTTACGTTAGAAATGTATTGACTTTACTGTGGTACCCCTTACTAAAACCAAATAACCAATTTTAAAAAATTTCAATAAAAAACTGAGGCTAAAATTATCAAAATGTAACACAGAACAGCAATGAGCTTTCTGATACTTTTCAACTTCCTTTCAACTATCAGTGATATATATGACTACACTTCATCAGAAAAAACACACTCACACATATATGACACCCAAGTCTCTATATTAAAAAAAACAACAACTTTTGGAAGCATTTATTCAAATTAGACAAAAATCCCAAATTCAAGGTAAACAATTTTTGAGACTGTTGTTAAATAAAAAAAAAAAAGGACGAAAAATAAAAAATATATATTTAATAATAAATTATAAACACATAAGTAACAAAAACAAAGAAATTCACACACGATTTGTTCTATAAAAATTGATAAAAAGTTTTCTTTTTTATTTAGTTATACAATTTAGTAATAAATAAATTAAAGGATATTAAAAATAAAACATACACGAAAAACCGAAAATTGAGTAGACAAAAAATATTTGGGGCCAGTTCTTCAAAATCGGATTTTCTTTCTTTTTAGAAAAGTCTACACAAACGAGGAAGATAGCATTTTTTTAAATTAGCTTTTTTAATAATACTTTAAAAACCAAACGGAAAAAAACAAAACAACAAATTGACGACAGCGTTAAGAAGTAAAGAAGTAAAAAAAATAAATAAATAAAAATCTAATTTGGATATGTGTTAATTTTTTTCTTAATAAAAAATTATAAAAAATAAAAATCAGCATTTATTGATTTTAATGGCAAATGGGTAAGGAAAACAATTTTTTTTTAAATCTTTTTTTTCTATTTCTATTTTGTTATGTTTTAAATAAAAATTGTTAAAAACGGCAAGTAAATTCAAGACATTTGTATTATCCTTAATTCTTAATTAAATATTTTATTTTCTTTTTTTTTTTTTGTATTTTTTTACCAAATAAATTAATTTTTTTCAGTCAATTATAGAAATTTTGTCATAGTTGTACTTAATATTTGCATTATTTTAAAATAATATTGCCACATTTTGAATTACAAAAAAATTCAACCTAACCTAAAAATTACCTTATCATGTAATTTTCAAAATTTGTACTATTTTCTTCACATTTTCCATATACACGTCAAAAAACATGCACATTACATCCACATTTATCACTAAATTTATATAAAAAATAATTAAATTAATACAATTTTGTTAGGTTCAAAAAAACCTAACCTTAATCTTAGCCTCTAAAATTTAAGCTACATTAAACTACCCGATTTACTTAGTTTATATATAAAACATTTGGATTTATTTAATGCCGCCAAATATGTCAAGTCATTCATATAAATGGGGCAGAGATCATAGATTATTTTTGTCACAGGATATGATTGTATGCTCAGCTGATTCGTTTCATTTGTAGCGAACAAAGAAAGTAATTTTTGGTCCTGGGCATAAGCAGCCACAATATTATTATTATTTAACCTAATTTGTGTAGATCTCGAAGTCACGGGACTAGAAGTTTTGGCATAATACACCTCGAGAATTTGCAATGTGGGAGTAGCATTCAATTTTGTCAACTTTCCCAAAATGTGACGCATACGATGTTGTCTAAGGGAAGTACCCAGCTGCACAAGCAATGTTTGCGCCTCTTTATTATAATTCATGGATACGATATTCTCCTGGGATATTAAACATGTGGCCAGGACACCACTTTCTCGACTATGCCTGATTTCATAAAACCACAAAGAAGTCTTTTGACAAATGATAAAACCCCCACAGGGAAAGTCCAAACTCTCTTTAACAATTTCAATTTGTATCACAGGTGTGGTGTCTTCCACAATTTTATGTTCCTGACGATAATTTCCAGGATTACGTATATCATATACATAGATACAACCTTGATGGGATCCCAAAAATAATTCATTTTCATTACCCTGGCAAGATGATATGGCACATGACAATATGGGAACCTTTCCTGGTTTAAATACCGTAACGGCCTGATAGTTTCTCAAATCAAAAAGTTTCGAAGATCTCTCTTTACTGGCAACAGCAATTAAATTTTGCTCCGCCGACATTGTTATGTCACACACCATTTTCTGGGAGGTATACAAATAATTGGATGACTCAAAACTGGGGGCATTCATGAGTCTCAGCCCGTAGCCGGGAAAGAAACCTTTTTGAGATACAATTAATTTGGTTTGTTTATCGGCATATTTCATGATACGACAACAGGGTTTGCGTGATATCGCAATGTTCCTATCTAAAACTAAACTATAACCACTATCACCATTACTAGCCATTACATTCTCCTCCAGTTTCTCGTAAGAACTTTCCACATCACTCCTCTCTAACGATCCCCTCAGTGTCACATGGTTAGCCTCCAGCTGTTGCATTTTCTTCATAACATCCGCATAGGACATTTTCATGGAATCCAATTCAAATTCTAAAATCTGTGTCCTAATTCGTTCTTGTCTTAACTGCTCTCGTACACGTTGTTCCTCACTGCGATCGATGACCTTTAATCGTTTGGCATACAAATAACGTATGTGTCTTTGCCGGGCCTTTGTTTTACACTCTGGACACGCAGATTCTTTTAATCTAATTCGTATACAGGATTCACCGAAAAAGTGTCCACATTTCAGAGAACATAGGCGATGTTCTCCTGACATTTCACAATTTTGCATACAAAGTGAACATTCCAAACCATTATCACCATCCTCGTCTCCACCATTATCTTCATCTGGGGCATTTCTTTTCAAAAGATTTTGTATTAGGCGGGCACGTTGTTTGCGGGGATTTAATAAAGGTAATTCCAACTTTTCATTTGTTTCATAGCCACTGCTGTTTGTGGCCTCTTGCAATGTGGAACTGCCAGTTGTGTTTTCATCATCAGTACTATTGGCACTACTACTGCTACTATCGCTGTCGGAAGTTTCAGTTTCCGTCGAAGCATCTAAGGAAATGGAAATGCATTAATAGTGTGTACAAAAAACCATTGTTTGGCTTACCTGACTCAAAGCCCGATAGGGAGTTACTGCTGCTAGGACTGGATACAGATTCAGTATCCGAACTGGAATCAGAACTTGTATTGTCGCCAGTAGCAAAGGAGGCCATGTTATACAGAAAAGAAATTAAATTGAAGACTATTGCTTTTGTATCAGGAAAATAACAAAACTTATTCTGGAGGCTTTTGAAAGGGTAGTTTAATAAATATGTAGCAGAAAAACTCACGCGAAGCAGGGTGGGTGGAGGAAATGGCCGATAAAAGCCAAGAAACAAAACAAAATCACCGTCAAGGATGGTTAGAGTTCTATAAGTCGCAAAGGAACAACAAGGTTTCTGAAAGTCGTTGTCTCCTTATTCCTTGCGCTTTAGTTCTGTAGAAGCTCTGCTGGCATATTGCAGTTTGTGACAGTAAAAAACAATAGGAAATGTGAATTCCACACAATGGATGCACCCTTACCCCTTGGAAACATTTTTAATTCTAGAAATATTGGATTAAGAACACAAGCACAAAATTGCCGCCAAAGTTGTAAGGGATTTAAAAATCAACAGAGAAAGCAAGGGTAGGGTTCTGAAAATCGATAAGTTATTTTCTTTTACCTTGTGCTTTCGTTGTTCTTTCGCTCTTGCTAATGCAAGTGTTTTGACAAAGAATATACTTAAAACAAGTAAAACATTTTCCAGATAAAATGTAAATCCTTTGTAATTATTAAGGCAACTTTTGTATTTACTATAGAAAATTGAACAAAAATAAAGCCAAATTGAAATAGGTTTTCCCAAATCAAAAACATGCAAAAAAGGTTTCTAAAAATCGAAAGTTGCTTTTCTTATTTCTGACTGCTGCTCTGCCGGCGCTCTGCTCTTAAGAGAGAGAGAGAGAAATTTATCGATAACTCAAACAATAATTCAAAGGAAACAGGGTGTTTCAGTAAAAATACACAATTGTTAGAAAAAAAGAGAAGGAAGTGATAATTTCAAATATTTAGTTCCATATTAAACCAAATATATGTTATTTGTCATAAAACTCACAAAATGAGATTATTTTGACTCAATTGAAAATGACTTTTCCCTTACGACATCGAAAAAATACAAAACTAGTAGATTTTTGTAGATTCTGGAACATAATATTTTTATTTTAAGGCATCTCTTCTTATATTAAATCACAAAGTAAAAAATCATTGATTTCCAAATCCTTTTTTAAACAGAACCTCAAATTTCCACTTTTGTGATTTAGCCTAGACATATTTTATGACCACTTGTTATTCGTCTCAGAACTTCGTTGTACATTAACAATACACACAAATGTATGTATGTGTGCCTGCCGATGGTACTTGAGTTTGAAATGTATACTTTTTCAAGGGAATTAATTAAAATAAGGTTTCGAATTTCAAACCTTTTGTATGGCACGTATTATAAAAAAAATGCCAAAGGAATCGATGAATAGATAAACAAAATGTAAGTAAAAATGAGAAAAAAATGTTTATTTTTTCGAACGAGTTGAGGGGATTCAAATCAGGGGACAAGGTTTGATGCAAGGAAAGGTAACATATTTATATTTTATTCATGCTTCTTTAATGGAACCTTACTCAGAATCCCATAACATCTCATTTTAGACATTAAATGAAACACATCCAAAAGTTGCACTTAAACAATTTTAATTTTTTTTTATTGAATATTGTTATGTAGGTATGATTAAATCGATGAAACTCCCCTCTCTTCTTACAAATATACAACATGATACAAATAGCCTTTGAATAAAAAACGTCACACGATCGAGTATATGGGTATGTTTATGTGAGAAATATTGGAACAAATAAATCGATTCCCGCGGGACTAATATTAAATTTAAAAAAACATAAGGAAACATAAGGATTTCCAAATCCTTTTTTAAACAGAACCTCAAATTTCCACTTTTGTGATTTAGCCTAGACATATTTTATGACCACTTGTTATTCGTCTCAGAACTTCGTTGTACATTAACAATACACACAAATGTATGTATGTGTGCCTGCCGATGGTACTTGAGTTTGAAATGTATACTTTTTCAAGGGAATTAATTAAAATAAGGTTTCGAATTTCAAACCTTTTGTATGGCACGTATTATAAAAAAAATGCCAAAGGAATCGATGAATAGATAAACAAAATGTAAGTAAAAATGAGAAAAAAATGTTTATTTTTTCGAACGAGTTGATGGGATTCAAATCAGGGGACAAGGTTTGATGCAAGGAAAGGTAACATATTTATATTTTATTCATGCTTCTTTAATGGAACCTTACTCAGAATCCCATAACATCTCATTTTAGACATTAAATGAAACACATCCAAAAGTTGCACTTAAACAATTTTAATTTTTTTTTATTGAATATTGTTATGTAGGTATGATTAAATCGATGAAACTCCCCTCTCTTCTTACAAATATACAACATGATACAAATAGCCTTTGAATAAAAAACGTCACACGATCGAGTATATGGGTATGTTTATGTGAGAAATATTGGAACAAATAAATCGATTCCCGCGGGACTAATATTAAATTTAAAAAAACATAAGGAAAAAATGGAAAATCACGAGAAATAAAAAATAGGTAGGTATAAAAAAATGAAGAAAAAATCGCCTTAAGATGAATTCAACTTATAAAGTCTACATTTGGTTTCAGTCAGAGCGGCCAAATAAGTTTGATTCTTACAATAAACCGGGCAAGTGTCGTAGACAACTTCCTGAACTGGCAACGATTGTATACACTGTTCCGTGGCACTATCATATACTGACAATAGCTTACGATCTTGTATGTAGGCAGCAACCAAAGTGGTGGTGTCGACAGCAATTTGCGTGGAACGTACCATTACGGGACTATTGGTGTGGGCGAAGAATGTTACCCTCAACTGGAACACTGGAATGCCATCAATTTTTTGCAATTTCCCCAGAATGTGACGTGCCTGTTTGAACCTTGCACAACTTCTTGTTTGTACCAATAAATTTTGCGTCTCCGTTTCATAGTTCATCGATATAAGACGTCCCTCCACCGAGAGGCGGGTGGCATTTGCACCACCTCCTTGTATATTCTCATAAAACCACAATGAATTTAGTTTACATATAAGGAAACCGCCACTAGGAAACATTTCACTTTCCGGCACAGATTCAATCTGTATTACTGGGCCACCCTCGGTCTGGTGATCATCCAAAAATGTCTCGGGATAACGTATATCATAAACATATGTACTGCCTTGTTGTGAACCCAAATAGAGGTAGTTTTCGTTTTCTTTGCGAGATATGGCACACGACCACAATGGCTTTTCATCGGGCTTAAATGTACAGACTGCCTGCAAGGTGCGCAAATCAAACAGTTTGGCTCTCTGCTCCATGCTGGCCACCGCCAACATTTGCTGATCTTGCGACAGACTTATATCACGAACCATTTTAACAGAGGTATGTAAAAAATTCGAGGGTTTAAATGTTGGCGTGTCGACAAAACGTAGACCATAGCCGGGAAACAGGCCCTGTGAACTTTTCTGTGACACAAACAGGGCCATATGTTGTTCGGCATACTTCATAACACGGCAACCAGGCTCCCGGCACAGTTCCACGTTTTTCTCCATGAACAGCCGATAGGTTATGGAGTTTTTACCAAAACCTCTGGCACTCTCCAGTCCACCACCGCCACCTTTGCGTATTAATCTCTTGAGTGCCTCATTTTCAGCTTCTAATGTTTTGATTTTTTGTGCTACCTGAGCGTGGGACATCTTTAGGGTTGCTAATTCTAATTCAACATTCTGGTTTTTGGTACGTTCCTGTATCAATTCGTCGCGCATACGATGTTCCTCACTGCGATCAATGGCCCGCAAACGTTTGGCATACAAATAACGTATATCTTTGGGATGAGCCTTTGTTTTGCACTGTGGACATACCTTTTGACCCGACTGGCGGGAGCTTTCCTGTAGCCAGCGGCGAATACATGATTCACCAAACAAATGGCCACATTTTAGTGAGGACAATCTATGCTCCCCTGACATTTCCCAATTATCGAGGCAAATGGGACATGTGAGACCGTCGTCTTCATCATCATCGTCTTCGCCTTGCTTTGTTTTGACTTTCGGTGTACCACTTTTGGCCTCCAATGAGAGGCGTTTACGTTTTTTGGCAGGTGAGGGTGTATCTAAGTTTATTATTTCGCCTTCATATCTTATAGCTGGAGCCACTGCTGAAATGGAAGGTTCTATAAGGAAAAATGGTTTTAGATTTGTTATTTGGTAGCTACAAGATTTGTTTTGTCATCACCTTGCGGCAATAGAGCCTCTACATCTGCTGCTACCGTGGAGACACTATCTTCTGTGACTCTGGAACTGGTTGATGCCGATTCTGAGGCATTTGTTGCATCTACAACATTAAATTAAAACATAATTTCCTTTAAGGTGAAATGAACATGAATGTTTTTACCAGATTCTGCATCTGTTGTAGGAACATTATCCGTACTCCCGGCCTCTGTACTACGATTGTCCGTTTCACTGGAATTACCATACCGGCTAGACACTTCCGAAATGGTACCAGATCTTTGACTTGAGGTCTCCTCTTCCTCTGGCCCCGATGCAATTACCACATCCACATCGTTCTCATCATCTTCGTCGTCGAGAAAAACATCCTCATCCATAATGCGACTGTAACCGCTCAAACCACTCATCAAACTTTCCTCGGTATTGTTATTCGCCACCGGAGCAAAAACATAGTTATGATCGCTATTGGACAGCAGATTCTGGGTTGTTAGACGCATAACACTATTTCGGGTGCGAATAATGTTTGGTGAACTGTTTCCACTACCACTTGCAACATAATCATGATCATTTTCCATATTTCGTTGCAGCTTCAATGTAATATTTTCGAAGCACTGTTAAAATTCATCATAAAATTTCCTTCTTTATCCTTCGAGACACAAAACATGAACGAACAAACGAAAAAAAAAACACAACTACAGGTTGCCCGCAATCGAAAGCGGGCCGCATTGTTTTTATCGATTGTGGCTTGGCTTATCGATAACACAGCAACTCTTTAGCTGAGAAACACAGCAGGGCTGTTATTTTTAACGATTTTATTTTTAAAATGGTAAAAGTTTCTAAAAACGAAAAGATTAAAGATGTCAATTAAAGATGTTAACCAATTTTGCTATGGACATGAATGATTAAACATTTTGGATCATATTTTTGACAAGGTTTATTTTTTAGCGGGTATATAAACTTTGTCATTCCGTTTATAATTCCTCCAAATACACATGTTATACCCAACAAAGTATATACATTCTTGATCAGGGTAAAATTTTAAGCCGATTTGGCGATTTCCGTATTTCGGTTGTAATGACGTTATCTTTGGAACGAATAGAAATACAAGGCTAAAATTTTGCGAAGTAGTCAGGTTAGGTTCGTAGCTGGGCCATGTCGGACCACGTTGTCGTATAACCCCCATATAACGGTACCTCCCAAGATTCAACGACATTTTTTCAATGTAGTTGTTTCAAATTTGATATTTTGCGTTCGTAATGGGTAAATTAAGAAGAAGAAAATTTTGTTCGCAAGTCCATGTCCGAAAGACTCGGAATCGATTTCCACAGAATTTGACGGAGACATTTGTGTTTCCCGACTTTGAGTTCCCTTATATTTAAACATATATATCGATACTATTGCTATATCTGCACCGATTTTCCCCGACATTTAAGCTGATGAAAATATATATGGCAGCTATATTCAAATCTGAACCGATCTCTATGAAATCAAGCGAAGGCATTTGTATGCAGTCTCTGATAACTTGCATACAATATCATTGTATTGGAGTGCATTTTACGGATATGAGGGACTTTAATACAAAAGCGAATTACAATATACGTGGGATATATAGTTATATCTGAAGCGATGGGATATATAGTTATATCTGAAGCAATTTTGAACAAATTTGGCACAATTTCTTCCAGGTTGAATTCGATCGGATGTGTCCAAATATGGGCTGAAAATAAACATTTGGTGCATAACAAACTTATAATCATAAAAATATATATATGGAGCTATATCTTAATCCGAACCGATCCCGATAAATTTTGGTAAAGGTGTTTTTGAGCTCTCTTTGATATCTTTTAATAAATATTGTTGTTATGAGGTTCTTATTACGGCTGTGGGGGACAGAAATACCAACTCAAATGAACAATTTATACGGAGCTATATCTATTTCTGAACCGATTTTTGTATAATTGGATATAAGAAGACCTGCAGTCTTCTTAATTTGGTCGGATGTGTCAAATTCCATCCTATGTGGACTAATGTTACAGATTTGGTGCACAATGAAAGTCAAAATTGGACGAAGATATGTATGGGATATTCACCGATTGCCACCAATTTCAATAGGGTTCGTCATTCATAACAATCGAACAATAAATTTGACCTGCACTTTGCTAATTTTCCCACTTCCCAATTTTCCCTTCATGAAGTCAGAAAAAATTGCAAAATTAGAAGATTTTAGCAGGTTCTGTAATAAGGCAAATGTGATTCTATGAGGATCTTCATGTTACAAACAACTCCGCGATAGCATAATACCCTGATGGCAGTGTGGTGTAGGGTATAACGAGTAAAATAGCAGCTAAAATCAGCCGGACCAAACTTTTAATACCCTCCACCATTTTAATAGATCTTGAAAATTTTCAAAAATTAAAAAAAATCCGTCGAAAAATAACGCTTAAATGAAAACCGTTAAATGGACGTGGTATAAGTAATTTTTATCATAGGCTGTAGTACCGATTCCGAACTTCAAATACGAAATTTATTTATTTCTTTATTTACTATTTCGTTGAATATTGTCTCCAATATCATCAAAATACGGAATAAAGGGAGGTACCGTTATATGTGGGCTATACGAAGACGTGGACCAGCATAGACAATTTTTCGTCATACGAACTTCAAAATTTACCCATACCGTTATATGGGGCATATACGATATCGTGGACTTACATAACAAATTCTCTTTCAGGAGGCTAAGTACTCAAAAGGAACTCCTTGTGTGGATTTTTAGACAATTCCATTGAAAAATGTGGCTAAAATCATCAAAATACCGAATATGGGGAGGTATCGTTATCGGCGATATAACATATCGTAGACCCATATGTACGATTCTTTTACATGCGGTAAAGTACCCACAAGGGACTGCTTGTGTAGAATTTCAGACAATTTCATTGACAAAATGTGGCTAAAATCATCAAAATATGGAATATCGGGGGATACCGTTATATGGGTGATATAGACATTTCTCTTACAGGAGTAAAGTACCCACAAAGGACTCCTTGTGTGGAATTTCATTGAAATATCCGGTTAAAATACCGAATATCGTAATATGTAGACGATATCGTGAACCAATATAGACAATTCTCTTACAGACGGTAAAGTACCCACAAAGAACTCCTTGTGTAGAATCTCAGACAATTCCAATGAACAATCATAAAATCATCAAAATACCGTATATCGGGAGATATGCCCATCTTCGAACTTGACCTGCCCCTGCACACAAAAAACTGATCTCTGAAAAATTTTAGTTGCCTATCCTAATTTATTTTGACACTAGCATGGTTATAACAGATGGATGGACGGACGTGGCTAAATCGTCTGAGAATTTTACGCTGATCAAGAATATACATATTTTGTTAGGTCTAAATTTATTACTTCGATGAGTTACAAACGGAATGACGAACTTAATATACCATCCATACTATGTATGGTGGAGGATATAAAAAGAATGGGAACGGAGCTCAAGTGTCCTTTAATTCCCCTTATTTACTACGTCTTCCACTAACTATCACATCATGTGCGCCTTAATTGGACTTTGCAAATTCATTTGGTAATCGAAATTGGCACATCACTAAGTTGTTTGTTTGCGACCACACACAGATGGTTGCCAAGCTTTAAATTTAATTTGGAATTTTGTTTTGCAACAAATGGGGGAAGAGCTAAAAACAATAATTTTTTTGTTAATCCATATAACAAAATTGAATTTTATACTTTAATAACAATAATAAGAAATATGGGTTTAATTAAAGTTTCGTAAAAACTCTTAAATTTTTTCGAACTTTTTTTCCAGTGGTAGGGAAACTATTTTTTTTTCTTGAGAGACGGACCCGGGAACCCAGATTTTTGACCCAAATGTCCTGGTTCAAGTGCCGCACTAGACCCGGATCCACTTAGCCGATATATGCATGGTTGGATTCGACCAAAAAAAGGTATTAGCACAAATTGTAGCATTTTGGAAAGGTAAGGCTGCAAATACATAAAAAGCTTGAAGTCATGGCTAGGCATATTAATGCCAAATTATAATGAGAAACGACGGCAGGATTTTAGTGCGGCTCTGTAATTCCTTTGTGAAATGTCACAAAATAGGCCGTGCCATGACTTCAAGCTTCTTATGTACTTAGCCCTTAAGAGTGTCAGCTATAATTTAACATCAATTTTGTTGACCCCTATAATGGGCTCTTTTTCGACTTTTTGGACGTTTCATTTTATAAAAAAAAAACCGGATCCAAAAAATCGATAATTTGACTATAACTTCCGAACCGTTTATAAATACTTCTTCCCCAGGCGCTTAATGTGTTTATTGCAAATTTCTCATTTCCCTGCAAATTGGCAACCCTGTACGTTGACTCAAAAAAAAGTTGCAGAGCAAAAATTGAAATTGCATCAATCATTGGCATTGTTGCGTTAAATACGCTGTTGAAGGACAATTTTTTTGCCGAAAAAAAAAGACTAGAGTTATCTCGAAAATCCAATAGAGTTGTGCTAGAGATTCCCCTTCTGCGGACAGTACGATCTCCAATTTGCAAAGTACAAAAACAACGATATATTCCATCAACGAGAAACAAAAGAAAAAAAGAGTGTTCAACGCCATCCACCATTCTCCAATTATTAAATTAGCAGGGATATAATATAAGGTAATGTGAAAGTAAAACTGGTTATATTTAAAAATATCCATTGTGTACTTTTTTTTATTGTGTTCCGAATGTTGTTAAATTATCTGAAATGTTTTACAGCTAAAAAAAAAACTTCAAACATGTCGGCACCGGCTACACCCGATAAACTTACTCCCGGCACGGGTCGACCACCCTTGAGTCGTGACAATAGCACCGGTAGTCCCAATTCCCTACAACTACCCAGTCCAATAATAACGAAGCGTACCAGAACCGCTTCTACGTAAGTATATAAAAAGGGAGTAGTTACTTAATTTCCCCTCTTTGGATAATAAATTACATCAATTTTTTGTTAAAGTCTCATTTCCATCGATTTGTCTGATAATGAAGTTAATATGGGTATCGTGTTTTCCCATTTTGATTTACAATGAGAAAATCGCCACATGCTTTTTCTCAATGTTTCCCTTTCGATGTAAATTTTGCAAAATAAAAATTGCACCAACGGGGTGTGGTATGTGCGGGCACCGAAATATTAATTTATTTCTCCAGCTACTGATACGAGTTGAGAATTTTCAAACATTTTATAAATTGTTAAATTGTTTTACATATATATGTTTCTTCTTTATTCTTTTTGCAATGTCACTCACAATAAGAAGATTCGTATTGGAATCTGTATTTTTGCTGTTGTTGCTTGTTTACATTTATGTGTGGGATATATGCTTTATTACCCATTCGTTTATTTTATCAATCTATTTGTTTACGCGCTCACATTTAATAAAAAACACGCAAAGAATACAACAAAAATACCAAACACACCTCCGCTCACCAACCACAAAAACCTTCTACATCGGAAATATTTGAAGATATGTTTAAACAAATTTTGGACAATTGCTTGACCGACAACCGCACACATATATAAATACATACATAAATGTTAATTAATTAAAACAATTCATTTGATGAACATCCAATGAAAGTATTTTGAGAAAACTATAGCACCAATAGCACGTAGATGTATCTCACGTTTTAATATTGGGATAATACCTAAATAGCCTCGAAATATTTATGAATGTGGAACAATTAAAAACCAGTACAGAAAGAACAAAAGTCGGGCAGGGCGGACTATGTGATAGCATACACCACAACATGGTTGGGCCGAACTTTTAATACCCTCCACCTTTGGGTAAAGAAAACATTATTATATAAATGTATCGTGTTCCACTTTAAACTACAAATTCACATAACCTATGAAGTGGGTGATGTCGTTGTGTGGGGGCCATACCAAAACAGGAACCTCCATAGACAATTTTATACTTCAAGGATTGTATATACCAAATCTCTTTTCTTTGCAACAATTTCGTAGGCAAATGTGGTATAGTTTTATGTTCGCTATAAGAAAACGTGGACCTAAATTTTCAATGTTCCGCAACCGTATCTATAACCCATTTCGAACTACTAATACCAATTTTTAGACAAATCCCTGAAAAAATGTTGAATATTTGGAGTATACACAGCCATACATATTATGTTCACACAGGAGCCCGTTACGAACTACAAATTCTAATTTTTGGACAAATATGTGTAAAAATGTTGCAAAAACAAGTTAAAAAGTATCAGTCGGCTTTGCCGACAGATGTGTACCCTCAGCCTAAGCCGATCATTTTAATATATTTTGACTCGTGTTATGATTATTCAAATTGTTGACCCAGTTGACTATGAAGTAGATTCCAAATGAATGGATATGTGATTATTTTTAGTAAATGTTAAAAGTGTGCGCGGTTTACCAGATTTCGTCGACCGAAGTATTCAATTTCATACTTCATCTAATACAGTTAAAAATATTGGTATGGGGAAATTTACAAGAAAATAGAGCATTTACATCCAATTAATGGATAATCATAAATTCCATATTCATCTCAGGTTTCTGGCAAAGAGAGATATATTTTGATATTGCAAGTTGTAAAAAATCGCTGACTTTTTCCGCAAGTTATGACAGATAAGCCTTTGTGAGTGAGGTACCAGATATATATCATCTTTACAACAGATCTTGTATTAGGAAAAATATGTGTATGTGTGAAATTTGAAGAGTACTGAACGTTTATTTCGATTTTATTGAGCGTTTTGTTTTTTAAAATCTTGAACCCATTGTGGGGAAGGTACCATTAAAAATGGTCTGATCTCTACCATCTTTATAACAGATCTTGTGTTGATGGAAATATTGAGATGTACCAAGTCTTGAATGGAATCGGATGTTAATTTCGCTTTTTATTAAATTCATGGATATTGTGGTGGAGGTACCAGAAGGAATGGTCCGATCTCTACAGTTTTTATTACATATCCTGTGTGTATGGAAATGTTCAGATGTGCCAAGTCTAAATAGAATCGGGTGTTAATTTCACGTTTTATGACTTCAATGGATATTCAAAATGTCGACCTTTTGTGGGGGAGGTACCACAAGGAGTGGACCGATATGTCCCATCCTCGCAACAGATCTTGGGCTTATAAAACTATTGAGATGTGTGAAATTTTAAGATAATCGAATTAATAGATCACTTTTTTAAGAGTTATAATTATTCAAAATTTTTATCCTTTGTGGGGGAGGCACTTGATAGAGTGGACCGATATTATCCATTTTTGCACCTGACCTAGAACTGACACAAATATTAGGATTTGCAATGTTGGAACAAAATCGGGTTAATGTTTCTCTTTCTGTGCAAAAAATATTTTTTGAAAATTTCGACCTTTTGTGAGGGAGGTACCAGAAAGAGCGGACCGATATATTCCATTTTCACAGTAGACCTTAGGTTAACAAAAAATATTGTGATGTGTGTAATTTGAAGGCAATCGGCATCACATTTTATAAAAGTTAGAATTATTCAAAATATAAACCCTTTGTGGGGGATGTACTTGATGGAGTGGGCCGATACTGTTCATTTTCGCGCCTAACCTAGCACTAATGCAAATATTAGGATTCGCAAAGTTGGAGAAAAATCAGATTATCCTTTCGCTTCCTGTGCAGAAAATAGAATTTTTGAAAATTTCGACCTTTTGTGGGAGATAGGTACCAGAAGGAGTGGACCGATATTGCCCATTTCCGAACGCGATCTAAGTTTGACAATAATATTACGATGTATCAATTTTGGATCAAATCTGATAATCCCTTCCAGAGTTATCGTTCGCGACAGCTAGCCAGACAGACAGACGGATGGACAATGATAGGTCGACTTCAAATGTCCTGAAACGGATTTGGTCCAAAGAGACCTAGGGTTTAAAACCATTATTTCGATGCGGCACGTTTTGGCCGTATCAAATGATATATACCCTCTCCAGCCAGATGGCTAAGGGTATAAAAATCAATAATGAATAAAATTTAACGAGGAAATAAAGAAAAAAACCTTTAGATCAACAATCATATCATAACCTGAAATTTATTTAAAAAATATGACAAGAAAGGAAATCTGGAAATATATACATTAATTGCTCTCATTTCAATAATTTAAATTAGGTGGACATTGACTTTAAATCTCAAATACCGGCGGAAATTACTCAATATCAAAAATTGTATTTACTTATTATCCCGTGCTATTATTGATTTCTCTAGTACTAAATTAATTCCTGTTTCCCCCTCTTTTTAGCTCTGCCCGTGCTATGGAAAACCCCATAGTCACCGGCACTGTAAAATCATTTAGTCGAACTAAAGGACATGGTTTTATTACGCCCAAAGATGGTGGTGATGATCTATTCTGTCATATATCTGAGTAAGTAAAAATGCCGAATATACCTACAATTGTATGACCTTTTCTAACTCCCCTCCATTTTTTTCATCAATTCCTCACAGCATCGAAGGAGAATTTGTGCCTATGGAAGGTGATGAAGTCAAGTATCGTCTGTGCGCCATACCGCCTAAAAATGAAAAATTCCAGGCTGTCCACGTTAAGATTATTAACCTAACACCCGAAGTCCACCACAGATGGGAGGAATAAATAAAATTTGTTACAAAACTAAATCGAAAATCAACACCACAATGAACAATAATTATGTAGCCACAAGCCTGCCGTCAGATACATACATCTATTTATATTCCAATCGAGTCAAGATAATTTTAGGAGTTTTTTATTGGAATCAAATCAAATAACACACAGCAAAAAAAAAGTTAAACAAAACAGAATGCCTCATTTTAAAAACGCCAGTGAAAGAAAAAAACATAAAATTTTTAATGAATTATATTTGTAAGCGCACATAATATTGTTTTTATTTTGGTTTTTTATTTACTTATTTTTCTTTTTGTAATGCCGATGCCTATTTAATGGGTTACTAATAAAAGCATTGAAAAGTATGAAGCCGGTTATGTCGACTCAACTAAAGAAGAAAACCACCAATGGAATAAGATTTCAAAATGGAAAATAAGTTACAAGGGGAGGAATTGTGGAGATCAAAGAAAATTGTATAAGAAAGCCTGAAATAATATTGGAACATAAGTCATATATAATCTGAAAGCCCAAGTCGAGAGCTTTCATTTGGTCTAGGCAACGAAAATGACATCTATATCAGTTTTCGGTCATAGATCTTTTAGAAAATACATAGAGCTCTCCGATAACAGGTTATCGCCGACTGACTTCACTGACTATGCGAGCGTGTTGGTTATGGAAAACAATAGTTGTTGAATGATATTTAATTTCAGGTATCAAACGGTCAACTGTCAGTTACTCAATATATATTTTTATGCAAACGCTTTTATTGTATAGTGTAGCTGGCATTTTGAAGGAAAAAACAAGTAAAGAGGGAATTTATTTCAGAAATGTTGACTATTTTCTATAGCCTCAGGCTAGAAAGGGTATATATCATTTGATACGGCCAAAAACTGCCTCGTCAAAATAAAGGTTTTAGACCCTAAGTCTCTTTGGACCAAATCCGTTTCAGGACATTTGGAGTCGATCTTGCGATGTCCGTCCATCCGTCCGTCTGTCTGGCTGGCGCACGATAACTCTCAAAGGAAGTATCCGATTTGATCCAAACTTGGTACATCGTAATATTCTTGTTAAGCTTAGATCGAGTTCAGAGATGGGCGATATCGGTCCACTCCTTCTGGTAAATCCCCCACAAAGGGTCTGAATTTGGAATAGCCATGAGCTCGTAAAACGAGAAATAAGCATCTGATTATCTTCAAATTTCAAACATCTCAATACTTCTAGTAACAAAAGATCTGCTGAGAAGATGGGATATATCGGTCAACTTCTTGTGGTTTCTTCCCCACAAAGGATCAACATTTTGAATATCGATGAAGCTCATAAAACACGAAATTAACATTCGATTCCATTTAGACTTGCCCCATCTGAATATTTCTATCAACACAGGATATGTTATAAAAACGGTAGTGATCGGACCATTCCTTCTGGCATCTCACCCACAAAGTGGCAACGTTTTGAATAACAAAAACGTTTTTAAAATCCGAAATAAGCATCAGTTGCTCTTTATATTGCACATAACCCATTATTTCCACAAACAAATAATCTGTTGAGAAGATGGGATATTTCGGCCCACTCCATCTGGTATCTCCCCCACAAAGGCTTAAAATGTTGAATAGCCATGAAGGCCATAAGAAGCGAAATTAACATCCGATTCCATTCAGACTTGGTACATCTCAATATTTTCATCAAGACAGGATCTGTTGAAAAGATGGTACAGATTGGACCATTTCTTCCGGTACCTCCTCCACATTGGGGTTGAAAAACAAAACGCTCAAAAAAGCGTGATAAGCATCCAACTCTCTTCACATTTGAAACATCCAAATATTTTTGCTAACGAATGATCTGTTATGAGGATGATATATATCTGCCAACCCTTTCTGGTACCTCAGCCACAAAGGGTCACAATTTCCAATACTTATATACTTCATAACTTGCGAAATAAGTCCGCGATTCTTTACTACTTGCTATATCTAAATATTTCTCTAACCCAGAAACCTGAGATGAATATGGAATAGAACGATTTCGCATGGAATTGGATATAAATGTCCGATTTTCTTGTAATTTTACCCATACCAATATTTTTATCTATATTTGATGAAGTATGAAAATGGAAAAATTCGGTCGACTATATCCAACACGCACATTTTAACATTTTCTAAAAATGATCACATATCTCATATAAAGGGGAGGAAGTAACCAATTGTCCAAACCTGGCTCGTCGCAATATTTATATTATATTTCCGATACGAAAGGGCCAACAATTTGAACAATCATAGCAGAAGTCAAATTATATTTAAATTATCGAACATTGGCTGGGGGTATACATCTGTCGGCAAAATATTTTACTTTTTTTTTTCTAGATTTTTAATAATTTTTCTATCCCAAAAAAATTTTTTTGGAATAAAGTGACGAAAATATCAAAAAAATTTAAATAACTACCAATAATTGGTCTGTTCCAAAACTGCAAGAATGTAATACTTTTTACAACGATAACCAATCCTTGATTCCTTTATGATACGACAAATTTATAAAATCGAAAAAATTGCAAAACTAGTAGATTCTTGCAGGTTCTGGAAAGCAAATTTGTCCTGATTTTTCCACAATAAAAACAAAAAAAATCAGAAATAATAGATTCTTGCAGGTTCCAGAACAGAGCAAATATTAACAAAACGATAAAATGTAAAAAATGATTTCGATAAAATAAAAAAATCTACATTGATCCCACACAGCACAATTCGTATGGCCACACAACAACTCTGAACTAACTGTTGCCCTTACTTTACGTTTACGTTACGATAACTCTCATTTTTCTCAACTGATTTCGAACAGGTGTTGTTGTTTTGATTTGTTTTTTTTTTTTTTTTACGGGAACCTTAGACCACCACCACTCAACAACTCATTTGTGTTTCAGGTGTATTATTGAAATACACGAAAACAAGAACGCGTTTCATTATACTATATTCCAAATAAAATACAGTGATGAATGCAAATTAAATAGCTTAAAAAAGGTGTTTTAAAATTGACAATTATTTTTTGTCATTGCAAAATAGAACGGCTGTCGAAGCTGCAAGCAAACAGTGAGAAGAGGAATACAGCCAGCCGCCGCCGCCGCAAAATAAAAACCCAACCACTCATGCTGTTCTTTCAAAGTGTGTGACGTGTCGTTTTTGTTTTTATTTTTAAAAACCTTAGAATTTTTCTGTTTCGTGCAATTGTTTAGAATTGTTTGTTTAAGAGCATAGAAGTGGACGACGGCGACGACGACAACGATGAGTTTGAGACGTCGACAAAATTCCAAGGAGACCCTTCTGGTCACGGATGAAAAAAACGAATCGCATCATGAAAAGACAGATATACGCGGCGACAAGGGCAACATCTTGATATTGTTGTTCTTGTACATCTTGCAAGGCATACCCTTGGGTTTGATTGCAGCTGTACCGATGCTGCTGCAAAATCGTGGAGCAAGTTATAAACAGCAAGCAGAATTTTCCTTTGCCTATTGGCCGTTTAGCTTGAAATTGCTGTGGGCTCCCATTGTGGATGCTGTGTATGTGAAACGTTTTGGACGCCGGAAATCATGGCTGGTACCATGTCAGTATTTGATTGGAGCATTTATGTTGTTCCTGTCGTGGCAGGTGGATCGTTGGCTGGGTGGCGATGGCGTTGAACCGAATGTACCCCTTCTAACCGCCTTGTTCTTCATGCTGAACTTTTTGGCTGCCACCCAGGATATTGCTGTCGATGGTTGGGCCCTGACCATGTTGAAACGTGTAAATGTTGGCTATGCCTCAACTTGTAATAGTGTGGGACAAACAGCTGGTTACTTTTTGGGCTATGTGGCATTCATTGCCTTGGAATCGAAGGAGTTTTGCAATACCTATTTGCGTACAGTTCCCAAGGATGTGGGTATGGTGACATTGCCCGAGTTCTTGTGGTTTTGGGCCTGGTGCTTTTTGGTGGCCACTACTTTGGTGGCTTTGTTCAAAAAGGAAAACATTGCCAAGCACAAAGATGATGGCAGCCGCTATACCGAGGAACATGAATTGAATATCTATGAAAGTTATAAAATCCTTCTGGATATGGTGCGTATGCGTCCCGTGCAGATTTTGGCTGGAATATTGCTAACCGTAAAAGTGACATTTGCCGCTTGTGATGCTGTCACTTCACTGAAACTGATCGATGCTGGTGTGCCCAAAGAGAAATTGGCGCTGTTGGTTGTACCCATAATACCATTACAAATTGTTTTGCCACTTGTCGTTAGCCGCTACACAAACGGTCCACGGCCCATGGATGTTTATGTGAAAGCCATACCATATCGTATTGTATTTGCTTCCATTGCATCGTTGATTGCGTATTTTACACCCCACATGATAGCTGGCGGAGAGGTGCCCATTTACTATTATGTCCTGTTGGTTGTCAATTATGGTATCTATCAAATATTCCTGTATTGTATGTTTGTGGCGGTGATGGCATTCTTTGCAAAAATATCCGATCCTGCAGTGGGTGGAACATATATGACATTCCTGAATACCCTATCGAATTTGGGTGGTAATTGGGCGAATACAGTGATACTGTGGTTGGTCGATGTCCTCACGTGGAAGGAGTGTGCCCATGTGGATGATACGTTGGCCGAAAAGAATCATTGTTTGACAAAGAAACAAACGCAGGTAAGAATTCGTGGAATTTTTATTTTTTCATTTTTGAATAAGAGCTGGGTTTGAAATGATCGACAACCTATTATATTTGATTAGAGCCTTGTGTGGTTACCTGTCTTCAGCATGAATATTAAAAAAATAGATTTTCATTGGTGTCAGAAACTTAATCTCCAGTCCTTAAATAGATTTTAATTCAAATTCATGTTGTACTATAAAGGGGTCGGTAGGAGTGAAGTTGGAAACGTTCAAAAAATACTTCAGGTCTGTGGAATCGTGATCCAGTTAGAAAATATACACCCTGTTTTTTTAATGAACTGGCTTGATGATGACATCTGGTACTCCAGTAGACAGACAATATGCCCACCTCGATTCTTGTATTTGCATTTGATGGGGTTTTCGATGGTTCCTTCGAGTCAATCCGGTACATAGAACCGGCCGCCGTGGTGCGACGGCATAATAAAATGATGTCAACGAAATACCTGCTTTGGTGTTACAGACAGAGTTATCCGTATCACCATTTGGTGGATAGGCCCCCAGGCACTTAAGGAAAGACTATAATGATCTAGAGAGAGAGAGAGGTACAGAGGTATAAGATAGAGCCTCTAGATCAACAGACCTATCAATCAGCACTGATTAGGATATAGAGTGAATACTGTACTAGCTGAAGAGCGAGAGCTGCACCGAAAAACCGGAATAGTTTTGGCTATTTTAAGATCCGGATGGTGCAGCCGCCTCAATTCCTATTGGACCGGGATTGACAGCGATGTGCAGAACATCGCTGCCCAGCAAAACCTACTCAACTAACTCCAGTATCGTTGTGGACCCAACCCGATTGAGACCCAACCCGTGCCTCGGTTTTAGACCCTACGTCACTTTGGAGTCGATTTAGCGATGTCCGTCCGTCCGTCCGGCTGGAGCGCACGATAACTCTCGAAGGGAGTATCCGATTTGAGCCAAACTTCGTACTTCATAATATTTTTGGCAAACTTAGATCAAGTTCGGAAATGAGCAACATCGGTCCACTCAACATTTTCAAAGAAAATAAAATACTGCACAGAAAGAGAAAAGATAATCCGGTTTTGATCCAACTTTGCAAATCCTAATATTTGCATCAGTGCTAAGTCAGGTGCGAAAATGGACAATATCGGTCCACTCCACCAAGTACCTCCCTCACAAAGGGTCAAAATTTTGAATAATTATAGCTGTTATAAAATACGATGTAAATGTCCGACACACATCATAATATTTTTATTAACCCAAGGTCTGTTGTGAAGATGGAACTTATCGGTCCACTTCTTCTGGTACCTCCATCTCCAAAGCGTCAAAATTTTGAATAAGACGCGAAATTAACATTGAATTCCATTCAGACTCGGAATATCTCAATATTTCCATCAACTCAAGATCTGTCATAAAGATTAAAATTGGATAAAAAGGATATAGATGTTCGATGTCCTTCAAATTTTGCACATACCAATATTTTTATCTGTATTAGATGAATTATTAAAATGGAATACTTCGGTCCGCTATTTCTGTTAAAAATTTGTATAGGAGGAAGTCCAAATCTGGCACGTTGCAATATTTATATCAGTCTTAGGTCAGATACGAATTGGTCAATATTGGCCATCTGCTTCGGGCCAAACCGAATGATTTTACTATTTTACTTGTTAAAATGTGATCACGGAATTTTATATTGAAAACAATTACTGAAAATTATTTTTTCAAATATCTTTTCCAGGAATGTACAGCCGCCGGTGGTGAATGTAAAATCGTATTCGATGGCTATTACATCGAATCAATTGTCTGTATTATATACGGTATTGTGTGGCTGTTGTTGGTGCGCAAATGGATTAACTATCTTCAAAATCTACCCAACAAGGCATGGCTGGTGGTGCATGCCAACAAGGATGCGGCGAAAAAGAGTTAGCAATTAATAGTCTGACACACAGCGAAGAGGCTAAATTGTTGTAATGCACATTTCTAGAACTTACGCCCAGAGAGGAATTCTTTTGTATAATTGTTGTTTAATTTTCGCCCTTTTCTCCTTCTTCTTCAATTTATGCCATAAGTTTTGCTCTGTAAGTTTTTTTTTAATTTGATAAACAACTAGTTTTTACATTCGACTCTTTTTCCTCCCTTTTGATCTTATACACCTACACATGGAATGTAATGAGTTTTATATGTGGTCCATAGAAATTATAATAATTTACCCCCGCGATAGCATTATAATATTAAAACCAATATTTATCATTTCCATAGCATTAAAATAACATTATTATAATATTTATAATTATAATTTTGTATAATAATATATATTGTGGAATAGTTTTTAAATTATTTTCATTGTTGTGAATTGTCCTGAAAGAAATTGCCCCAAAAACGAAAAATGAAACGAGAATAAAATTTTGCTTATAGAAAAAACAAATGAATTCCAGGTGTTTTAATGGAAATCAGCAACTGATTAGTTTTGCAAAACAAAGCAACTGGTTACTTATCAAAAACCAATATGGTCAGAAACGTTGCGTATCTCAGCAAGCAAAAAAATGTTATCTATTTTTTTATTAACGTACTACTTAGCGTATTCGGATTGCATGTTTATAGTCATTATGGCGATACATATGTATTATATATTTACTAATTTTAACAGAGGCTAATTTGATCGGTGTCACTGCGTATTTAGTATAATGTCCCACTCTAATGTAATAACAAATAATTGATGATGGGGCTATACTTTCTCAGCAAAAAGCTCATATCCACATAACTGCGAATTTAAAAAAAAAAAAAATGCGAACGGCTCCCAAAAATTATGAAGCATTGACTGAGTTCTGTCAGTTTAGGGCTTGGTGTTTCTTGGTGACACTTTTAATAAAGGAGAATATTGCCAAGCAGAAAGATGATGACTGTCGCTAACCGAGAAACATGAACTGCATATCTATAAAAGTTATAAAATTCTGCTCGTTATGGTGCGAATGCGTCCGGCGCAGATTTACGGCTGGGATTTCCGAGGGCCCCACAACATTACACTTTTGGTGGGAGCAAGCTATTTTAAGTCAAATTCCCTTGAGGTGTGTAGAAATGTACGCTTTTTTAAGGCATATTTCACTAGTACAGCACCATAAGAGGACCTTTGTAGCGTTCATGGGTTTTTCTTTATAAGTCGAGTTGTTGGTCAAAACTGAAAAAAAAAATTTTTTCAACAATTGACAAGTACAGTCTAGGCCTTTACTAAGAAAAAAAGAAATTATACACGCTTTTACAACGCTTTGATATAATTAAAATTATGCAATTTTTTGGGCCGTCGCGAGGGGCTTCTTAAGAACTTGGTGGTCGATCATCATGAAATCCTTGAAATACATAAAAATTATCAGGAAATCCATCTAAAGATCATTTGGACTAATGAGGCTAAAAAAGCAAAATTATTGCATCTGGTCTTGGGAACACAAGAGTTATTGTTGAGGAGCCTCTTCAGTCTCAACGTTGTTGTTGTGACATTTACACCCGTTGTGTTCTTTGATGCATACTCTCAGCTCATGTCCCTCTATAAGATATAAATATGTAGACGCGCCATGTTTGAACTCCTTCATTTCTTCCCCCTTCCTTCACTCTGATCACAATTGGCCACCAATATCTTGACCTTTAACATCTTGCAGCTTCTTTTGGGTTACAGGAAAGATAGGGTCGCAACTTTGCTCTATGGTTATGAATAATTTCATGAAAAGGCTCTACCATATAATTAATATCAAATCAAACTTCCTAGACAAAGCCCAACCTAATCGCAGACATGATGTAGTCTCTATTTAAACAACCAGTTGGCAGACAATCTTCGTTAGTTAAATCCGAATTTTATGCTGGAGTTGTATAGTTGATAGATAGTTGTATACTTTACAACTTTTGCTAAATTTGTATATTATTATCCGATATTCCATAGAGATATGACTAATTGTTTAGGGATACTTGCTGCAAAATGTTATATCTGATATTTCAATATTTGTCACACATAGACATATTCTTATATAGACATATTCTCACATTACAAATATAACAATTAATAATAAGAATAAATGATTACACTCACCTTACTTGTAAATGTCAGGATGCAGGATGTTGTGTTCTTTTGATGTTGATTGTAGAGTCAAAAACATAGGTTTCTTTCACCATTGTTGCAATATTTTAGCCATAAATTTAGATTTGAATTATAAACCATTTATTGTGGCCAATATGGCCAATTGAATTGGTTCAAGAGATTTCATCCTACGGGATTAGAAGGCGACATTTAGTTTAAATTGGCTCAAGAGATTATACCCTGCGCCATCAGAAGGCGACATTTAGAATATGAAGGGACCGTTTATATTGTATTACTGTTATTGCGAACGAATAATCTGCGAATCTTCAGTTTTTTGTCAAGAAATTATTGAAAGCGAGCACTTGGAAGGCGACCGACTGTTTCGTATTTCAATTATTGCGGAAGAATGAAAATTATGTTAATTGCCAGGATGTTGTGGAATTCTTCGGTATGGAAATTTATTGTAAAAAGAGAAGAAGTCAAGAATGTCTTATGCTTCAAAAAATATACCGTCCATTCGACGACTGTCTTAGGAGGGAAGCGTATCATTTGGGAATTCTCCATGTCATAGAGGAAACATATCATCTGGCTCATTTCACAAAAAAAATTTAAGGTGGTATTCTGAAAAAAATTGATTTAGTTTTTTTCCAATTGGAATCTGTTACAAATTGTCCACTTACCTCAAATTAAATATTCGTTTGCCATTGAAGATTATATCGTAAAACGCGACTTTAAGGTTGTTTAACGAACGAATACATTGTATATTATTTATTTTATTAACGAAATTTCCGTGAAATCTTTCTTTGTCAAGAAGTTATGGAATGTGAGCACTTGGTCATCAATTCACTATTACGTATTTCTATCAACGTGGAAACGAGAACATTAAATTAATTGCCAAGATGTTGTGCAATTCTTCTGTATTGGCAGGATAAATGCAACGTTTATGGATAACATTTCTGATTAGATTCTTACAAAACTGCTAGTTAGAGACTTTCACCACACAAGAAGTTTCCAGTCAAAGATGTCTGGACTTACAAGAATATGCCATCCATTGGCCAATTGTGTCATAACAAAAAAAAACGCAGCATCATCTGACAAAAATATTTCAGAGGTGAATCTGAAAAAGATTTGGAACAACTCTAGTTTAGTAAAAACTCTTAGATTTTTTCGAAATTTTTTCCAGAGGTAGGTATTTTTACCCTGATCCCGGGAAACTATTTTTTTCTTGGGGGACGGACCCGGGACCCCAGATTTTTGACCCGAAAGTCCGGGATCAATACCCCGCCTGGACCCGGATCCACTTACCCGATATAGACAATATGGGTATCGATTGAAAGCTTATGGAAATACCTATCCAACAAGTGGTCACATGAAGAGGTAAGTTGTCATGGTTCGGAAGTTAGAGTCAAATTATCGATTTTTTGGACCCGGATTTTTTATGAAACCCCCAAAAAGTCAAAAAAGGGCCCATTATGGGGGTCAACAAAATTGTTTCCAAATTATAGCTGACACTCTTACCTTTCCAAAATGCTACAATTTGTGCTAACACCTTTTTCGGGTCCAGAGATATGGGTCTTTCCATCCGCATAACCCGATTCTAACCAGTTCATTAAAATGATGTTTTTAATAAAAAAGTGTTTATTTTGCGTAGCAGTCGCCGGAATAACAAAAGTTTTCTAAATTTGGCACTTTTGGTAAATAGCCGGCCTTCGGCCGGGGCTTGAGATTTTCTCCTCTGGGTATGTCCGACACCGGCTAACGCGAACAAAAGGTTCATAATTTCGGCACTTTTTGTAAATAGCCGGCCTTCGGCCGCGGCTTGAGATTTTCTCCTCTGGGTATGTCCTACACCGGCTAACGCGAACCAAAGTTTTCTAAATTGGATACCTTTTGTAAGTAGCCGGCCTTCGGCCGGGGCTTGAGATTTTCTCCTCTGGGTATGTCCTAAACCGGCTAACGTGAACCAAAGTTTTCTAAATTTGACACTTTTTGTATATAGCCGGCCTTCGGCCGGGGCTTGAGATTTTCTCCTCTGGGTATGTCCCACACCGGCTAACGCGAACCAAAGTTTTCTACATTTGACACTTTTTTTAAATAGCCGGCCTTCGGCCGGGGCTTGCGATTTTCTCCTCTGGGTATGTCCTACACCGGCTAACGCGAACCAAAGTTTTCTAAATTGGATACCTTTTGTAAGTAGCCGGCCTTCGGCCGGGGCTTGAGATTTTCTCCTCTGGGTATGTCCTACACCGGCTAACGCGAACCAAAGATTTCTGAATTTCATTCTTACGCAAAATATACTTTTTTTTTTGAAAACATAGTTTTAATGAACTGGTAAGAATCGGTTTATGCGGATGGAAAGACCCATATCTCTGGACTCAGTGAAGGTATTAGCACAAATTGTAGCATTTTGGAAAGGTAGAAGTGTCAGCTATAATTTGGCATTAATTTTGTTGTCCCCCATAATGGACCCTTTTTTGACTTTTTGGGGGTTTTATAAAAAATCCGGGTCCAAAAAATCGATAATTTGACTATAACTTCCGAACCGTAACATCTTTCCCCATCATGTGACCCCTTGTTGGATAGGTATTTCCAACGATACCCATATTGTCAATATCGGGATCCGGGTCTAATCGGGGTCTTGAACCCGGACTTTCGGGTCAGAAATCTGGAGTCCCAGGTCCGTCCCCCAAGAAAAAAATAGTTTTCCGGGATCATGGTTAAAATACCTACCACTGAAAAATTTTTCGAAAAAATTTAAGAGTTTTTACTAAACTAGAGTTAAGCCAAAGATTTAATTTATTTTTTTGTGCCAATTGGAATCCATTTGAAATTGTAAATTTACCTTAAATTCTGCAGACTCAAGTCATCTCTACAAAGAACGCGACACTTAGTTTGTTAAACGACCGATTCCCGAATATATTATTAATTTCATTGACAATTTTCTGCAAAACTTAATTTTTTCAAGAAATTATAGATAGCTTGCACTTTTATGTGATTCAATTAACGCGGAAACGAGAACATTAAATTATTTGCCAAGCTGTTGTGAACTGCATTTTTGGCGGGATAAATGCAACATTTGCAACTATACTCACGACGTTCGGCCGGCCGATTGCTTCTTGTTCCTCTCATAGGAGAGAAGGAAACAAAAGCCCTTGATTTTCACACACAAAAAGCACCTTTTTCTCCACAAAGAACGCGACAATTACTTTGTTAAACGACCGATAACCGAATATATTATTAATTTTATTGGCAATTTTCTGCAAAACTTATTTTTTTTTAAATTGTAGATAGCTTGCACTTCTATGTGATTCAATTAACGCGGAAACGAGACCATTAAATTATTCGCCAAGCTGTTGTGAACTTTTGCGGTTTTGGCGGGATAAAAGCAACATTTGCAACTATACTCACGACTTTCGGCCGGCCGATTGCTTCTTGTCCCTCTCATAGGAGAGAAGGAAACAAAAGCCCTTCATTTTCACACACAAAAAGCACTTTCATTTAACTAAATATTAAATTTTTTGAACTCTTGTATGGCAGCTCACTGATTTTTCCACAAATTAACACAATTTGAAAAAGAAAAACACACTTTTTTTTCAACAAAATAACTTTCAGCTTTAATTTGCTTAGCCATCGTAAATTATTCGCGTTCAACCGAACCGTACCGTTATAACAGACTGCAGCTTAAAACTAGCCGATAGTATGCATCGATAGTAATCGAATAGTCGATATGTTTAAATTAAGTAGAGTACACACTATTTGTTCTGAAGGGGATTCCTCCCCAATCCTCCACAATCATTTCTGCTAGACATTTTTGAAATTTCGATTCCTACAATTACGTTGGTTTGTTCTTTGAAAACCAATTGAATTTTCTTCAAAAAAAAAAAGGACTGAAAAAAAAACGAATAAACGAGCGTAAAAATAGCAGAAATATACACTTCACCAGAACTGCAGGCATGAAACAGTTTTTACTACGACAACCGATTTTTTTCCTTTGTGATATCAAAAAAATGCGACACTAAAAAATTCTAGAAGTAACTCAAACAAAACAAATATTTTTGAAATTGTCGGGACTCTTACTTCACAAAGAAAAAGTTTTGCATTTTGAAGTATAATACATGAATTATTGGCCTGCTCCAGAACTGCTTGAATGTAAACGATTTTCCCTTTATGACATCGAAGAAAATTCGCAAAAATAATAGTATCTTGCAGGTACTGGATATGATATCGAAAAATAAATAATTTTTCATTCAACATTCTCAATTCCAAAATTGGTTTGACAGTTCATTGTCCCAGCAGCTGTGTCGATGCGTCTACCTATATTCTTCTACCATGCATGGTATGTTCCAGAACTTCAAGAATGTAAAAATGTTTACTAAAATAACCGATGTTCCCTTTAGATGCAGAAAAACTCGTAAATTTTTGGATTTTATTGAACAGACTCTTAATATACCAAATTAAAAACGTTGTTTAAATCAATTATGTTTAAATTGTCACAAGAATCTACTACTTTTTCAATTTTCTTCGATACCATAAAGGGAAAATCGGTTATCGTAGTGAAAACTTTTACATTCTTGCTGTTCTGGAACGGACCAATTAAAATTTTTTACATTATTCGATTGTTTTTTCAGTATTCAAAAAAGAAAAACAATTGAATTTGTTTAACTTTGAAATTTTATATCTTTCAAAGAAAAATCTTAATTGTCTTCACTATCGAACACGTTCGATAGTGCGTACTCTGCTAAAGAGGGGTTAAGAGATGCCGTCCAAAACAAAACTAAAAATTTGACGCCGTCAGCTTTCGCTGATTGACTTTGCCATTTCTTTGAGCCGCCATTTTTAAAAGTGTTGTGTTAAGCAAAATTGATCCTCGAACGAATTAACCCCAATCCTGCCGCACTCAGCTGCCGTTCTTTGTGTTTTTGTTTTTATTGTACACAATTTATTTTAAATGTTAAACAATTAATTATTTTACGAATGGAACGAAAAGGAAACTCAATGCAAAACGACGACTCATCATTGGGCATACTCAATATGGATAGCTTAAAGGGCAGAGGAAGATGTAAGAGCTATAATATTAATACATTCTGTATTTTATTATCAAATTAATATCCTTTTTTATAGTTTTTGGTGACTTGTCGAATGAATCTTTTAAAAATACCTATAGAAGTAAAAGTCCCACAAATATGTCCTCGGATCGAAGAATTAGTGATCGTCTTAATGTAAGTATTTATATAGGCATGTCGCATTTTCGTTTCTTATGTGCTGGAATTTCATTGTTTAGATGGAACGTAAAAAAGCTTTGGAGGCATTACAAAAAGCCGATGCCAAATCTCCTGATGTTTTTAAGAAACCTCATCAAGTCTCGGCCAACAAGGAAAATATGAAAAGTATTATTAATAATGGCTCTTCAGCTACAGAAAATTCAATGCGTAAGTAAAATACCAAAATTGATTGTTGAAATTGCATGACAAAGTGACTAATATTTTTCTTTAATGTCATTTATGCATGATGTCTCATTATAATCTACCCCACTTCTCATACCATTGAACACCATGTAGCACTTGATCATACCGACTATGTACCATTTCGTCGTCCCAATACAATTAATATATCAGATCTTGTAACAGATGAAACAATACATTTGGAGACAACCTCATCGAACCCTCCATCAGCCTGTAAAGATGCAAAAATTTCATTTGAGCCCACCGAAATAACAGGTCGCTCAACGCTTTACAAAAAAGAAATACGCAATATAAAGGCGCCAACAGCAATGAAACAATTGAAAAACATATCAGTTGAAGAGATATTGGCTTCATCGTTTGCGCCGAAAACCCGTAACCTTTGTAAAACTTTGCAGGGCAATTGTGATACATCACTGAATGTGAGTGGTGGTGGTGGAGAAATGGATGCAACTGCCAGTAAACTGCATGGCATTTCAATGGTATCTTCTTCAACCGTGTGCAGTTCTTTCGACCAATATCAAGACTCGAAGAGTCTGCCGCGTACAGCTGATATGTCAATGTCAAAGAAATCATTTTCACAATTATCATTTAACGGCGATCAGGGGACATCATTTTCATTTAGTGCCGGTGCAGGCACCGGTAATGAAACTGGTATTTCCAGTGAAGAATTTGCTCCGGGAGAACTGATGCAATCGAAACTATTAATGGATGAAATATCCTGGGCCCAAGAATATGCTGCCATACCGGCAAAGACATTGAGTGAACAGGCCAAAGAAAAGGCGGCCATAAACGAGGAAGTGGTGTCAAATGGCTTTGACTCGCCCTCAACATCAAAGTAAGTGAGATTTATTTAAAAAATATTGACATTAATTCAAAAACATTTATTGCAGCTCCATAATAGCCGGCGATCCCAATTTTTCGGTGGGTAACTTCTTCCATATGCGTTCTGAGAATATATGGGACATTGTTAAGTCCAAAAGTCCTGACAAATGTCGTACCCCATTTGCCCTGGTAGATGAAGATGATAGTAACATGGTTAGCACTTCGAATATAAACGGCGATGGATATTCCGTACCTGCCACACCCATAATAGATAATAAGACCTACACTCGTGTTAATAGTCAGTTGGATGTAAATCATGAAAGCAAGGATTCGGGAAATGCCTCAGAAAATTCATATCTTTTAAGTATGTCAGCTATTGGTAGGGCTCTGGGTAAGAAATGCAATAGAGAGCGTATAAAACTTTGGAATATTGACTGTGTATATCTTAACTTTTAGAAAATCTGGATGGCGCCTCAAGCACCAAAACAATTAAATCAACCACTCTGGATGTCACTCCCAAGGCTGATAATAAAACTTATACCAGAGTTTCGAGTATAATTAACTCAAAACATGAGAGCAAGGATTCGGGGAATGTTACCGATAATTCCTATTTGTTGAGCATGTCTGCCATTGACAGGGCATTGGGTAAGTTGAAAAATGATTTATTTTCAAATATAAAAATTTATGATTTACGTTTTCAGAAAATTTGGATTCCAAAAATACCTCAACTACTGCCCTAACTGGCCAGCTAATAATGCAGGCCAAGAAATCACGCTCATGCATGAACCCCCAAACGATGGGCAATGATAATAGCTCCGCTGCCACCATGGATTCGCGGCCTCGCAGCGCCCTATCCTTGGATTCTGATATGAAAATGCCCAGCCATGATATGGCAAATCTGATATTAGAGAATAAGGAAAATGTTGATCCCATAACAGGACGTGGCAGCAATGGCAGCAGAATTGACCTCTCCGACACCATAAGCTTTACAGAGTCACTTTTAAATTCAAGTGATATGAAAAAAATGGAACGTAGTCAAACGCAGCAAAAAATGCCACGATCACCTCTGAGTCCAATAGAAGTGGCAACGACCACTCCAAATATATGTATTACAGAGGCAGCCGTCGATGATGGGGCCGAGGCGGACAATGATGAATGGCCTGGTACGCCAAAACAAAATTTAAGTCGCCGTGTACGACGCAAATCTCCACGTGAGCGCAGCCCTATGCGACCAGATGTTGCAGATTCGCCGCATGAAGATGATAATGCCAGAACTCCTGTTAATTCTCGACCATCTCGTGCCTATGTAGTTGATAAAAGGGTGACTGCGGTTGGTGTGGCCACCAATAAAGAACCTAAATCTCTATGTTCCACCCGCCTTGATGGTGATCCTCGAAATGCTGCTGTTGATTGTGATTTTGGCATATCACCTAATCTGTCGTCAAGCAAAGTGGGTGCCAGTTTGGCAATACGTAGTACCAGCAATGCTCAGCTATCACCGCGTAGCGTCAGTGAGTTTAGAGTAGAAAGTTCTCCACTTTCGTCTACGGCGTCTGCACGTTATCAATATTCTCAAAGTTCATCACCCACACCAACCTTGGATACGACAAGTAACTCAGAACGCCAGTTGCTTTCGGCTGGTGTTGGTGGGGGAGGTGCAGGCTTGGCCCGTAAAGTTGTCTCCTCACCTGTGGGTAGTGAAGCGTCCAGCACCTGTAGTTACAGTACAGTACATTCGGCTCGCTCAGTGGCTTCAGCTTCGAATATGCGCAGTATTTCACGCTGCTCTAATTCCAGTGAATTTAGCCATCGTGATGGCAAACAAATTCCGCTTAAAGTTACCACGCTGGAGTTGTCTTGGGGCAGCATTAAATTGCGTAGCGATTCACGCAAGTCGATGCAAATCAAAAACATTGTCAGCAAACGTTTGGTCATACGCATTGAAGTGAGTGGCCCAGGCTTTCAAATTGTCAATTCGGAACGTAACAATACCATAACAATGCATTCCCAAGAATGTCGTTCCATAAACATTAGCTTTTGTCCCACTGTACGTGGTGTGGCAATTGGTAAACTATCATTCTACGCCCCCACCACCAATGGTTCGGGTTTGGGGCAATCTTTTCTCGATGTTGCCCTTTATGGGTATGGTGGCAATGCCAGTGTTGTGCCACAAAATATTTTAATGGGACCCGTCGGAAGTCCCTTCATAACAATGGGTGATCTATGTGAGCTTACACATCCTTTGGAACGCACCGTAAGTTTCTATAACAAAGGTCCGTTAATGGCATTTGCTGTGGTGTCCATTGACTCGCTGGGCCTTTTATTGCCACGCCTCTGTGATGCCTTTGAAATATATCCTCAAAAAGTTTTGATACCTCCTCAGCACACAGTGGATGTGCGCATAACATTTAAGCCGCGGCGAGAGGAGATCAAAAAAATGTTAAAGAAAATGAGAAATGTCCTAACCCTGGCCAATATGCGTGTCATATGCGGCGATGAGGCCAATCGTCAGCGCATACGTCGCCTCCTAAAACAAATGAGTGAAAAAGATCGTGCCAAAATGTCCTCAAATGTCTTGGATATGCTGTGGACTAAATTTGAAAATGAAATGGAAATGAAAGAGCTGGAAAATATTCATGAAAATCCCAGTGTTGCCATGGATTTGGCTTCGGGTTTTCGTATACATGAGATACTGCTGACCCTTAACTATGATAATATGGATGAAACTGCCGAGGCCTCCTCGCTATTTTTGCCGGAGGGAGATGAAACCGTGTTGTTTCGTACCGTCGTATGTGCTGCAGATTCACCAACACCACCGCCCACATCAAGTCTGGGTACGGTGAATGAAATGTATGAAGATGAGGCTGAGGGTGAAGAGGAGGAGCGACAACGTTCCACCAGCAACAGTGCCAGTGCAAGGCATCAGCAGCAACAATTGATTTCATGGTCTGTTAAGCCATCAATTTTGGAAATTAATTTAAATCGCCGTTTTGATAGATCATCACTGTTTGTCCATAATGGATTTAAATCACGACGATATTTTGAAATTGCATGCAATAGGAAACAGTTATTTAAGTTTAGCCCCTCTGAAGGTTACGTGGCTCCGGACAGTGGCCAAACGGAAGTTGTGGTCAGTCTCAGTGCCAATGCAAAAGAAGACGATCTAAGAGATGATGTCTTAATTATGGTAAGTTAATGGTAGTTTCGGAGTATAAGTGGAATTTTAATATGAATTTTTGGATTCCAGGTTTATATGGAAAACGAAAGGATTACGGTTCCAGTGAAATTCATCAACAACGTCTTTTAAAAATAAATGTTAAATGTTTTGTCCTTTTTTTATTTGGTCGATTTTAAGATATATATTTTTTGTAATTTTAAAACGTATATTGCTAATGATCTATAGCTACCCTTTCATTTATTTATATTATATTAGCAAGCAACAAACAATTGGTTTTAGGAATGTAATAAAAATAAATATCCATACTTTCAAGTCATTTCTTCAACATCAGCAAGGGAAGAATCGGAACTACTTTGAAACAAATTCCCAGTCCTTTCTGGCCTACATCCTTCCGGAATAGAAGATGAAGGTTTCTCATCTGCATGATGAAACCTGATCTAAAACTTAGGCCGTTGATCATTAAAGGTCAGTCCAACTAAAGGTCTATGACTTCCAATATCTGGGAGGGTGAGAACACAGCTGAAAGTGCAGGTCGAGGGAAATGTTATTCCTACCACAAGTTTAAACAAAATCACAGGTGTCTCATTTAGGAGCATGTTCAAGCCGTCCGCGCAGGCCACAGCTATCTGCAACAAAATGAAAAGTAGAAACTAGGTCCTCAAGACGCTAGACGACAGCACTTGGAGTGGGTACAAGGGACTTTTTTGACCTCTTATAAAGCTATATATGGGCCAGTGTGATCAGCGAATAAAAGTGCTATGGAGTGGAAGATAATGCAGATGAAGGCAGAGATGAGAACTGCGACAGGGTGCCTCCTCATGAAACTATGTCAGCAAGGGAAGAAACGGAATTCCTTTGAAGCACATTTGTGTCTTGCCAACACTCTCTCGGAATAGATGAGGAAGTTTGCTCATCTCAATGGCCAAACCTGATCTGATCTGCTGCGATTAAAGGGTCATGACTTCCAATATCGGCGAAGATGAGAACACAGTGAATATACAGGTCAAGGGAAATTTAATTCCGACCACGGATTAACCCAAGATCCTAGGGGTCATATTCGACATCTTCAATTCGTTCCCGCAATCCACAGCTATCTGCAATAAAATGAAAAATAGGAACAGGGTCCTCAAAGCGCTAGCCAACAGCACTGGAGATGCGGACAAAAAGGCCCTATTGACCTCAGATAACGCAATAAGTCGATCTGTGGTTAGCTATGCGGCCAATTGCGGTCTTTGGTTACAGCCTGCGAAGGTAGCCGAATTTTTGAACCTCGAACTAGAACCGGATTAGCAGAGGACAAACCAAGCTGTTATAACAACAACAATTTGCTCATCTCCATGGCGAAATCTGCCCTTACACATCATTACAGGTCACATGACTTCCAACGACGATACAGGCTACTGTAGACTCTCTGGTTACAGCCCAAAAAAGTAGCCGAATTTTTGAACCTGAAGTTAGGGCCACATTAGCAGAACCCGAACAAGACATGTAAAACTGCTACAACAACAATTACACAATTCTGTCAAGAAGACGAGGAGGAGACTGAAAAAAATATCCTTGATATGTCTTCACTTATTGACACAGTACCAGCAGTTATCCTTGAACTGAGTAATATTCTAGAGAGTGGCTTAAAACGGCACCATATTATTTCATCGTGCATTTTCGATTCTAGTCATGGGTAAAAAACTGACCCCTGAAACCTCAATAAAAGCTGCTATATTTAGAAGAACTGTGAAAAGATACCCTAAAGATGAGGGAAAGTCTTCTGAGGGTTCTTCAGTGCATAAAAGACCAGAGATCAAGTTGATAGACTACTTCGTATAAGGGCCTCTTTAGTATATCCACTGAAAAAAGACCTCTTCGAAGATTTTCTATCTATAGGAAGCCCCTTGAGACGTTTCGTAGGTAAAATCGAAATCTCAGTGGGGCTTTTATTTATTGAAGGTCTCAGAAAATGTCCATCTATAGATTGAAGAGCTCTTAAATCGTCCTCCACTGAGAAAAGAGCTTTCCAAAGATTTTCTTATAACTTTTCGTAGGTGAAATCGAACTCTCAAGGGGGACCTTTTATTTATTGGAGTTCTCTAGAAAGTTCTATCTATAGACTGAAGAGCTTTTAAAACGTACGCCACAGAGAAAATAGCTTTCCAAAGATTTTCTAGTGACCCTCCTAGGCTGTCTTATAGGTAAAATAGAGTTTCCAAACTGCATTCTATCTATTGAAGATCTCTAAGAAGGTGTATCAATAGAAATTTTACCGAAGAAAAGTTAAATCCGTTAAACTTATATCTAGAGAAGATATGTGTATTTGGAGAGACCTTTCGAAGTCCTTCTTTAACAAGCTTGTGCCATGCTGAACCCTCTTCAACAGTCTCTATGAAGGCTTCAGCACAAAACCTCCTCACCACAATCATACTTACTTCACACGCAACAAAATTATCCAATGATTTCTTTGCCTCTTTTTTGTTTCGCCCAGAATCTGCGGGTGGTTCTTAGTTTATTCTGTAGGCTTTTGGTTTTCAATGTACAATACATCGTATCAAATGGAATCATAGAAAATAATTAAAAAATAATTTACCGTATTAGTGTGTGGACTTGTAATTAGCAAAGTTTGTGTTTTTCTTTCTTTCTTTTAATAATATTTCCACGAGTCAATGGATTCTTGATTCTTTTGCTTACTCTTACGTTCAATTAATCCTGCCAAATGTTCGGAACGCATTGACAGTGAATCGATTTTCTCCACCAACTGTTGATAGGGACTCAACGGTTGTGTACCCATAACAACATGGCCCAATTTCGAATCGATTTTTGCATTTAATCTGGCATTACGAATCAAATTGACAATCCAGCATTCAGCTTCAGCGGGGGTCATATTCAATTTGTCGGCCAACATACTGATGGTAATGCACTGATGAATGCGACAGAATGTCTCGAAAATCATTAGGCGGGCATCTTCAACAAACTCATTGAGGCAGGCAACAATGAAGAAATCATTCAAGATAACCGTTTGGCATTCGTGGAGCTTCAGACGGGCACCTTCAAAATCAAAGTTGACATAAAGGCACTCCAAGAATTCGGTAATGGGATCACGATATGTATACGATTCCTGTTGAATGACCTTGATCAGATCCTTGAGGGCATTGCGACGTGTACGATTGATGATGACGGCGGTGGCCAAGTAACGCATAATGTGTGGGCACATTGTTTGAATGGCATTCAAATACAAGGGTTTGTGCAAAAACATTTCAATGATCAAATCACGGCCCTTGGGATGATTGAAGAACACCAAAACGGACCAGTGAATGAGCCAGGTGCGTTGTTGCAATGCCTGAACTGTTGAGAAATTGGCATTGTCAATGTAATCACGCAGACGGGTTAAATCTTCCAATGCTGTGTTCCAGTTCAAGGTCAGGATTTCGGCAGCCAATTTACCCCACAAGACATTCAAGTAGTTCTGGAAGAAGAGAGAGAAAAAGAGGATTTAATGGATGATAATAAAATACAAAGGGAAAATTAAAAAAAATCATCCCCTGACGGATTTCATAGACTCAATGTAGAAATACTAAATGTCCCTAGTTTTGGATGAAAATAAACAATTTCTTCATCATTGCCTGAAACTGTAAGCCAAGTTGAAGGGATTAAAACCTGGGATCAGGAGTGGAAAAGCCAAACTTCGTTTTCCCAGAAACACGAAACATTTGATGTTTAATAAAAGGAAGGCGTGTTATATTTAGGGATTGTTTTGCCTGCACTTGGACCCGAACCAACAGCAGCATTTTCTTAAAAGCGATGCTATTTGATATATTTTAAAGCTGTTTTGGCGGATCCAGCTGCCAAAAAATATCATCTCACATTAAAACAGGCATCAAATCTCAATAGTATTGGTTCCGGAGGGCAGAAGCTCTAGTTTTACATGATCATTAACAATGAAATATAATTTATTATCTAATCCTTGTTGTGAATTTAGCAACCCTTCTCTTAGAACCCAAATGTTTTAGGGGTTCTTGCAAACGTTATAAGGTGTATTTCATTGTAAAATAGTTATGGTCTTTACATTACTCCATCAAAAGATCATATGAGCCACACCCAGTGTAAATCTCAGCAAACCTCCAGTTCAAGGATGTGGACAGTTTTTGCAAGTTTTCTAAATATTTATACCCAGAATTTGATGTCCTTAAATTTCGCTTTCCTTCTATCTTATTATTCCCCACAATTAGGGTGGTTCCCCATTCCATTCTGCATTGCTAAACTTACCTTATCATCGGGCGACATCACAATCAAACAGAAGTACAAATACGATGTGGATTCCTGGTAGTTACCACACTCGTACAAATATTTGGCCAGCTTATAGGCACTTTCCAAATGTTCATCCTTGAAATTGTAGTCCTTTTGCAGGGCATTGACAAACGTTTTGGTGTCCTTCATGCTCTCACCATTCTTCAAGATATCTGTTGCTTTCATCAAGGGTGCAACTTCATTTTGCAATTGCTTAAGGGTGGCCAATACTTCAGCCTTACGCTGGACCAACTCTTCGGGCATTTCTTGGCTCAAGCCCAAACGTTTGCGTGTATCCATGGTGTAATCAATCATGTTGGTCTTGTTCACCGTTTCCAAAATGTATTCGAGCAGCTCTTTTTCATCGTAGATCTGTAAAAAACACAAATCACATTAATATCTATAATTAACAAGCATTACCACCAGTTTGGTCATCTGCCCGTGCAAACCAAAACATTTCTGCACGGCTTTGCTTTGCTGTTGCTGCTGGTGGTGTATATGAAGAAAACTAACCTCTTTGCCACACAGAAATTCCAACAAAGGAAAAGTCAAATGCCGATCCAAAAATTGACAATTTGTTCTTGTTAAATCAAACTCTGCCATTTTGTTTTGTATATTTTAATACTTTTTAGCTTAAAATCCTTTAATTTCCACTATTTTTTGGCAAAAAATAAGCGTGCTGACTCGAATTGGCAAATAATTCGATGAAACGTCAAACGTGTAAAGGAAAAAAAAATAAATGGTTTATCGTTATCGATTACAGTTGATAAACGATTAAAGTGGACAAAATATCGTAATCGATTGGGTTAACTGTCAAAGGGGGACATTGCAATCGACGCATAACGTTACCGTTCTTTTTGCGCCATTTAATTAACGAAAGGAAATATTTGTCTTTTTTGTGGAAAAAAAGGATTTATCGTGTAGAAAATTAAATATTAAGTATATTTCTTGAGATTTCAATGCATTCTGACAAAAACAATTATGTGTAAAAGGTTTCCTTTGTGCGAAACGGTTTCGGAGTTTTAAAAGAATCTTTGAAAGGGTTAAAAAACTAATCACTTCCAATATGGAGTGCCAATTTCCGGGCCGTGTGTTCCAAAAAAGATTTCGGGGTGCTTTCGGTTGTAAAAATGGTACCAATCAGTAAATACGTGGAAAATGTGAAATGAAAAATTATTATTAATTTTGGAGGGGCCAAATCGGAGCAAGTTGAGTTTAGGGGCTATGCTCGGATCATTTTGAAATTTTTACCGCAGGTAGGTATTTGTAACCTGATTACGGCAATGTAATTTTTTTGTGGGGGAAATACCCGGTTACCCGGTTATTCGACCCAAAAGTTCGAATATAACATCCGGTTTGTATCCGGTTCTACGTAACCGATATCAATAAAATGGGTATCATTTGAAAGCTTATGAAAATACCTATCCAACAAGTGGTCATATGACGGGGTTGCTGGAACCGGTTTCGGAGAAATTTAGGAAAATTTGCATTTTAGTATGAGTACTTTTTGAAAAACCTATAAAAACTCGAAAACGGACCCATTATAGGGTCTTAAAATCTATACACTATATTATAGCTAACACTATTGCCTTTCCAAAATGGTGTCATATGTGTTGATATCTTTTGTGGTTCCGTGGATATAAGAGATAGAATTCATTAAATTATATTTTTCTCCAGTCTAGATGCATTTGACTTTGACCTTTATAGCTTTTTTAAGCAACCGGCCTTCGGCCGGGGCTTAAGATTTTCTCCTCTGGGGTATGTCCAACACCGGCTACGCGATCCATAGTTTTTCTAAAAATTGTACATTTTGTAAGTAGCCGGCCTTCGGCCGGGGCTTAAGATTTTCTCCTCTAGGGTATGTCCAACACCGGCTACGCGATCCATAGTTTTTCTAAAAATTGTAATTTTTGTAAGTAGCCGGCCTTCGGCCGGGGCTTAAGATTTTCTCCTCTAGGGTATGTCCAACACCAGCTACGCGATCCATAGTTTTTCTAAAAATTGTAATTTTTGTAAGTAGCCGGCCTTCGGCCGGGGCTTAAGATTTTCTCCTCTGGGGTATGTCCAACACCGGCTACGCGATCAATAGTTTCCTAAAAACTGTAGTTTTCGAAAGTAGCCGGCCTTCGGCCGGGGCTTAAGATTTTCTCCTCTGGGGTATGTCCAACACCGGCTACGCGATCCATAGTTTTTCTAAAAATTGTAATTTTTGTAAGTAGCCGGCCTTCGGCCGGGGCTTAAGATTTTCTCCTCTGGGATATGTCCAACACCGACTACGCGATCCATAATATTCTAACAACACCAAATTAAAAACAAAGCAGATTAACAAGAACGTTAAACCCGACACAAAACTTGGGTTCACTCAAACTGCTTTCATAAGTAACGACTTTAAAAGTCAATATCTTCGGAACTACAAAAGATATCAACACATATGACACCATTTTGGAAAGGCAATAGTGTTAGCTATAATATTGTGTATAGATTTTAGGACCCTATAATGGATCCATTTTCGAGTTTTTATGGGTTTTTCAAAAATTACTCATACAAAAATGCACATTTTCCTAAATTTCTCCGAAACAGGTTCCAATTACCCCGTCATATGACCACTTGTTGGATAGATATTTTCATAAGCTTTCAAATGATACCCATATTATTGATATCGGTTACGTAGAACCGGATATAAACCGGATGTTGTATCCGAACTTTTGGGTCGAATAACCGGGTATTTCCCCCACAAAAAATTATATTGCCGTAATCAGGTTACAAATACCTACCTGCGGTAAAAATTTCAGGTCAATCCAAGCATAGCCCCTAAACTCAACTTATGCCGCCAAATCTTATCGTAAACAGAAACAAGGGTTCCAGGCTCTTGTATTACTTCGTTAGAAACGGTTTTGGTGTTTTGGAAGAGCTAAAAAGGCCATAACTACCAAAGGGATGGCCTCATTTCCGGGCAGTGTATTTCAAGAAAATATTTCAGAGTACGTTCAGATGTAAAAATGGTACCAGATAGTGCATTTCGTGTTAAAAAATATTAATCTTTAACGGATCGGAGATACCCGTAGACAGAAACAGAAACAAGTCGCCTTTTTTAACTATTAGTTTTTCGTGTGAAACGGTTTCGGAGTTTTAAATATTGTCTTTAAAGGGAAAGAAAGCGCCTTTTTAACCGATTTTTGTATTTTCGTGTGAAACGGTTTCGGGTTTTTAAATATCGTCATGAGAGCATCACTAACAAAAGAATTTACTTATTACCGGGCCGAGTATTTCTATAAAATATATCAAAGTGCGTTCGTTTAAAAAAATTACTAACCCAGAACGATCTGGAGTCCTCCTCGTAGTCAGAAAGAAGAACGAAACTCGGTGTAAGTGGAGAGTACATAAAGCTAAAATAGAACATGATTGAGCTTGGTGAGTAAAAATATTCAAATTTCTCTCTAATTTTAGTCATCTTGGATAGAACTAGTCATTTGAAGCTGAATTTAAAAAACACCTTTCTTTTTGGCAAGGGAGTAAAGATGCCATTTATCAGGATAAACTCGTATTTTTGTCAAAAATCTGATATAGATGTATTCTTCGTCGTTAAAATCAAACTTTGAATTCACTCAATATCATTAAAATATAAGAAATACTTTTGTATTATTTTATAAATATTTTATTTTTGAATTGTTCGCAGCCGGTGCAAAAAATGCCAGAGATACACACAGAGAGATATCAACTATATTTTTAACAACTATTTAATCATCGCTTTCCAATGAAATGTTGCTGCCAAAACGTTGATACAACTGAGCTTTGAGTTCATTCATTTCGGCCTTAATATCGTTTGCTTTGGCTTCGATGGCAGCAATTTCTTTCAATGTTTGTTCTTTGGTCTCTTGCAAAAGTTCCTGAAAAAAAGAAGGAAAAATATGTTAATAAAAACACACAAAAAAGAAGATTTAAATACAAAAACAATATTATCAGGAACATATATCCGATTAGGCTAAATATTCTTAAGAATTCCTTTTTGTATAAATTTTGTCACAGAAACGATATTCTATTATGACCTATAAAATACATGCCGTCCCCATCTTAAAGCAATCTTATAACGGACATTATGATATCCACCTTATGTGAACCCAAAAAGGGTTTTATATGGGTAAAAATCTTTAAATACGAGGGACTTAATAAAATTTAGCCCAACAAAAAAAAGGATTTTTCACCTGTGTCCTTGTCAATTTGTGTGACAGGAAAACTTCGCCGAACAGGAAGGGGATCTCTTCATCTTCATCGAACAGTTCAATTTCCTCCAAAGCCTCTTCCACACTTTTCAAATCATTCTTTTTCATTTCCAATTCAACTTTCAGCTCATCCATGCGGGCATTGTGTTTGGCAAATTTATTGATTTTCTGTTGATCTTCAAATGAAATGTGAACATCATCGTGCTACAAAAAAGAACATTTGTTTATATTCCATCGGCTACATTGTATTTATAGGCCCCCACACAAAATATGAGTAAGCAGCCAAAGGAAGAGCAGTAGTTTGATTGAGGTTAGACTTGGAATTTTTGTTGCTTTCTTCCATGGAAGCCATTTCTTGTGACTACTTACATTTTGGAATACTTTGTTTGGGGCATTTGCTACTTTTGCTGCCATTTTTTCTGTATTTAAATGCTTTTGCCTGTGATTAATTTAATTTTTTCTGAACAGTTGTTGCAGCTGTGCTCCTCTTTTGTGTGTAGGGTAATGTAGGTCGACTCTTGGTAGCAGGAGATAAACGATAAATCAAAATGAGTTAGTAATCGATAACTTTATTTGCTGCTAGTATAGCTGTGTTTAGTTTGTTTTAAATAAAAAGTTATGTGGCGACACATTAGACCAACGTTTTGCATTTACAACAAAAAAAGTTGGATATTATCTCACTGTTGCACTGGGACCTTTTTTTGGGAAGCATTGATGGATGTTTTAGTCTAAATTTCATTCATTTTGAATTTATTCTGTTGTATTTTTTGCTAATTAGGGATGTGTAGGTAGACAAAAGTTTTTGGATTTTTTTGTTAATTTCCCTGTCTTTTCGAGACATTTTTTTGCCAATTGGGGGTCTATAGGTCATTAGGGGTTTTATTGCTTAATGTTAAGATGTTTTTATATTGCTTCACATGTTGTATGTTGGCTGCCATGATTATTTTGCGTTATTTTTATAAAAAGGGAAATTAAATATATTTAAATGCCGCAAAGCCTATGAGAAAGAGGTATGTATTGCAGGATAACGACAAAAATTATAGAATATAATCAAATTTTCTGTGTGTTTAGAAGTTTTTCGCTTGTTAGGGGTCTATAGGTCGACATGGGTTTTATAGCTTTGTTCATTTTGTTTTGCATAGAAACAGCTGTAACGCTGTTTCGCAGAATAACGACAAATATCATGGAATATTTAACCAAATTTTCTGTGTGTTTAGAAGTTTTTCGCTTGTTAGGAGTCTATAGGTCGACATGGGTTTTATAGCTTTTGCATAGAAACAGCTGTAACGGGCAAGAGCACACAAACATCATGTGTTATTTGATTATTTAATCTAAAATGCGTTTAAATTGCCAACTACACTTGTTTTATGTTGGCTCTAATGATTAATTTGGTTTTTTATACATTCTAGCTAATTTTCTAAAAAAACAAAAACTATTGTTAAAGTATAAATGTGTAATTTATTTCATATATTTTATTTAACATAGTAATTCCATAATATATACGGTTATTTTGTTTTTTTTTTTTTCTCTTTTAATAATTTTAAACAAGTAAGTCCATTTTTTTGTTTCAAAGAATTTGAATTAAACACCTAATTACATATATAAAACGAACAATGCGAACGTATCTAATTAATGCATACTGTTAACAGTTTATTCACAGTTTATGATTTGTAGTAAATATTATATTTTCCATAGCTACAATTGAGTGTTTTTAACATTTTTTTTGCTAAGAAACAATAAAATTAAGAAAAGGCATTGCAAAATAAAATTAAATTTATAACTATTTTGCCAAAAAAATTAAATTTTAGCATTTTTATAAAATTAATAATAATTTGTTTTTTTTTTTTTATCATACATTGTAATTTATGTTTCCTATTGGCCCATATTATTTATATTTTGAAAATTCTTGTTGCGTTTCTTCATGGTGGTGATAGTTTAAGTCCATTTTTTGTCAGGTTTTGCATATCAGACATTCAAATCATCCATCATTTTATGGAAATCATTCAAAGATCCATAGGTATCGAAATTCCCTCTATCCCGTGTACTGTTGTGTGACATATTCGTTTGGGGTCGTGGCAGATTTAAAGGCACCGGCAACAATTCTGGCATTACCGAATGGTGGGTGATGAGGGCTCGCAATGAGGAAAATTCCTTGGTAAACCCCTAGAAGAAAAACAGATTTTAAGAAGGAAAAAAAAAAAATAATTAATTATTTTATAAAAATTTTTGAATTCTGATTTTTGATAGGATTGAAGTCAGCAAAACTAGTAAAACTAAAAGATTCTTGCAGATTCTGCAACAGAGCAATACCCACCTTAATTTTATAACCATTTGGAGTCTTCAAAATCAAGTAATGAGCAACTTTGGGCGCTGGCGGAGGTACACGTAGTGATAATGCAAAACATCCGGGTTTTGTATTACTTTGCCTAACTAAAAATGAGCCGGGTGGTTGTTTCGATAAGACCTCAAGTGATATTTCACGCGGAATGCCGGCCTGGAACCATGGAGCACCTTTCAGTTCTTTCTGTTCGGCCAGACTAAGACCCTCGACACGTAATGTCCCACTGGGCGATATTATTTTGGGACTTGAGTTGGCTGTAAGAAGAAATTTTGTAAAGTTTTCTTTTTCGAATCAAATTTCTTGGTTTTCTCACCACTACAAGTTTTCCTTAGAAAGGATTTTTGATAGCCAAATTCCGTATTCTGTTCGGTAAAGCATTGAGAACTCTTAAGATCGGTTAGGGACTGACGACACGAATCGCCGAATCGTGTTGATATGAATTTATCTGGATCACAAATTGCTTCATTTACATAGCCATCGGAGAAGTTGTGCGTCGATGTATATGAATTGAGGGAGGGAGGTGTGGTGTGGACCAATGGTCTGCTGTCTTCGGTGGTTCTTTTCAAACCCATGCCCATGGTGAGACGTTTAACCTGGAATGGGAAAAAAGGAAAATTTAAGTTGAGGAAAAAAAGGAAAATTTAAGTTGGGGGATTGTGTAACTGATTTCAAAAAAATTGTTAATGTTAAGGAATTATTTAATATTTCCTGAATGGAAATAATGGCAACAGGTCGTTAAAGTGAAATAATATGTCGTGCGAAATAAACAAAATTAAATAAACTGTCCTTTATAATATTCAGGTCTATATCGGTCTATTGATCCCTAGTTGGATTGAAACCCCGATGTATTTTAATCGTTATCGATCTATCGATTCCTTTTTGGATTAGATCTATTGATCCCCGTTCATTATCGATCTATTGATCCCTAGAACCTCGTCACATAAATCAGCGGTGCTCAAAACCGTGTTCTAGAACATGAACAGAAAAAAGAGATAATTTAAGAGAAAATTAAAATTCTGTTTTTCTTTATATTTTACGATTCAATTTAATTATTTTTAACATGAATGTTTGCCTAAATAATTTATAAAGCAAATGGATAAAAAATATTTGTATAAATAATGACTTAACACTGTTTTGTTCTTGATTTAAATAAGCAAAGAGAAATTTGACTGAAAAGAGATGTTTCTTTTTGAGCATCCCTGCATAAATACAAACGGAAAAGAGCGCGTTTAGACCACTTCTAAACCAATTAGGGATAAATAGATCGACAACGACCTATATATCCTATGACAGTTGTATTCGTTTTTTTTTTATTTCACATGACATATTTGGCAACTTTAAGGACCTGTTTTCATATTTCTGCTTCGTTCGCTTTCAGTTTCTTTCGACATAATGAAACTAGTAAAAGTTGATACAGAAATTGTTGATACATTTGATTTCATAAACCGATGTTTTTTCCAACTAGGGATCAATAGATCGATAACGATTCGTCATTCCGTTTGTAACACCCCACGTCCGTCTACCCGTATTTGGAATCCACTCTAGCTTCGAACGAAATGTAGTCGGCAGGACTTTGGTATTGAAAATGGGCGATGTAGATTCACGGTTTAGTATAGCCCCCATATAATGGTAGCTCCCGATATTCGGTATTTTGATGATGTTAGCGACATTATTCACCGGAATTGTTTCAAATTTGGTATTTGAAGTTCGCAATTGATACTACAGCCTATGACAGAAAATTTTGTGTGCAGGCCCACGTCTTCGTATAGCCCCCATATAACGAGACCTCCCGGTATTCGGTATTTTGATGATGTTAGCGACATTATTCACCGATTTTTTTTCCAATTTTCGCATTTGAATATTGAAATGGCTTATGACAAAAATTACGTATGCAGGTCCACGTCGTCATATAGACCCTAACATAATGGTATATTTAGTTTTTTTAAGATTTTAACAGATTTAATTTTTTGAAAATTACCAAATTCGTTTCAAATGGTGGAAGTTATTCAAAGTTCGAATTATTATATTTATTATATTAAATTAATATAGGTCGATAACGGTTTTAAAGTTAAGGAATTGCCTTTTATGGCTGAAAATTATTTAGAGCCTGTTTATTTATGACTATACGAAACGAAATGCGAACCACAAGTTTCATTCCAAACATATTTTTCCAAAGTTTCTCTCAAAATATCAGAAACTTGAAAAACTTATTAGGAATAGTGTTTTTCTTTCGGCATAAATTTCTTATCGTCATAAAAACCAGGCCCTAAAATTTAAAAAAAATGTTTCAATTTCCCTGAATGCAATTTTATGTCGTCGCTTACCCGTTTGTTTTCATAAATTGTGGTGTTAACCCAACTAGGGATCACTCGATCGATAACGACTTGAATATTCGGGATCTATAGGTCGATATGTTTGATTTTATAGATCGACGTTTTAACAGTGCTTAACCAAACAGGGATCACTTGATCGATAACGACTTCAATATTAGTTTAATCCATCTAGTGATCAATAGATCGATAATGAGTTGAAAATCCCTTTATATTTATATATTTTGTTTCGCATGACATACGTAAAATTTGAACGCCGTTTGTTTTTATAAATCGAGGTTTTAACCCAACTAGGTACCACTCGATCGATAACGACTTGAATATTAGGGATCTTTAAGTCGAAATGTTTGATTTCTTAAATCGATGTTTTAACAGTTTTAACCCAAATAGGGATCACTTGATCGATAACGATTTTAATATTTGTTTAATCTATCTAGTGATCAATAGATCGATAATGGCTTGAAAATCCCACGTGACCAGCTTTATATTTTGTTTCGCATGACATACGTGAAATTTGAACGCCTGTTTCCATATTTGTGTTTCGTTCACATTCAGTATCTTTTGACATAATGAAACTAGTCCATTCAGAAATTCTTCTATTAAAGTTTTTTTTTTCTCGAATTAAGGATCTATGGGTCGATAATGACTTTAAAGTTAAGAAATTGGCAGACTACTGGATATGGCTGAAAATAATTTAAGTTTTAAAAATTTTTATCTTTAAAGTTTTGTTTTATTTTCCCAGGAATTAAATTTTCAATTCCATGCCAACAACCCACCTACATTTTTGCTTTGCAAATCGATCAATTATGTATTGTTGCAACTAGAATAATTAATTTCTCATTCCATGCCCAACCCACACCATGTTCCTATGGCCTGTTTTTGGTTTTCATTCATACAATGTTTGGCTGAATGCACAAAACACTTTCACCCCAGATTACCTATGTCGACCATGATGTGGATGTCATAACAATGCATGGCCATAATAACAATAGAGTTGTCCTGTTGCAGTGACGTAGGAAGCATACAAAAGGAAACATTGTACAACACACATCCTTCCCCATATGCTCTTCCTCCTCCTCCAAATCCCCCGCTTGAACAGCAGATACAAATGAAAACAATGGAAGTTTTTGCCAGAAAAAAATGCCATCAACGCTACCTGCCATACAACGGCAGCAGTAGCATTCATTCTCCAACCTCTCCGGAACACACAACTCGGTCAAAAAGCCAACACAATTCCGCTGTTCAGTATCCTCATAGCTTTCCGGCACACTACTAAACAATAAAGTCGTCGAACTTTAGTGTAATTGTAAAGATTGTAAAGTTATCCTTTTTTGTAGGAATGGGGAGAGAGAGACGCAGGGATGGGTAGTTGGCATTCATCATCAAAAACATTCTCCCCTCATATTTTCATTTCATTTTCTAGTTTTTTTTTGTGCTGCCGGATAACATATTCATGGAGTTTTGTAATATTTAAAAAGAAATTACAATAAACTGTTGAAAAATAGTTTGTTCTCTCTTTTTTTGGCTGTTGCATGCAGGCATGCATGCATGCTTGGGGATGTAGTTAACTGGTTAAATGATTCAGTTTTTTTTTTTTTTTTTTGGGAAAATAAGAAATGAACAACATTTTGTGGAGGGGAACTTTGTTTTGTAATATTGAAGATATTGCAAGGGGATAAGGGCTCTCGATAAAGCCTAATGGGTTTTAAGGGGTTTGATGGCCATAAATAAATGATTCTGAAAAACCTTTTTGCATTTTTTTGGAAAAATGTCAGAGACTGATGCCATGAAATAATAAACTGTATTAGTTGTACCACGGGATGAGGTTTTGCACTGAGAGACGGAATGGGTTTTATATAAGCTCGGTTCCACAACCCGCAAGTCTCTACTAATTTTTCCCATTTTTTCAATATCATAAAGAAAAAAATCGTTTTTATTCGTATAATGTTCACGTTCTTTCAGGTTCTTGAACAGAGCAATAGCTAGAAAGTCATATTGGCAAAACATTGCAACCGTTGAAAATATCCCGTCAAAGGAAATCTACACATCAATATGGTAATCAAAATAGTGACCAATAGATCGATAATGACTTTAATACCTATATGACCATTTTTTAATTGTTTTTTATTTCACATGACATACGTCGCATGATAGAAGAATGCAGGAAAACGCATCGAATGGAAAATTTTGAATGAAAAAAATATTTAAATTCGTTAAAATATTTGAAAAATGCATATCATAACAATTGCCGATTATCGATTATAAAAATCTACTTATTTTTGAAAACACATTCGATATGGTAATTAAAATAGTGATCACTAGATCGATAATGACTTGAATACCTATATGACCATTTTTTAATTGTTTTTTATTTCACATGACATACGTCGCATGATAGAAGAATGCAGGAAAACGCATCGAATGGAAAATTTTGAATGACAAAAATATTTAAATTCGTTAAAATATTTGAAAAACGCATATCACAACAATTTCCGATTATCGTTTATAAAAATCTACTTATTTTTGAAAACACATTTAAAATTTTTTGACATATCAATGTTTCCAAGCGTTCCCAATGCATCACCTCTATTCTTCTACCATGATACGTCGAAATTCTAACGACCTGTTTACATATTTCTATCTCTTCTATCGAAGCTGAAGAACAAGAGCTGCCTCGACAAGCCCGAGCAGTTTTGGCAAATTTGAGATCCGAACCATGCGACCGCGTCAATTCGTATTGGGCTCTTTCACTGCCCAACCACACAAACTATACAGGCTTGTTTCCTTTTTGAATTTAAAGATGGAAGAAGGACCAGGTTGAGAGGAATCAGAACTAATACACTAGTAGGAGGTACTACAACAACAACAAAAAACTCTGTGGAATTCTTGTTGTTGTTGCCGCTGTCGAAGCCTTTCCTCCATTCCCTTGAGATAAAGAGGTAGAGTTATACAACTTTAACATCAAAAGTATAGAGATACATAAGTCGAATTTCGTTAATTGGAAAGTCGATTTAAGTATCCCTATTTCCTAGCAGTTTAGTATAATAAGCATGGTAGAAGAATGCAGGCAATCGCTGCTGAGACAATCAAATGTCAAACCGATTTGGGAATTGAAATTTTTCAATGAAAAATTATTAAAATTTGTAAAAATTGTTAAAATTCATAGCATAACAACATCCGATTGGCGTTGTATAATATACAAACAAACATATACAAATCGACTTATTTTTGAAAAAAATTAAAAATTGCTAACATGAAAATGTTTCCAAATGCTGATGCATTTTCCTGTATTTTTCTTCCATAATAATTAATAAATAATAATTTCTTTTACTGTTAAAAGCCTATTGGATTGTTATTTTTAAAAATTGAAATGCACACCATTTATAACAGCTGATTATCTAGAATACTTATTGTGATTAGAATCACAGAGTGAAATAAATTTAAACAAATTTTGACATTTAATCTGATTTTGAAAATCTGATTGAAATTTTTTTTATTGCGCTATGTTTTAGATGATTTCATATTCATATGAATCATATAAAGTCGCTTTTAGGTTTAGGTCATTAAGATTTAACCTCTAGATTCTCGTTGCTGGCTTAAACAAATTACATAATTACAAAGAGAGAGATACGACATATTTTGCCTTTTTCAACAAAGCCAACACAATTCAATTGAGTTGTGAATGAGCAAAAACAACAAAAAAGAATGCCGTTATGTCTGACTTAATGTTGTCCTCGAGCCCAGATGTTTGACACAAAAGTGTTAATGTTGTGCTCTCCTTTGTGACGTTGTTGTTGTTGTTGACTCTCGCTGCCGTTACAACAAAAGTAATGTTTCCTTTGATGTTTACCTGTTGTGTCGACAATTGTGGACTTGGGGATAAATGTCTGAACAGGAGGGGGAGGATGTGGCGGTGAACACCTACACCTACTACTAGGACACTAATTCACACAAATACAACCATCTTTACATAATGATGGCCAACATTGTAACAACAACAAGAACAAAAAACAGCAACAAAATGCCATAAACATACAAAACTGTGCCAAGTTGTTCCTGCCATGTAAAGAGTTGCCTCAAGAAATGGAGCATCAACGACTCGAGCGACGTATTGACATACCTACCACCATTCGGGGAGGAAGGTAAACAGATATGCAGCAGATATGTTAATAAGTATATTTGTTGGTGTGTGCCTACAAATGTACAATTCCATGTAGCTGAGTCGGGGAGTAAACAACAACAACAACATAGTTTAGATTTTTTTTTACAGATTTGCGCATTTGCCATCATCATTACAACATTGCAACGCCTAGTTTTCACAAAAAGGTATTATTAAAAAATGTCTAGATATGGAGGTGAGAATGTGGAGAAATTTATGTATGGGTGTGTAGGGAATCTTTAGGCTGCACTTGATTTTTTGAGACTAACAGAAATATATAAAACTTTTTTCAGAACCAGGCTAGAAAGGTGTCTTTATGAGGATTCCGAAAGGGGAATGTTTCCTCAACATATATTGAAAGCCAGCCGAAATTTTAAAATCACGCATCAATGTAAAAGATGGAAGATATGTATAAACCTCTCTTGGGGGTCAGGAGCTCAACTTTCCGAGAGGTCAACAAAATACACCTACAAAAGGCCAGAAGGTTGGTTCTAGTAGAGCTCAAGTCATTTCGTATCGTAGACTCGTCCGTCGTGTGAACACATTCAAATTAGGGATGCATAGGTCGACTATCGATTAGTCTACTTTTGATTTTAAAAATGCCGAGACGACTTTGGCGACTAGAAAGGAGTCCTGATGGACATTCTGAAAGGGGAATATATCGTCAAAGTATAACAGAAGCTGATCGAAATTCCAAAATCACACAGCAATGTCAAGCCCGGAAGACATATTCAGAAATCACATTTCAGAAGTCATTTCCAATCGTAGACTCGTCCGTTGTGTGAACACATTCAAAAAAGGGAAGCGTAGGTCGACTATCGATTAGTCTATTTTTGATTTTAAAAATGCGTAGACGATTTTTGCTGACTAGAAAAGAGTCCCGATGGACGGAAGATATATTCAGAAATCACACTTTGAGGCCCTGAACTCCTCTTTCCGACAAGTTTCGAAAGTACCTCTACAAAAGGCCAGAAGGTAGATCTAATAGAAATCAGGTCGTTTCCATGGTAAACACATGTCAGTCATTTTAAATAACACTATCCATCTCTGCATTTTCTGTAATTTACCTAGTCAAATTTCACAGAATAAAAAAAAATCAAGATTCCATCTCTGATATCTGTGTATACAATGGGCTTTTAACTGAGATTTTGTGAAATGAATAATTTTGGAAAAAAATCGTAAAAAGATGATTGAATGACTTTACATTCTTAATTTAATCATGGGCTTTCCGTATTGTAGACTCGTCCGTCGTGTGAACACATTCAAATTAGGGATACGCAGGTCGACTGACGATCAGTCTACATTAGATTTGTATACCCTCCACCATACATAGTATGGAGGGTATATTAAGTTCGTCATTCTATTTGTAACACCTCGAAATATAAATTTTAGATCCCAAAAAGTATATATATTCTTGATCAGCATAAAATTCTATGTCGATTTAGCGAAGTCCATCCGTCTGTGAAAATCATTGTCTGGGCAGGTCCACGTCTTCGTATAGCCCCCATATAATGGTACCTCCCGATATTCGGTATTTTGATGATTTTAGCGACATAATTCACCGGAATTGTTTCAAATTTGGTATTTGAAGTTCGAAATGGATGCTACAGCCTATGGCAGAAAATTGTCTGTGCAGGTCCAGGTCTTCGTGTAGCCCCGATATAACAATACATCCCTATATTCGGTATTTTGTCGAATTTGGGCGACATTATTTACCGGAAATGTTTTAAATTTTCTATTTGAAGTTCGTAATGGATACTACAGCCTATGACAAAAAATTGCCCGTGGAGGTCCACGCCTTCGTATTGCCCTCATATAAAGACACCGCCCTATTTTCGGATTTTGGTGATTTAAGCGACATTATTTACCGGAATTGTTTTAAATTTGGTATTTGAAGTCTGTAATGGAGCCTATGACAGAAAATTGCCTGTGCAGGTTCAGGTTTTTATATAGCCCCCATATATCGGTACCTCCCTATATTGTTTGAAATGTCGTATTTGAAGATCCTAATAGCTACTACAGGCTGTGATAGAAAATTGTCTATACAGGTCCAAGTCTTCGTATTGCCCTGATATAACCGTACCTCCCTATATTCGGTATTTTGATGAGGTCCATGTCTCCGTATAGAGCCCAATACGACTATATTCGTTATTTATAAAATCTTAACAGAGTTTTTATTATTTTTTTTTTTTTTTTGAAAATTTCGTTCCGGCCCCGAATTTACTGCTTCTCTAATTGTTAGAATAACTCTTGGGGTTTTGTAAACTTTTTAATAAGGACTTGGAGCCCTTTGTTGAATATTTCTAAGAGATTAGTTGTATTTTTTAAAAAACATGTTCAAATGACCATCGGAGTTTTTCAACAATTACTATTGTCCCTGATGGACTATCAGAGTCCATGTATATTTAAAGGGCTACATGAATTTGTTTAGGTCCTCATGAGAGAAATTTAAGTTTTTCGTGAGTAGAACATTCATCGGGGAAGTCATAACAACTCGAAGAAAAAATGTTAACTCAATTATGAATATCCGCGCCAATTTGCCTTCCATGTAAAGCATTTTTCTCGAGAGATCATTCCTCCAATTATGATTATTCGAGGAGAAATAATTTGCGAATATGGCAACGCCAATGGGCTTTTTTCGTATCTGGTGTTTCCTATTAGTTTTGCAATCGAGATTTTTCAAAAGGGAATGCAATTTTGAGAGCATTCGTTCTCTCCGAGTTATTTTCTGAGAGAGATTTTTGTTTATGGGAAGAGAGAGAGAGCGATTTCTTACGAAACTGTTATTTTTTTAAGATTGTGCTGATTAAATGCTCGCGTTGTGAGGAAACACTAAGATTTTGGAAGAGTTTTTTTTTCGAAAAAATCAGCACATCATCTGTCTCCAAAGAAAATTCCGTAGATTCCTTTAAAAGTTTCCAAAGACAGTTTCGTAGATTCCTTTTGAGGTTTCTTAATGTAAAATATTTAAAAAATCTAGTTGTCCTTACCAATGGCGGTTTATCCAATAGACGCCGACAATTATTCATTTCCGTGACTGAATTATCCTCCTCGGAACTGGGTGACAATGGGACCTGATGCGGATGATGTTTCACAATGTTGGCGTCTTCATTGCAACTGCAAAGCAAAGCAAAATGGGAGGAAATAAAAATAAACATTTAAATAAATATTTAATATTTGTTGATGGTATTTAGCTTTCGGCCATGGATGAATGCTAGTGGATGGAGGTGGCTCCCATGCAAAGGAGGATATATGTTAATAAATAAATATTTTATTACACACACACTCATACATATATGCGTGTGTGTGTAAACACTGTATGTGAGCCATAACCTACCCAATGCTAATTTGAGGTAAAGCCTGAATGGTATTCGGCGTTGAGCGTCTTCCCAAACTGCTGGCCATGTGATGTGATGATGACGACACGTGATGTGGTTGTTGGTTCTGATACTGATGTTGGAGGTGATGGGTCGCAGGTGACGGTGGTGTCGTATTATGATGGTGGTGATGATGATGTTGATGGTTTTCCATGCGTAATCGTATATCTTGCATGATGTTGTTCTTTTTCCCGGCTATAGCCTTATTTTGTAGACTTCCACCGGAGCAAATCATTTGTGGTAGTTGTTGTTGGTGCTGCTGCTGTATTTTTTATTGATATGGTAATGATGTTGGTGACGATGTCATTGATGACTTGCTGAAGTGTTTGTTCGTGTGGCGCATAACAATTGAATTGTCACGTTGTACATATTCTGATTTTATTGTTATTTTTATTATTGTTGTTTTTGTTGTTGTTGATGTTAATTGTTTCAATCATTTCACTATTAATTGTTTTCACTCTTTTTTCATATCAATTTCAATTAAAATTGTTTGTTTATTTATCCACGTGCATGTTTGTTTGTAAATATATTAATGTTCAATTGAAATGTCAGCATTTTTTCATCAATGGAGGAAGGTCGGAATCTCTGTAATAGGTAGCGGATTTTGTTGCTTAATAGTAAAAATTAATGTTTGTTTTTTTGGAAATAACTTTAATTGTTCTTGAATTGTTTGATCATATTTTAATGGACTTTCAGGGTAATTGGATTGTTTTCAAGGACTACATGGACCTGCATCCATAAACAAATATTTTTAATTACCACCTCCCAGGACACCCTGTATCCCAAATGAATATTCGTTTGGAATTCTGTTCCCACGAAGGCATTTTTCTGGAGAGATTATTCCTCTAATCATGAATAAGTGAGGAGTAATAATATGTGAATATGGCAACACTAATGAGCCTTTTTCGTATCTCGTGTGCCCTATTTGTTGTGCAAATTTAAAGAGTTATTTTAAACCCGTCTTCATGGGATGGAAGTTATATTAAATTTGTCATTCCGTTTGTTACACCTCGAAATATACATTTTTGACCCCACTAAGTACATATATTCTTGATCAACATAAAATTAGATTTATGTCGATTTAGCGATGTCCGCTCGTCTGTGGAAATCACTCTAGCTTCCGAACGAAATGAAGTAAGTTGACAAAATTTTACTCAAATGTATATTATGTCTGCAGGACTTTTCGTATAGAAAATGGGCCATGTAGGTTCACGTTTTGGTATACCCCCCATATAATTGTACCTCAATATTTTCTGTATTTTGGTGATTTAAGCGACATTATTTGCCGGAATTGTTTCCAATTTCGTATTTGAAGTTCGTAATAGATACTACAGCCTATGACAGAAAAGTTTATGTGCAGGTCCACGTCTTCGTAAAGCCCCCATATAGCGGTATCTCCCGATATTTGGAATATTGTTCATTTTAGCGACATTATTCACCGGAATTGTTTCCAATTTCGTATTTGAAGTTCGTAATGGATACTACAGCCTATCACAGAAAATTATCTGCGCAGGTCCACGTCTTCAAATAGCCCCCATATAATGGTACCTCCCTATATTCGGTATTTTGATGATTTTAGCTACACCGATTTTTTTTTCAAGTTTCGTATTTGAATATTGTATTGGCTTATGACAAAAGATGGCTATGCAGGTTCACGTCCTCGTTTAGGCCCTAATATAACGCCTACATTCGATATTTTTAAGATTTTAACAGTATTTTTAACGGATTTCATTTTTTTTTTTTGGAAAATTGCCAAATTCGTTCCAAATGGTGGTGGGCATTCAAAGTTAGGCCAGGCCGAACTACTTTTTTAATATCCGCTGAATATCTGATTTTATTCTTCCAATCATCAATAATTGAGAAAAAATAAACTTCGAAGATGGCAACGCGAATGGGTCTTTTTCGTGTCTTGTGTGCCCTATTTGTTGTGGAAATTGGCGCAAATTTTAGGTCTTTGTTATTTAAAAACAATTAAATTAGTATGAGTCGGTTTTGACTCTTTATGAGGGAGGTCCGAAGCAGTTGGTCAATATTGACCAATTCGTATCTGACCTAAGACTGATATAAATGTTACAACGTGCCAGATTTGGACTATATCGACTATTACCTACACCTTATATGAAATATGTGCAATTTGTTTTAGAAAATATGGAAATATGCTTGAGGTAACCGACATAGCGGACCGAAGTATTCAATTTTAACAGATCATGTGTTGATGGAAATATTGAGATGTGCCAAGTCTGAATGGATTTGGATGTTAATTTCGTCTTTTATGAGCTTTACGAATTTTCAAAATGTTGACCCTTTGTGCGTGAAGTACCAGAAGGGGTGGACCGATATATCCCATCTGACCCCTGAAGGAAATCTCAGTGACAGTTTATTTTCATCACAAAGGTCGTCAAAGTAGGGATCCATAATTCGACTTTCGATTACACGACTTTTGACGTTGAAGTATCTAATATCATGTTCCCATTGCAAAAAATTACGGTGTTCGATCTCAAAATTACGTACACGAATAAAGGAGTTCACACGGCACGATTAATTAATACTTTTTTAATACTATTTGTGGCTTTTAATTAAAAAACATGAAACGCGTGCAGATCACGTATTTCTAAGAAGAGACGGTTAGTCTGTAAATAAAGACTTTTGAAAATGATTTCAAAAGAACTGATATTTTTAAAATGTTTAAAAACATATATTCCTATCTTTGTTATCTACCAATTTTCCCCTTTTTTTCTAATCACCCTCCTTCCCCAAGACAATGTCCATTCGAAAGCATGTCATCACCTTTCATCATAAATTTTGACATATTTTCATTATTAAAAAGTTGTAAATCATTATCGCGCTACCACTGCTGATTAATTGTGTGTAATCAGGCAACTGTCAAAAAATACTCAAACAAATCATCAACTCCACTTTACAATAGCACCAACGACAAAAATAACAACAACAATAGAAGATTTGGATAAACAAATAATGCGTGAGTTCCGTCAGGCGGAAAAGGGCACTTACCAGAAGAAGGGAATGAACGCACACACACACACGCATGACATGATACGACAATAAAGAAAAACACTTCAAATCAGATAGGAAATCAACAGCAAACAAAAAAAATGAGTTCACATTAATAATCGATAACATTGATCTGTCAAAAAAGACAAAGAATGGGTACTTGAATTTAGGATTTTAATTTTTGAAATATAGACATATCTAGGAATAGAGATTACAGAGGCGTGGCAACTTAAGACGATTTTTCGGAATTATTTTTTTTTTCAAAGAAAAGGTGTTTTTATGCTCTGCACTTGGCCTTCGTAATCGACGGGATAAATACAAAAAAAATATTTGAGATTTAAAAGGTATTCAGATTGACATAATTTTAAAGCTAGTAATACGTTTACCAGATTTAGTAAATCCTCCTAATGGAGGTTAACGTGGTGTGAACTATTTTGACAGGGGATCTCTGATTAGAAGAGGTTCTTATCGTATTTTCCTCCAGAAAAATCTCTTGGGGGAAATTTTGGAAAACCCCAAAGTTATGCCACATTTTCAATTAGTTATTAATGTATACAGTGTTTTTTTTTAATTATTTTTGCATTTTATTTCAATAATTGATTAAAAAAAACGACCAAGAAACATTGGTAAAATTGGCCATTCAGGATCGTAGTTTCAAACTTTTATGTTGCTCCATAGACTTATTAACATTCAACACATATATTAAAGTCCAAATATTTTAATTTTTTATTCCGGATTCCTAATATTTTTAAGAAATAAAGGCACTAATTTACACAACAAATAGGGTGCACAAGGTACGAAAAAGATCCAGTAGGATTTCCTCTCGAAAATGATTTGTCTTAAATTGTTTTTGAAAAATGCTTCCTGAGGGAGCAAGATTCCGTGTGGATATTAATGCGAAAATGGGCAATATCGGTCCACTCCTTCTGGTACTTACCCCACAAAGGGTCAACATTCTGAATAATTATAACTATTATATAATGTGATGTAAGTGTCCGATTGTCTTAAAATTACACACATCACAGTATTTTTATTAATCCAAGGTTTGGTGTGAAGATGGGATATATCGGTCCACTCCTTCTGGTACCTCCGCCACAAAGGTTCAAAATTTTGAATATTCATGAAACTCATAAAACGCGAAATTAACACCCGATTTCATTGAGACTTGGCACAGCTCAATATTTGCATCAACATAAGATCTATTATAAATATAGAAGCGATGGGACCATTCGTTCTGGTACCTCCCACACAAAGGGTCAAAGTTCTGAATAACCAAAACGATCATAAAATCCGAAATAATCATCCATCTCCCCTCGTGTTTCCCACATACCATTATTTCTTCTAATACAAGATCTGCTATGAAGATGGGATATATCGGATCATTCCTTCTGGTACCTTCCCCACAAAGGGTCAAAGTTTTGAATAATCAAAACGTTTATAAAATACGAAATAAGAATCATATTTCACACATCAGAACATTTTTATTAACACAAAGTCTGTTGTGAAGATGAAATATATCGGTCCACACCTTCTGGTACCTCTCCCACAAAGGGTCAACATTTTGAATATCCATAAAGCTCATAAAACGCGAAAATATTCAGACTTTTGGTACATCTCAATATTTCCATCAACACAAGATCTGTTATAAAGATGGTAGAGATCGGACCATTCCTTCTGATACCTCCCCCACAAAGGGTCAAAGTTTTGAAATAACCAAAACGATCATAAAATCCGTATAAGCATCCGGTTCTCTTCAAATTTCACACATTCAAATAGTTTTGCTAACACAAGATCTGTTGTAAAGATAACATAAATCTGCCAACCCCTTCTGGTACCTCACCCACAAAGATCACGTCGCAATCTTTATATCACATTTATTTAGTTCCGATAAGAAATGGTCAAAATTTGCCCATTCATTTGGAACATACTTCATAGAGGGTCAACAATTTTAATAATAGAAGTCAAAATAAATTGGCTGAGGGTATACGTCTGTCGACAAAACCGACTGATACTTTTTTTAACTTGTTTTTGTTGAGTAATTGATAATCAGGTAAAGATCTCACGTTCGCAGTTCAATTAGAAAAATGTTTAAAAATTGTCCATACTTGAGAACACTTTTGAAATGGTTGTTGTTTTTTTATGTTTTAATATTTGAACGGTTCATAAAATATATTTTTTTATAACATATTTTCCCTTCTTTTAGATAATTTCTTTATTATTTTAAAATATATGAACACAATTTAATATCCACTTATAAAAATTTTATCTTGATTATTATTATTATTTTATTATTGTTATTATTATTATTATTATTATTATTATTATTATTATTATTATTATTATTATTTTTATTATTATTATTATTATTATTATTATTATTATTATTATTATTATTATTATTATTATTATTATTATTATTATTATTATTATTATTATTATTATTATTATTATTATTATTATTATTATTATTATTATTATTAAATAATACTTTTTTCGATTAATTTTCAAGTCATATTGCTTGTATGTTTCACGCCTTTTCACGCCATTTATTTATTTTCATATTTGTAATTTAATCTTTATTTTATATTTTTTATTAAAACACAATTTTAGTTTATATAATTTTTATTTTTTATTTTTTTTATTTTAATTTTTATTTATTTCCTTTAATTCTATTATTTTAATTTTTAAATTCTTAATTTCTTTAACACTTGTCACGAGGCTTATTTTTAACCACTGTAGCTATAATAATGTGTATAATTCGTTCAAGATTTTTATGCGTTGGCTTAGATTCCGGTTAAATTACATCGTTGCAGGCCAAACACAACTAAAACTTTGTTGGTCAATGAAATCCGGTAATTCTTTTGTGAGAGAGAGAGCGACGACAAGACCAGATATTTTCCCAGCTTTCCGGTTTTATTTTCGTTATTTTTTGCTGGCTTTCTTGCATGTCTCAGCGCAACAATGCTGATGGATAATTTTCTACACAGATTTTCTTACACTTTATTCCTTTATTTTTTTTTTATTTTTTGTAATAAACACTAGTTTTGTTGCGTTCCGTCGCGTTTTTTTTATTCCTTCGTTTCTTTTTTGTCTCTGAGCCTTACAACATTTGTTTCTCTTCAGATTGATTGCATTACTAAACTCAGAGTGAATGATACAAATACAATAAACTGTGGGGATTTTCATTTTACTGTTGATGATGTGCTCTTGAGTTAGTGCGAGAGTGTGTCTGTGTGTGGTTCACTTCATTTCTTTAGCCGACACTTATGTTTTGCTGTTGTTGTTTTTTATTCATTGCTGTAACTAACCTCTATTGGCCACATTTTTCTCATAGGAAATACAAGTGGAATAAGAAGAGGAAGAAGAACAAGAAAAATAACACACTCTCATGTACAAAAGCCAGTAACACCTTCTCCTTACATTGCCGCTATCTCTATGACACACTCTCTCTCTCTCATAGAGAATGTCAGTTGGTGGTATTGGCAGGGATGGAAAATTGAAATTTAAAAGGTTATTTTTTTCGATTGATGTGTTGCTGTTGATTAAATAACTTTCTAAATTCGATTTTTTTAGAAAATCGAAAATACTTTGAAGGTCGAGAGAAGTGATTCCATTAATATAAGAACTGTAGAAATCTTATCCTTGTGACTTCTGGCCTTTTATGAGCAGGCCTTATGGCCTTCTTAGAGAAGGCCTGCTGGCCTTCTAAGAGAAGACCTGCTGGCCTTCTAAGAGAAGACCTGCTGGCCATATGTGAGAAGACCTGCTGGCCTTCTAAGAGAAGACCTGCTGGCCTTCTAAGAGAAGACCTCCTGGCCTTCTAAGAGAAGACCTGCTGGCCTTCTAAGAGAAGGCCTGCTGGCCTTCTAAGAGAAGACCTGCTGGCCTTCTAAGAGAAGACCTGCTGGCCTTCTAAGAGAAAACCTGCTGGCCTTCTAAGAGAAGACCTGCTGGCCTTCTAAGAGAAGACCTGCTGGCCATCTGTGAGAAGACCTTTTGGGCTTCTAAGAGAAGACCTTCTGCCCTTCGAAGAGAAGACCTTCTGGCCTTCCATGTAAAGACCTTCTGGCCTTCTATGAGAAGACCCTCTGGTCTACTAAGAGAAAACCTGCTGGCCTTCTAAGAGAAGACCTGCTGGCCATCTGTGAGAAGACCTTTTGGGCTTCTAAGAGAAGACCTTCTGGCCTTCTATGCGAAGACCCTCTGGTCTTCTATGCGAAGACCTTCTGGCCTTTTACGAGCAGACCTTCTGGCCTCCGAGAAGACCTTCTGGCCTTCCATGAGAAGAGATCCTGGCCTTCTGTGGGAAGACTTTCTGGCCTTCTACGAGAAGACCTTCTGGCCTTCTGTGAGAAGACCTACTGGCCTTTTATGAGAAGACCTACTGGCCTTCTATGAGAAAACCTACTGGCCTTCTATGAGAAGACCTTCTGGCCTTCTACGAGAAGACCTTCTGGCATCCTATATGAAGAGAAGACCTGCTGGCCATCTGTGAGAAGACCTTTTGGGCTTCTATGAGAAGACCTTTTGGGCTTCTATGAGAAGACCTTCTGGTCTTCTATGAGAAGACCTTCTGGCTTCCTATAAGAAGACCTTCTGGCCTCCTATAAGAAGACCTTCTGGCCTCCTATAAAAATACCTTCTGGCCTTCTACGAGAAGACCTTCTGGCCTTCCATGAGAAGACCTTCTGATCTTCTTTGAGAAGTTTTTTGTGCCTTCTACGAGAAGTCTTTTGTGCCTTCTACGAGAAGACCTTCTGGCCTTCTATAAGAAGACCCTATGGCCTTCTTCGTATATCTTCTGAGAAAAAATTTTCTAGACTTCTAGGAGAGGAGCTTCTGGTCTTTTCTGAGAAGAGCTTCTCATCTTTTAGGAGCAGACCTTCTGGCCCTCCATAAGAAGACCTTCTGGCCTTCTATGACAAGAACCATCTTCTTTCAATTGAAATTACAAACTCCCATCCCTGTCGTATGATTGTCTGATTGGTTGCTGTGCAACAGGTTTTCTGTTTCTCCCATCACAGAATGTCCTATCTCCCTGAGAATGTCTCGATGGGTGTATGAGTGTTTGTGTGCGTTCGCCTGTGTGTATTGCGTTCACATGTAAGTACTTTACAACGTACATAAATATAGGAGGTATGTAGATACCATTTTATATGTAAAAACTTGTTCAACAAAAAGAAAATAAAGGTTTCTTGTATCCATTGTTGTTACTGTTATTGTTGTTGTTCACTCTGACACTTGGTTGTTTTAGCACAGAACACCACTCCACTTGCTGCAGAGCAAAACAGGAGCAGCAGCAATTGCGGCTGCTGTTGGTGACCAAGCAAAGATGAACTTCAGCTGTTAATGAGTTGTTGTTGTTGGTGTTGTTGCTGTTGCATTTTTAATTCTTTTTTACCATTTTCCCTTTTGAGGTATTTTTTTTATTAATGATTTGCGCCTCAATGATTTCTTTTCATTCTCTACCTACACCAGGTGGTGGTGGTGGGGGCACACTGAAGAAGAACAACACTGTTGGTGTTCCTGGTTTTTGGCCCATTACATGGCATGCCATGGGAAGTTGATGCATGGGCAACACTGAGAATTCTTCTTTCGTATGAAAAAAAAAAAAACTCACTCCTTAATGGTGTTTTATGCGGGCTGGTACCTTGTTTTCCTTAGAATTTTATCCCGCACACATAGGCAATTATTAAATTATTAGAAAAACAACAAACGCCACATGATTACCGTTGGGCGCCGCTTAGCCATTCACAATTCGTGGTCAATAACAAACGTTGATTTACAGCGCCAGTAGTTCGATTGTTTTTATGATTCTTTTGATGAACTCTATCTCAGCGGTGGTACTGACTGGTGTTTCCCCCACTTCTTTACCACTTTGCTCGGCATGTTTTTTTTTTCGGTGTTCACTGTCTATCCGCACGCACGCATTTGAGCGAGTTAACCGAATCGGAGCGATGTAAATTTGTTTTTCATGAACGGCATCCGCCCGCCACACACGTTCGTACCGAAAGAGTTGGAGCAATGAACTAAAGGAAAATACGAAAATACATTTGATACATATACTACTCACTATAGGCCACAGGCAACAGAAAAAAGAGGCAAAACAGCAACAACCTGGCCTGGCCTGCCAGGCTGGCAAGAAAACAACCAACTAACAAACATCCATCCATCCATCGTTTTAATCGTTCGTTACAGCTGAGAATCCGTTCGTTTACTGTCGTCACACAATGGGTCGAAGTGCATGTTTATATGAGAAGACCCAATTGGCCTTCTATGAGAAGACCTCTACTGGCCTTCCATTAGAAGACCTTCTGTCCTTCTATGAGAAGACCTTCTGTCCTTCTATGAGAAGACCTTCTGTGCTTCTATGAGAAGACCTTCTGTCCTTCTATGAGAAGACCTTCTGGCCTTCTATGAGAAGATCTTCTGGTCTTCCATTAAAAGACCTTCTGGCCTTCTATAATAAGACCCCATGAGGTTCTAGTAGAAGACCTTTTGGGCTTCTTTGCGAAGACCTTTTGTACTTCCATGAGAAGACCTTCCGGCCTTCCATAAGAAGACCTTCTGGCATTCTATAACAAGACCCCATGACCATCTCGGAGAAAACCTTCTGGCCTTCTATGAGAAGACCTTCTTTCAGCCTTCTATGAAAAGACCTTCTTCTGGCCTTCTACGAGAAGACCTTTTGGCCTTCTATGCGAAGACCTTTTGGCCTTCTATGAGAAGACTTTCTTCTGGCCATCTATGAGAAGACTTTCTGGCCTTCTATGCGAATACCTTCTGGCCTTCTATGAGAAGACCTTTTGGCCTTCTATGACAAGACCTTCTGGCCATCTGTGGGGAAACCTTCTGGCCTTCTATGCGAAGACTTTCTGACCTTCTATGCGAAGATCATTTGGCCTTCTATACGAAGACTTTCTTGCCTTCTCTGGGAAGACCTTCTGGCTTTCTATGATAAGACCTTCCGGGCTTTCATTAGAAGACCTTCTGGGCTTCTGGCCTTCTATAATAAGACCCCATGGCCTTCTAGGGGAAGGCCTTCTATGCGAATACCTTCTGGCCTTCTATGCGAAGGCCTTCTGGCTTTCTATGAGAAGACCTTCTAGCCTTCTATGAGAATACCTTCTGGCCTTCTATAAGAAGACCTTCTGGACTTCTATGAGAAGACTATCTGGCATTCTATGAGAAGACCTTCTGGCCTTCTATAAGAAGTCCTTCTGGCCTTCTATGAGAAGACTTTTTGGCCTTCTTTGCGAAAGCCTTCTTCTGAACCATGGCCTTCTAGGAGAACACCTTCTGGCTTTCTATGAGAAGACCTTTTGGGCTACTTTGCGATGGACTTTTGGCCTTCTATCCGAAAACCTTCGAGCCTTCTATGAGAAGACATTCGGGCATTCTATGAGAAGACCTTTTGGCCTTCTTTGCGAAGACCTTTTGGCCTTCTTTGCGAAGACCTTTTGGCCTTCTTTGCGAAGACCTTTTGGCCTTCTTTGCGAAGACCTTTTGGCCTTCTTTGAGAAGACCTTCTGGCCTCCTATGAGAAGACCTTCTGGCCTTGTATAAGAAGACCTTCTTCTGATCTTGCGTTAGCAAAAATGCTTGTGTGTGTGTGTGTGTGAAATTTGAAGAGAACCGGGTGCTTATTTCGCTTTCTTTGTGCGTTTTGTTTTTCAAAAATCTTGAACCCTATGTGGGGGAGGTACCAGAAGGAATGGTTCGATCTCTACCATCTTTATAACAGATCTTGTGATGATGAAAATATTGAAATGTACCAAGTTTGAATGGAATCGGATATTAAATTCCGGGTTTTTTAAGCTTCATGAATATTCAAAATTTTGTAGGAGAGGTACCAGAAGAAGTGGACCGATACATTCCATCTTCACACCGGACCTATTGTGATGTGTGTAATTTTAAGAGAATCGGATGTTTATTTCGGATTTTATGATCGTTTTGGTTATTCAAAACTTTGAACCTTTGTGGGGGAGGTACCAGAAGGAGTGGACCGATTTCTACCACCTTTATAATAGACCTTGTGTTGCTGGAAATATTAAAATGTACCAAGTCTGAATAGAATCGAATGTTAATTTCGCGTTTTACGAACTTCATGAATATTCAAAATTTTGAGCCTTTGTGGGGTAGGTACCAGAAAGAGTGGACCGATATATTCCATCTTCACATCAGACCTTGGATTACTAAAAATATTGTGATGTGTGAGATTGGAAGACAATCGGATACTTACATCACATTTTATATGAGCTATAATTAATCAAAATGTTGACCTGTTGTGGGGAGGTACTTGATGGAGTGGATCAATGTTGTCCATTTTCGCACCGGACCTAGCACTGATGCAAATATTAGGATTCGCAAAGTTGGAGCAAAATCGGATTATCGTTTCTCTTTTTGTGCAAAAAATGATTTTCTTTGAAAATGTGGACATTTTGTGTGGGAGGTACCAGTAGGAGTGGACCGATATATCTCATCTTCAGAGCAGATCTTTTGTTGGTAGAAATATTTGGATGTGCCAAATTTCAAGCTAATCGGACTTTTACTTCGTATTTTATGAGGGATATAATTATTCAAAATTTTGACCCTTTGTGGGGGAGGTACCAGATGGAGTGGTCCAACCTGTTTCATCTTCTCACTGGATCTTGTGTTAGTAAAAATATTGTAATGTGTGAAATTTGAAGACAATCGGACCCTTACTTCGTATTTTATGAGGTATATACTTATTACAAATTTTTACCCTTTGTGGGAGAGGTACTTGTTGGAGTGGGCCGATATAGTCCATTTTCGCACCCGACCTTGCACAGATGCAAATATTAGGATTCGCAAAGTTGGAACAAAATCGGATTATCCTTCTTCTTTCTGTGCAGAAAATATATTTTTTGTAAATTCCGATCTTTTGTGGGGGAAATACCAGAACGAGTGCACCGATATTGCCCATCTCCGTACTTGATCTAAGTTTGACAATAATATTACGATGTACCAAGTTTGGATCAAATCGGATACTCCCTTCGGGAGTTATCGTGCACATCGGCCAGCCAGACAGACACACGGGCGGACGCACATCGCTAGATCGACTCCTAAATGTCCTGAAAAGGATTTGCTCCAAAGAGACCTGGTGTCTAAAACCTTTATTTCGATGAGGCGCGTTTTGTCTGTATCAAATGATATTTTCCCTCCCTAGCCATATGGCTGAGGTTATAATGACTTACACCTCATATTTATAGCTGATTTATCCCCTGTATTGTATAGAACCAAAGATATTAAATTTCAATGTAAAAAATTAAAAAAAGAATTGAATTTATTTCAATTCTTTTGTTAATTTCTTTGAATATTTCCCCTCCCACCATCCAAGAATGGTGTTTCTCTTTGTTTGCGACTCACATTATTATCGATAATTATCAAAATATCAGATCTCTCCCTCTCGATTATCCATCCCATTGTGCATTGTTTCGTTCTCACAATCTCATGTGTGTTTGTGTGTCTGTATCATTTGTGCTGCTGTGCGCTCTGTTATGGTGTGACACTCGGGTTTACTTGCGTTTCGAGGAGTTATTACGGCCCAGTTAATAGATGTATTTTGGTCAAGTGATACTTTAGGGCTGCTCAAATAACTGAAAAAAAAAATAAACGTTTAGTTCCACTAATTGTGTTATCTTTCTAAATTTAATACCCCACTCTTGTTATCTAATGCAGGTTTATTTTTTCGAAATAAAAAACAGGATGTTTAACAAATTTGTCAAGAAGAAGAAAAAGAAGAAGTAGGTGGGCAGGTACAACTCTTCTCATTTTCTTTGTTGCTGTGAACTAAAATATCCAACTCTCTTTCTCTTCATTTGAGACTCTGTGCTCATGGTGCGAGGAGAAACATAAAATGAGGGAAATGTAACAACAATAATAGCAATAATAACAAAAGCAACAGCAACAAGAACAACAAACAATGACATGTCATTCAAACGGATGTGCCTGCTGCTGTTGTTGTGCTCTGTTGAAAATTGTTGATGGGAGTCGAAGAGCAATACAACACGCACTGACATGAACATCAGGTATTTAGTGTCGTTCCTTTGAATAGAAGTGTATTGGTATAAGGGGGAACTGCGGTGGTAATTACAAAACGAGACAGCGTGAAAAGTTGTTGCGTTCTATATTTGCAACACCAAACACGAATAAAAAAAGAACAACAAAGTGTCACATAAATACTCCCTGCATTGGATATCTTTTATTGAATGAAACTTTTAAATTGAAATTGCTGGATGTGTCGAGCAATTCTTTCTTGTTTTCGAATTCAATACACAAATCATTCTCTAATTGCTTTTACCCCATTACCTAGAATTGGTTTGACGCTGTGCACCATCGTCATCATCATTCATTGTTCGGGGAGTAATGAGAGACTTTTCTAATTAAAAGCGGAAGGCGTTGCTGCATCAGCCTGCCTTTAATGTGAGTACACCCCTCCCCTCCCAAAAAATTCAATGAATTGCTATGCGTAACATTAACGAAAGTTTGGTTATTAAAATGTCAATCAAGTGAAAGAAGGAAGAGGGTCAACACCCAAAACAAATGGCCTTTTTGAATTGGAATATTCATACAACCCTTTTGTTTTTTTGGGAACAACAAGTGATTAAGAGAGATGGGTAATGTAGGGTAAGTGGTGATGAAATAAATTTATGTTGAAATATATTATGGATTTTTAAATAATTTACAGGAAGATGGCTTTGATGGGTAGCCTATAGATAGAATAAAATAAAAGAGGGACTGATCATTTGCGTACAAAAAGGAAAACGGAGACAAAAATGGACTTCAATGGACATAATTGACAGCGGGTATATATCATTTGATACGGCCAAAACGTGCCTCATCGATATAACGGTTTTAGACCCTAGGTCTCTTTGAACCAAATTCGTTTCAGGATATTTGGAGTCGATCTAGCGATGTCCGTCCGTCTATCTGTCTGGCAGGTGCTCACGATAACTCTCGAAGGGAGTATTCGATTTGGTCCGAACTTGGCTCATCGTAATATTGTCGGAGATGAAGAATATCGGTCAATTCCTTCTGGTACCTTCCAGACATAATGTCAATATTTTCAAAGAAAATAATTTACTGCACAGAAAGTAAAAGGATGTTCCGATTTTGCTATAACTGCAAACCCAAATATTTTCATCAGTGCTAGGTCTGGTGCGAAAATGGACAATATCGGTTCACTCCATCAAGTACCTCCCCCACAAAGGGTCAACATTTTGAACAATTACAACTCTCATAAAATGTGACGTAATAGTCCAATTGTCTTCATATTTCGCACATCCTAATATTTTTATTAACCCAAGATCTGGTGTGAAGAGGGAATACATCGGTCCACTCCTTCTGGTACCTCCCCCACAGAAGAACGAAATTTTCAAAAAAATATATTTTTTTCTGCACATATCGAAAAACAATAATCCGATTTTGCTCGAACTTTGCAAATCCCAATATTTGCGTCAGTTGTAGGTCAAGTGCGAAAATGGACAATATCGGTCCACTCCATCGAGTACCTCCCCCACAAAGGGTCAAAATTTTGAATAATTACAACTTTTACAAAATGTGGTGTAAGAGTCCGATTCTCTTCAAATTACACACATCACAATATTTTCATTAACCCAAGGTCTGGTGTGAAGATGAAATATATCGGTCCACTCCTTCTGGTACCTCCCCAACAAGGGTTCAAAATTTTTAATATCCATAAAGCTCATAAAAAACTAAATTAACATCCGATTCCATTCAGACTTGGCACATCTCAATATTTCTATCAACGCAAGATCTGTTATAAAGATGGTGGAGATCGGATCATTCCTTCTGGTATCTCCCCCACAAAGGGTCAAAGTTTTGAATAACAAAAAACGATCATAAAACCGGAAATAAGCATCCGGTTCTATTCATATTTCACACATCCCATTATTTCTACTGGCACAAGATCTGCTGTGAGTATGGAATATATCGGTCCACTCCTTCTGGTACCTCCCCAACAAGGGTTCAAAATTTTTAATATCCATGAAGCTCATAAAACACGAAATTAACATCCGATTCCATTTTGACTTGGCACATCTCAATATTTCCATCAGCACAAGATCTTTTATAAAGATGGTGGAGATCGGACCATTCCTTCTGGTACCTCCCCCACAAAGGGTCAAAGTTTTGAATAACAAAAAACGATCATAAAACCGGAAATAAGCATCCGGCTCTCTTAATATTTCACACATCCAATTATTTTTACTAACACTATATTTGCTGTGAAAATGGAACGTATCGGTCCACTCCTTCTGGTACCTCCCCCACAAAAATCTTATAAAAAGCGAAATTAATGTCAGATTCCATTCAGACTTTTGGTACATCTCAATATTTCCATCAACAAAAAATCTGTCGGACCATTTCTTTTGGTACCTCCCCCACAAAGGGTGAAAATTTTGAATAGGCAAAACCTCAAAGAAAACGAAATAAGCATCCAACCCTTTTCAAATTTCACACATCCAATCATTTTTGTTAACGCAAGATCTGTTGTGAAGATGAGCGTCAAAGCGTCACAATTTTCAATACTTCTATCTGTCGTAAAAAATCAGATATGCTTTACAACTTGCTATATTTAAATATTTCTCTTAACCAAAAACTTGAGATGAATACGGAATTTATGATTTCACATAAAATTGGATAAAAATGTTTGATTTTCTTGTAATTTTGCCCATACCAATATTTTTATCTGCATTAGATGAAGTATGAAAGTGGAAAACTTCGGCGACTGGTGAGGTCACACACATTTTATCCTTTTCTACAAATTATCACATATCTCATATAAAGTGAAGGAAGTAGTCGTTATATTCCAAACCTGGCACGTCGCATTAATTATGTCATATTTATTTAGGTCCGAAACGAGATGGACAATATTGTCTCATTCCTTCGGCACCTACACCAAAGAGGGTCAACAATTGGAGTAATCTTAGCAGAAGCCAAAATTAGTTAAAATAATCAAACATTGGCTGAGGGAATATAACCTTTGGCAAAACTGACTGATACTTTTTAACTTGTTTTTTCTGTATTGAATGAAGTATGAAAATGGAATACTTTGGTCGACTATATCACATATCTCATATAAGGTGAAGGGAGTAATCGTTGTATTCCAAACCTGGCAAGTCGCAATATTTACATCATATTTATTTAGGTCTGATATGAAAAGGACAATATTGTCCCATTGCTTCGAAAACTACACCAAAGAGGGTCAGCAGTTGGAATAATTATAGCAGATGTCAAAAATATATATAAAATAATCGAACATTGGCTGTGGGTATACATTTGTCGGCGAAACCGACTGATACTTTCTTTAGCTTGTTTTTATATTTATTTCTGAAATTCGTAGTTATCTTTTCTTTTATAAAAAAAGAATTGCTTTTCTTTATTAATAAATTACAAACATTGCCAATATTAATGTGTAATAATGCAATAATAAAATGCCAAAAAAATAATACATGTAATATATTCTTACATTTTGTTTCTATATATAGAATTTTTAAAAATATATATTTTATATATATATTTTTCTGATTTCTTGTTTAAGGTGGTGCATTGATTCAATTGTATAATATAATTTGTTTAACATTCAAATTTGTATATAGCACTTTTTCAATATACATATATAAAATGACAAAGAAATATACAACATAGAGCAGCAGAAAGGAGTTAAGCACACTGGAACCAATAATGGTTTTAAGAATTTAAGATTTCCAGATTTGGTTTTTTAAAAATACTAATCTCCTTCTTAAATTCCATTAAACCTAAACTAATAATAATAAATGTAATAGTAATAATAATAATAAGAATATAAAGTACGATTTACAAAAGACAACATTTAGCGATAGCATTTGAGTTTGGAACCATTTTTACAACACATTAGACGCTTAGGCTAATTTCGAGAATAGAATTTTCGTTTAAAAAAATAACGCCTCCATATAGACTTTCTTTCTTTTCAAAATATTTTTTAACAGCAAAAAAGGTTTTTTTGTTTGGTTTTGTGGTTAAGTGGATCAGGTCATTTATCAGTCTTCCCTTCTTTGCCTCTTTGGTTGTTAGTTGCCCGTTGAATTGGTGCGCGCGCTAGAAGTAGAGCTGGCCTCATTGCAATTGCTTTCGGATGTCTTCCATGACAATAACTTATCCAGCAATTTATCCATATAGGGATTGCCACCCAAACGTTTTACCTGGAAAAGAAGGAGGGGATATTTTAGAATTTTGGTTTTTAAAGGATAAAATATTTTTTGAAGAAAATAAAAAGTATCATTCGGTTATGCCGAATATGCCATTGTTCGATTATTTAAATATATTTTGACTTCTGGAGTAAGGCATGGACCAATATTTTCCATTTCGTATCGGTCATAAATAAATATGATAAAAATATTGCGAAGGGACAGGTTTGGACAATATCGACTACTTCCTTCACTTTATAAGAGATATGTGATAACTTTTAGAAAAGGATAACATGTGTGTGAGGTACCAAAAATAGTCGACCGAAGTATTCAATTTTCATACTTCATCTTATACAGATAAAAATATTGATATGGGCAAAATAACAAGAAAATCGAAAGTGTGTATCCAATTTTATGCGGAATCATAAATTCCATATTCATGCCAGGTTTCTCTTTGAGAGAAATATTTAGCTATAGTAAGTTTTAAGGAATCGCCCACATTGTTACACAAGTTATGACAGATAACAGCATTGAAAATTGTCACCGTTTGTGGGTGATGTACCAGAAGGTGTTCGCAGATATATATCCTCCTCACAACAGACCTTGAGTTAGTAAAAATATTGTGATGTGTGTAATTTGAAGAGAATGGTATAATTATTTCGGATTTAATGATCGTTTTTGTTATTCAAAACGTTGACCCTTTGTGAGAGAGGCACCGGAAGGAATGATCCGATCTCTACCATCTTTATAACTGATCTTGCGTTGATGAAAATATTGAGATGTACCAAGTCTGATTGGAATCGGATGTTAATTTTGCGTTTAATGAGCTTCTTTGATATTCAAAAATTTCAACCTTTGTGGGGGAGGTACCAGAAGGAGTAGACCGATACATCCCACTTTCACAGTAGATCTTGCGTTAGTAGAAATAATGGGATGTGTGAAATATTAAGAGAATGGGATGCTAATTTCGGATTTTATGGTCGTTTTTGTTATTTCAAACTTTGACCCTTTGTGGGGGAGGTAACAGAAGGAATAGTCCGACGCTACCATCTGCATGACAGATCTTGTGTTGATGGAAATATTGAGATGTACCAAGTCTGAATGGAATCGGATGTTAATTTCGCGTTTTATGAGCTTCATGGATATTCCAAATTTTGCCCCTATGTGGGGCAGGTACCAGAAGGAATGGTCCGATCTCTACCATTTTTATAATAGATCTTGTCTTGATGGAAATATTGAGATGTATCAAGTCTGAATGTAATCGGATGTTAATTTCGCTTCTTATAAGCTTCATGGATATTTAAAATTTTGACCCTTTGTGGGGGAGTTAGCAGAAGGAGTGCACCGATACTTTCCATCTTCACACCAGACCTTGGGTTAATAAAAATATTATGATTTGTGTAATTTGAAGAGACTGGGATGCTTATTTCAGGTTTAATGATCATTTTGGTTTTTGAAAACCTTGACCATTTGTGGGGGAGGTACCACAAGAAATGGTCCGACCTTTACCACCTTCATAGCAGATGTTGTGTTGATGGAAATATTGAGATGTACCAAATCTGAATGAAATCGGATTGAAATTTCGTGTTTTATGAGCTTCATAGATGTTCAAAACTTTGGCCCTTTGTGGGGGAGGTACCACAAGAAATGGTTCGACCTCTACCACCTTTATAGCAGATCTTGTGTTGATGGAAATATTGAGATATACCATGTCTGGAATGGAATCGGATGTTGATTTCGTGTTTTATGAGCTTTTTGGATATTCCAAATTTTGCTCCTATGTGGGGGAGGTACCAAAAGGAATGGTCCGATCTCTACCATATTTATGACAGATCTTGTGTTGATGTAAATATTGAGATGTACCAAGTCTGAATGGATTCGGATGTTTATTTCCCGTTTTTTTTTTTAACTTCGTAGATATTCAAAATGTTGATCCTTTGTGGGGAAGGTACCAGAAGGAGTGGACTGATATATTCCTTCTTAACACCAGAACTTGGGTTGATGAAAATATTGGGATGTGTGAAATTTGAGGACAATCAGACTATTCCATCACATTTTAAAAGAGTTGTAATTATTCAAAATGTTGACCCTTTTGTGGGGGAGGTACTTGATGGAGTGGACCGATATTGTCCATTTTCACACATGACCCAGCACTGACGCAAATATTACGATATGCAAAATTGGAGCAAAATCGGATTATCATTGCTCTTTCTGTGCAGTAAATGACTTTCTTTGAAAATGTCGATATTTTGTGGAGGAGGTACCAGAAGTAGTGGACCGATATTGTCCATCTTCGAACTCGATCTAAGTTTCATAACAATATTACGATGTACCAAGTTTGGACGAAATCGGATACTCCCTTCGAGAGTTATCGTGCGCACCAGCCAGCCAGACAGGCAGACAGACATCTCTACATCGACTCCAAATGTCCTGAAACGTATTTGGCCCAAAGAGACCTAGGGTATAAAACCGTTATTTCGATGAGGCACTTTTTGGCCGTATCAAATGATATATGCGCTCTCTAGCCATATGGCTGAGGGTATAAAAAATATAGCGACAAATTTTACCAATCTGTTTTAAAGGGTGTGTTTGTGTGGCATGACGAGTTTTGTCACTCGATCACAGCCGCAACAAATTTGAAAAAAATCCGAGGGTAAATGTGACTAGGATTATCAAAATACCGAATATCAGGGGGTATCATTACATGGCGGCTATAGGAAAACATAGATCTAGATATTCAATTTGAAAACCCATTAAGAACCGCAACTACCAATTTTTAGATGAATCCGTGAATAATGTGACAAAAATCATCAAAACACCGAATATCGGGAGGTACTATTATATAGGGGGGCTATACGAAAACGTGGACCTATACATACAATGTTCTGCCACCGGAACTAAAACCCACTATGACCTAAAAATACCAATTTTTAGTCAAATTTGTGGAAAAATGTGGCCATCATAAAAGAACAGAATATGAGGAGGTACCGTTTTATGGGGGCAATGCGAAAACATGGACCTACCTATACATACAATGCTAAGCCACGGGAGCTAGAACCTATGGCGATATTCATCAAAATACCAAATATCGGGAGGTATCTCTATATAGCGGCTATACCATAACGTATGACGGCTGATGCCAACCATCCTAGACACAATACAAATTGTTCTGCCAAATTTTAAAGCTCTACTTCAAATAATGTGGGCAGTATTGTAATTTCAACAGACAGACAGGCAAAAGGACATAGTTGAATCGACTTAGAATTTTATGCTGATCATGAATATGTATTCTTTCTTTCTGTACGACGAATATTTAGAGATGTTACAAACGGAATGCCATAGTTAATATACCCTCCTTTTCAATATAGAGTGTATAAAAGGACCCTCATAATGAAGGTGAAAAAAATCTCCCCACAGAAGACAAAAATGTCTTTACAAACAACAATTACAAATCTTTAGACTAATTCCAAGACAAGACTACCACGTTTTCGAAAAAAATACCTTCTAATGGGAGACCCAAGCCTCACCCCATGAATATCGCAAAGTCTTCTTGAGGAAAAAAAGTATCACAGAAATCAGACTTATTTTGTAGAAGACCAAGAGACGTAATTTTTTCTACAATATGGGATGCCTTAAACATTTTGGATATTCGTGTATGTTTCCTCGATAGTATAGTGGTTAGTATCTCCATTTCTTTTTTTATTAATATTAAACTTACCTCTGCTCTGGCTTCTTCATCCAAAGATTCCAGCACGTTGCGGGTATAACGAAAACTGCCCAATTTTTCCAGCAATGTAATGCAATACTTTTTCACTTCCACATCGTGGGTGCGCTGGCGTAAAATATCTGCAGGAAAGAAAAAACAATGATTTTAATTATAATACTATTTTCAATTGTGTCATGGAAATACTTACGCAGCACCTGTTTATCGTGTTTTTGGGTTTGCACCGCATGTATGACAGGGAAACCGAATTTGCCCTCGGTTAAATCTTCGGCAAAGCTTTTGTTTTCGGAATACTAGAAAAAAAGAATAAGGAGTTAATAATTTATATCAATTTCCTTGGCTTATGTTGTTTCACCCACCTCCTTCAGACTGAGATTACAATAGTCATCGCGTATTTGAAAATACAACCCCAAAATGGCGGTTAGTTTGGAAAAGTCCTCTTTGTTGCTGCTAAACAATTGCATTAGCCGTATGGCCAGCATAAATAGGCCGCCAGTTTTGCGCACTGTCATCAGTTTGTATTCCTGTTCCGAGGGGCAGGTGAAGCTATCACGCCAATATATTTCCATACCCTGACCTCGATGTAGTTCCAACAGCTGTTCCGTATAGACTTTGGTGGCCTAGGAAGAGAATTTAAATTATAAAATTTTGTGGATTATATATTTGGGGGTATTTAACTTACCTCTGGATGCCCCAATTGCTGGACCTTCTCGAGCGCTAAAAATAATACATAATTTGCTGCATTGATTGTGCTGGGCACACCATAAATGGAATGGGCAACTGGAACACCTCTGCGAAGTATTGAATTGTCTTCAATATCATCAATGCTGTAAATGTATTAGTGTTAGTAAACAACAAAATTACATTGATGTATATGTGTGGGTGTGTGTGTCTGTGTGTATTTTGACATAAAGCAACATCTAATAATGAAAAGTGATCAAGATTCGGCATGCATATTATGTGAAATAATGGGGTCCATTGAAACAAGTCGAAGGTAAATTTAAAGGTCTTCTGTTGACGGCTCTGAGGTCGTCTATTGAGATTCTGTTGACGACTCTGAGGTCGTCTATGGAGATTACTTTCAGGTTGTCTTTGGAGAAGCTTTCATGTCTGTGGAGAAGACTTTAAGGGTATTTTGAGACAATTTTAAGGTCGTCTTTGGGGACGACTTTAAGGTCGTCCAAGAAAACGACTTTAAGGTCGTCCAAGAAAACGACTTTCAGGTCATCTATGGAGACGACTTTGAGGTCGTCTATGGAGACGACTTTGAGGTCATCTTTGGAGACGACTTTGAGGTCATCTTTGGAGACGACTTTGATGTCGTCTATGGAGACGACTTTTATGTCGTCTATGGAGACGACTTTGAGGTCATCTTTGGAGACGACTTTGAGGTCATCTTTGGAGACGACTTTGAGGTCGTCTATGGAGACGACTTTGAGGTCGTCTATGGAGACGACTTCAAGGTCCTCTATAAAGACGATTTCAAGGTCGTCTATGAAGACGATTTTGAGGTCGTCTATGGAGACGACTTTGAGGTCGTCTATGGAGACGACCTTGAGGTCATCTTTGGAGACTACTTTAAGTTCGTCCATTGGGACGACTTTAAGGTCATGTGAGACGACTTTTCGATCGTCTTTAGAGACAACTTTGTTGTCGCTTTTGAGACGACGTTCAAGGCGTCTATGAACAATACTAAAGGTCGTCGGTTGAGAGACTTTAAGGTCGTCCATGGAGACGACTTTGAAGAATACTTAAGACGTCGTCTATAGACACGATTTCAACGTGATCCATTGAGGTGATTTTCAGGTCCCCTCGTAAGACGACATTATTGTTTTTATACCCTACACCACATCGAGGTAGGGGTATTATCTCTTTGTGCATTCGTTTGTAACATGGAGAAGGAGGCGAGATGGACCCATAGTTCCTTTTGATGATCTGCATAACAAAAAATTCTGAGTCGATTTCCGCATGTCCGTCCGTCCGCCTGTCCATGTATTTTTGTAAACAAATTATAGGGCGCATTTATTGCCCGATCGAGATGATATTTGGCACAAATAATTTATTTGGCCCAAGGACGAACCCTATTGAAATTGGAGATAATTGGTGAAAATGTAGATATGGCTTCCACGTTTATATCTTCTACCGATTTCGGATTAATTGTGCACCATATGGCCAATATCAGTCCAAATGTCCTGAATTTTGGCACATCCGACAGAGTCCGGCCAAGAAGCAATCACATCAAATTCGGTGTAAAACGGTTCAGTTATAGCTATAGCTCCCTTATATATGTTTCAGCCGATTTAGGGTTTTAGGCCTCTCACATGCCTTACATGGACTCTATAAGAATGATCTTCGGTACCAGATATCAGCTATAGCTCAGAAATAAGTGGCTAAAATTTTGCTCAAGATCGTTTCAGATTTGGATATAGCTCCCACATACATCTGTATCCGATTTCAGGTTTATTGTTGCTCCAAATGGCTAATATTAGCCCAAATGGACTGAATTTTGGCACATTCGACGGCGTTCAGTTAAGAAGCAAGTACATCAAATTCGGTGAAAATCGGTTCAGATATAGCGATAGCTCCCATATAAATGTTTCATCCGATTTGAGGTGTTAGGCCTCTCACATGCCTTACATGGACTCTATAACAATGATCTTAGGTACCAGATATCAGCTATAGCTCAGAAATAAATGGCTAAAATTTTGGCCAAGATCGCGTCAGGTTTGGATATAGCTCCCACGTACATCTTTATCCGATTTCTGGTTTATTGTTGCTCCAAATGGCTAATATTAGCCCAAATGGACTGAATTTTGGCACATCTGACCGAGTCCGCCCAAGAAGCAATTACATCAAATTCTGTGTAAATCGGTTCAGTTATAGCTCCCATATATATGTTTCATCCGATTTGAGGTTTTAGGCCTCTCACATGCCTTACATGGACTCTATAAGAATGATCTTCGGCACCAGATATCAGCTATAGCTCAGAAATAAATGTCTAAAATTTTGCTCAAGATCGTTTCAGATTTGGATATAGATCTCACATACATCTTTATCCGATTTTAGGTTTATTGTTGCTCCAAATGGACTGAATTTTGGCACATCCGACGGCGTTCAATCAAGAAGCAAGAACATCAAATTTCTTGAAACTCGGTTCAGTTATAGCTATAGCTCCCATATATATGTTTCATCCGATTTGGGGTTTTAGGTCTCCCACAGGCGTTACGTGGACTCTATAACAATGATCTTCGGTACCAGATATCAGCTATAGCTCAGAAATAAGTGGCTACAATTTGGTCAAGATCGTTTCAGATTTGGATATAGCTCCCACATACATCTGTATCCGATTTCAGGTTTATTGTTGCTCCAAATGGCCAATATTAGCCCAAATGGACTGAATTTTGGCACATCCGACGGCGTTCAGTCAAGAAGCATGTACATGAAATTTGGTGAAAATCGGATCAGATATAGCGATAGCTCCCATATAAATGTTTCATCCGATTTGGGGTTTTAGGCCTCTCACATGCCTTACATGGACTCTATAACAATGATCTTCGGTACCAGATATCAGCTATAGCTCAAAAATAAATGGCTAAAATTTTGGTCAAGATCGTTTCAGATTTGGATATAGCTCCCACGTACATCTTTATCCGATTTCAGGTTTTTGGTACCCCAAATGGCTAATATCAGTCCACATGTCCTGAATTTTGGCACATTCGACGGCGTTCAGTCAAGAAGCAAGTACATGAAATTTGGTGAAAATCGGTTCAGTTATAGCTTTAGCTCCTATATATATGTTTCATCCGATTTGAGGTTTTAGGCCTCTCACATGCCTTACATGGACTCTATAACAATGATCTTCGCTACCAGATATCAGCTATAGGTCAGAAATAAGTGGCTAAAATTTTGCTCAAGATCGTTTCAGATTTGGATATAGCTCCCACATACATCTTTATCCGATTTCTGGTTTATTGTTGCTCCAAATGGCTAATATTAGCCCAAATGGACTGAATTTTGGCACATTCGACGGAGTTCAGTCAAGAAGCAAGTATCTCAAATTCGGTGTAAATCGGTTCAGTTGTAGCTATAGCTCCCTTATATATGTTTCATCCGATTTAGGGTTTTAGGTCTCTCACATGCGTTACATGGACTCTATAACAATGATCTTCGGTACCAGATATCAGCTATAGCTCAAAAATAAGTTGCTAAAATTTTGGTCAAGATCGGTTCAGATTTGGATATAGCTCCCACATACATCTTAATCCGATTTTGAGGTTTATTGTTGCTCCAAATGGCTAATATTAGCCCAAACGGACTGAATTTTGGCACATTCGACGGCGTTCAGTCAAGAAGCAATTACATCAAATTAGGTGTAAAACGGTTCAGTTATAGCTGTAGCTCCCATATATATGTTTCATCCGATCTGTGTTAAATCCTGTGTTAAAGTCCCTCACATGTGTAATATCACTCCACAACAATGATATTTGATGCCGAACATCAGATACAGTTAAAATCGGTTCAAATATAGCTATAGCTCCCATATATATGTTTCATCCGAACATCAGATACAGCTCGAAAATACCTCTACCAAATCTAATCAAGTTCGGTTTTAAGTTTTATATAGCTTCGATATACACCTTCATCCGATTTTACGCTTATTGTCCTCCATATATGTTATATCACCCCAAATTGGATAGATTTTTTCATATTCAATCGATCATTTGGTGAAACTCGGTCCGGTATAAATTCCCAATACAAATTTGTTTTGTTACGGGAGCTCTGCTAAATATGCATACCAGTGTAGGGTATCATATAGTCGGCCTCGTCCGACTTTTGACCTTTCCCTACTGGGTTTTGGATAACTTCGGGGTTCTCTATTAATACAAATTTAAAGTCATTAATAAAGACGGCCATGAAGTGATCTATGAATAACCAACTAATACCCTTTTCCCCAGACGCCCTTTCATTCCAGAAAATGGTTGTCCAATTGCTCTGCTAACATTGCAACATGTTTATTGAAGTTACAATCCAATTGACCCTCCACATCTACTTCTTTACAACAACAAATCAACATTAACAATTAAATAGTAGCAACACAAAAGACAAACCAACCCAAATAGGCAGGGAGCCAGTGCAACATGCTTCATGTTGAATGTTAATTAATATCAATTGTGAGAAAAAAAATATTCCAATACAAAAAGTGAATTGGATACACATAGCAAAGGGAATCATCATTCAATGGCCCATAAACATGGGCCATGATGTTTGGTTATTGAACAAATGAATGTGCTGTGAATGTTTTCTTTTCCCGGAATTCTAATTTCAAGAAAACGAAATGGATGTAAACAAAAAGAAATTGATTGTACACAAAATAATGATTTGGGAATTCTAAAGAAATTGAGTTTATTTGAAATTCTATAAAAGTACTGGCGGCAAAAAAACGCAGAATAATAAAGATTCTTTTCAATACCTTATTGACGTACATATACATACGTACACTTTTTCATTCAATTGATGATGAAAATGCCAATGATTCATGGCGCTATGCAAATGATTCTACCACACCAAAGGTGCTCGTGTGTGTGTGTGGAAAAATACAAATCATATTGATATTATTATTGTTTCGTGTTTGGGAAGGCACATATAGATTTGTTACTTATTTCAATTCCATAAATGTTTAAATTGTTTTGTTACTTTTTTTCTGAATCCGTTAAACAATCCGATGAGTTTCATTATGGGCCACTGGAGGTCAAAGGCATACAGAACATTGTTGCAATGGAGATATTGCAATTTTTAGAGTAAAACCAGTAAGGAAAATTCAAAAGTCGGGCATGGCCTACATCACTATGCATATTTTTAGTAGAGCTCCCGTCCTCCTATCAACCTTTGCCTTTAGAACAGTTATAATTTGGTTTCTGAGGGAACCAATATATGGGAGGCATATCCAATTCTCAATCGATTTTAACCAAATTTGACGGAGACATTTTTCTGATCTGAACTGATTTTTACCAAATTTGATGTACTTGCTTCTAGACTAAATTCGGTCAGAAGTGTCAAAATTCCTGTCATTTGCACTGATATTGGCCATTTGGTGTACAATTAATCTGAAATCGGTTGATGATATATATGGGAACTATATACAAATCTGAGCCGATCTTGATACAATTTGGCAGAGGTATTTTCGATCTCTATAAGATATTTGGTACCAAATATCATTCTTCTGGAGTGCATATTACGCATGTGAGAGACCTAAAACACCAAATCGGATGAAATATATATATGGGAGCTATAGCTATATCTGAATCAATTTTCACTAAATTTGATGCACTTTCTTCTTGACCGGACTCCGTCGGATGTGCCAAAATTCAGATCATTCGTCTTCGGGCCAAACAAATATAGTTTGGAAAATTTCATATCAATTGGATAATAAATGCGACCTGCAATTTGTTCACAAGAATTCATGGACGGACTGACATGCATAAATCGACTCAGAAAGTGATTCTATGTAGATCCTCAAAAGTAAATATGGGTCTATCTCGCTTCCCTCTCCATGTGGTGTAGGGTATTATAAACATACTGTGGACTTTTGTGATCCTCTGAATCTCAATAGGATGAATGCCCAATTTAACTCCAAAAAAAAACCTCTTATTTTTGCTGTCGATCTGTCGAGCATTTAAACCCAGGCGATACAAAATTTGCTATGTTGTTGGTGTAGCAGTAGTACATATGGGTGTTTGCAGTCTGCTAGTCTGGTTCATGGTCCAGGTTTAACAATTCGGTTACTTTACCAGGCTATATATATAGCCAGAGATTTTCTGGAGTGAGTTGAGTAGGTTTGGCGGTGCAATTAAAGAGGTGCAGCGTATTGTGCGGCCATGTATCACACGCCAGGCAGACGTCACGCACATCTTCGTCAATTCGGGTTCAATATGAATTGAGACGACTACACCATCCTGAACGTAATTGCGCCAAAACTACCCTGGTTTGTCTAGGCAGCTGGCGTCCTTCAGCTGCAATGGTTGGGGGTTGGACTCCGTGGACGGCATTCATCCAATAATTGCTAATAGCATCTGCAACTACATCGATATGAATGCCACTCAGACCTGCCTGATAGGTTTCTTGATCTAGAGGTTCTTTCTTATATCGTTGGACCTCCATATCTAGATCGTGTATGTCCTTCCTGCACAGATAGAGAAAGGATAATCCAATTTTGCTTCAACTATACAAATAGTAATATTTGAATCAGTGCTAGGTCAGGCGCGAAAATGGACAATATCGGTTCACTCCATCAAGTACCTACACCACAAAGGGTCAAAATTTTGAATAATTATAACATTTATAAAATGTAATGTAAATATCCGATTGTCTTCAAATTACACACATCGCATTATTTTTACTAACACAAGATCTTCAATCCATTCCTTCTGGTACCTCGCCCACAAAGGGTCAAAATTTTGAATATCCACGTAAAGCTCATAAAACGCGAAATTAACATCCAATTCCATTCAGACTTGGCACATCTCAATATTTCTATCAACACAAGATCTGTTATAAAGATGGTAGAGATTGGACCACTTCTTCTGGTACCTCCCCCACAAAGGGTTAAAGTTTTGAATAACCAAAACGATTATAAAATCTGAAATAAGCTTCTGATTCTCTTCATATTTCTCACATCCCATTATTTCTATTAAGACAAGATCTTCTGTGGAGATGGGCAATATCGATCCACTCCATCTGTTACCTCCCCCACAAAGGGTCAAAATTTTGAATATCAATGAAGCTTATAAAAAAGGCGAAATTGACATCCGATTCCATTCCGACTTGGTACATCTCAATATTTCTATCGACACAATATATATTATAAAAATGGTACCGATTGGACCATTCCTTCTGGTGCCTCCCCCACAAAGGGTTATATTTTTGAATAACCAAAACGATCATAAAATCCGAAATAAGCTTCCGATTCTCTTCATATTTCACACATCACATTATTTTATTAAACTCAAGGACTGGTGGGAAAATGGAATATATCGATCTACTCCTTCTTGCACCTCCCCCACAAAGGGTAAAAATTTTGAATATCGAAGAAGCACTTAAAAAATGCGAAATTAACAACCGATTCCATTCAGACGTGGCACATCTAAATATTTCTATCAACACAAGATCTGTTATAAAAATGGTAGCGATTGGACCATTCCTTCTGGTACCTCCCCCACAAAGGGTTACAGTTTTGAATAGCCAAAATGATTTTTATAAGAGTATTCAATTGCTTATATCCGTCTTCTTTTTTTTTTTTCTTCTGAATATTTTTGGCATGATGATGCTGATGAAAACCATTCGATGAAACCCCATGTGCAGTTTGTTTCTAGAATTTTGTGCCTTGCCCGAACGTAAACAAATATGCCCATATCTATCTTCACAACTAATAAACAACTACAAGTGTATATCTTGTATAAACAAACTAGAGCACAACAGACGCCGCCGCTATGTGTTGAAAACTGGAAACGATTTATGAAGGTGAATAAGTATTCAAACAATTGTAAATTTGTTTTAGAATGAATGCAAAAATACGTGGTGTATTGTAACCTTGGCTTCTGAAACACAAACTTTTGTTTTGATATGATATGCTGGCTTTTGAATGTCAGGAAGTTGTTTGGTCAAGGATAATGGTTAGAGGTCGATTAGGAGATTTGAATCTGTAATATGTCAGTTATGGCTAGATTCTAGGAACTTTTGCAAGACCTTTCTTTATACACTTGCTAGCCTTCTCTAGATTTGCAAAATTTTCACAGATCTTTAATAGGTGTAAGGTCTACATATACCCTTTCTCCAATTGACCTTGATAGTGGAAAAAAGTACATGATATTTGTGCTCTCCTGTGGTGTTAATTAGAACATGCAACATCCAGATTTGTTTGTTTTATCTTTGCTTGTTTTGCAACAAACATACACACTGATGCTATCCACTAAATATTTGTTGAACTTACAGCAGACTGGAATTGTGAAGCATCTGAACAATCTCTCCAATTTCCGAGAGTTTCTCTTGCGGTATATTCAGCCAATAGTTAAAGGCCAAGGATAGCTGGGAACGGAATTGTTTTCCGGGAATTTGTTGGATGTAGGTGAAGGGTTGCAGCAAGATCTGAAATAGAAAAGAAAACATCAAACAGCAAATAAGTACGAACATCGTAGTAACAACAAATAAAACAAACAATAAGTAGTGACCTCTGGCCTACCTCATCTTGTTCCCGTTGTGTTGATTTGTCCCTAGTCATTTCTAAAATCTCATTTAACTCTTCCATGTTGATGAAATAAACAAATACACACAGGCACGTACAACTGGTAGCCAAATAGTCCGACAATTATTTGTATGCTGCTACTATTGTTTATCCGCCGTTTTTCGTTTTTCCGGGAATTCTCGTCCCAGACTTGTTAAGTTCTTGTTGGATTGTGTGCTTGGTATGGCAAGTATGTTGTTGGAAGAATTCTACTTTTTGATTCTGTTGCCATTACATTCACTTTGAAGTGATAGCACCGTATTAAATGAGATGCCAGATTGGAATGATGCCACATTGGTATTTAATGTAAATAAAAGCAGCTTAGCATTGTCGCATCGACACAGCTGATGGGGCAATGAACTGTCAAATCAATTTTGAAATTGAAAATTTTCAATTAAAATTGGTGCAAATTCGATAAAATTGTTGAAAAATGCATATCACATAACATAAAAATTTACTCATATTTGAAAAAAAAAACATTTCAAAACTTTTGACATATCAATGTTTTCAAATCGTTGATGAATCTATGTGTATTCTTCTGCCTTTTTAGAATTTGATCGCGATACGCCTCGAGGGTTCAGAAACAAATGTATATATTCATGCTGATGCATAAGATCTTTTTGACAATTAAGCTATAACTCGCTCAATTTTAGTCCGATCCGTTGCAAATTCAGGTTATTTTGTTTTTGTACAGAGGATATTGCTAAAAAAAACCTATGGTTGGATGGTTTAGAAAACCTGGTCGGTTTAACTTGTAAATTTCATAACATATACCTCAAATAAATCTTCATAAAGAACAAAATCCATTAAAAATTCTGTTGAAATCCTAAAAATAATGAATGTAGCCGTTATTTTAGGGACTATACGACGACGTGGACCCGCATAGGCAACGTTTGTCATAAGCCATTACAATATTCAAATACGAAATTTGAAAATAAATTTAGCTAAAATCATCAAAATAGCGAATAAAGGGGGTACCATTATATATGGGCTATACGAAGACCCGGACCTGCATACACAATTTTCTGTCACAGGCTGTAGTACCTATAATGAACTTCAAATACCAAATTTGAAACAATTCCGGGGAATAATATCGGTAAAATCATCAAAATACCGAATATGAGGTACCATTCAATGGGGGCTATACGAAGACGTGGACCTGCACAGTCAATTTTCTATCAATTTTCATTTTCAATTTTCAATCGCTAAATCTACATATAATTTTATGCTCATCAGGGATATATATACTTTGTGGGGTCTAAAATGTATTTTTCGAGGTGTGACAAACGGAATGACAAACTTAATATACCTTCCATACTATGGTGGATGATTTGAAAAATAAAAAAAAATTAAATTTTATTTGCTTATGATAACACATTCAAAGATGCATTATTTTCCTTGCAGAATGTCACCTATATCTCTATATTCGTTAAATATCGCAAATACATTAATTTATATTTTTCTAAAACACTTGGCGCTTTTACGCCAATATCCCTTATGTTTTCTGTCACACCATCAGCTGTTGCAATTGACAGCTCACAGGGTGACACAGGGTGTTTCACATAAAAAACTGTGCACAAAAACAACTTGATTACTCTTCACCTACATTAGACGTGTCAACAACGGGCAAGTGTCAAATATTCAACATTTGGGGAGCAAAACACAATTTTCTCCCACAAAAAACACACAAATAAGTGAAATTTATTAAAAGAAAAAACCATAACTGGAAAATGGCTGCAGCTGTTCCAGTCCGCACCAATTGGCATCCGGCCATGAAACACAGTGATATGGAAAGGTAATGCTAATTTATTCTGTTTGTGCAAGACATAAATTTCACATTTGTTGTTTTTGTTTTTTTCTTTGCAGATGGATTTGCATTTACCCAGCCTACATCAATAGCAAGAAAACGCGACAGGAAGGCCGCCGTTTACCCAAAGAAAATTGTGTGGAAAATCCAACATATGCTGAGATACGTGATGTTCTGTCGGCCAGTCAAATCCGGGTGGCTGTGGAGAACAAACAGTATTGCCGCGAGAAAAGTAGGGTTAGTATCGAGTTGCAATGGGGAAACTATGGGTTGAATTGGGATCCAAAGGTGTTGGAAAAGTGGGATTTGAAGGAAAAGGATTAAAGAACTTATACAGAACTGCTATTAGTAGAAAACCTTTTATAGGCTATTTTATAAACAGCAGACTTTCCAAAGTACCTCTGTAGGTAGGAGACATTTATAAGCAATAATGATCTGTAATGGGCTTCTCACATAGGGAAACCCTTCCAGGTTCCTCCATTGCTATTAGCTTTGAAGAAGTTTTAAAAAAATATGTCTTCTGGGGGGTTTCTATGAATTTATTACTTTTTAAAGAGCTTCGATCGATAGAAGGAAGACTCTTTAAAGGATTTGCCTTCTATGTCGATTTAGCAGTGTCCGTCCGTCTGTGGAAGTCACTCTAGCTTCCGAACGAAATGAAGTATGTTGATAAAATGTTACTCAAACGTATATTATGTCTGCAGGACTTTTCGTATTAAAAATGGGACATATAGGTCCACGTTGTGGTATAGCCCCCATATGGTACCTTCCGATATTCGGAATTGTTTCAAATTTGGTATTTGAAGTTCGTAATAGATACTACAGCATAAGACAAAAAATGGGCCATGTAGGTCCACGTCTTCGTATAGCTCCCATATAACGGTTCCCCCCGATATTCGGTATTTTGATGATTTTAGCGACATTATTTACCGGAATTGTTTTAAATTTGGTATTTGAAGTTCGTAATGGATACTACCACCTATGACTAAAAATTGCCTATACAGGTATCCGTCTTCGTATAGCCTCCATATAACAGTACCTCCCGATATCCGCTCTTTTGATGAATTTGGCGACATTATTGTCTCAAATTTGGTATTTAATGTTCGTAATGGATACTACAGCCTAAGACAGAAAATTGTCTGTGCAGGTCCACGTCTTCGTATAGCCCTCATATAACGAAACCTCCCGATATTCGGTATTTTGATAAGTTTAGCGACATTATTCATCGGAATTGTTTTAAATTTGGTATTTGAAGTTCGTAATGGATACTACAGCCTAAGACAGAAAATTGTCAGTGCAGGTCCAGGTCTTCCTATAGCCCCCATATAACGGAACGGTACAGCCTTTGATATAAGGCACTCTATAGTCAGTATAAAGACCATTTTTTGAAGGAGTACACCAGCGGTTTGATATAAGGCACCCTAAAATCATAAAGTTGTTGGTAAAAACCCAAACACGGGATGTCGATTAGAGCTTTTCTTTACGCGGAGAGACCTTCTATCAATGGAACACCTTCAAGAGATCGTCCTGAGGTCTTTTTTTAACATTTCTTCTTAAAAAAAGGTTCAATCACCCACAAAACCCAGCTCCCTTTTGGACAAATTAAAATATTCTAAATATATTTTTTTCTTTCTTTTCCAGGAACTGCAATACCGTGGCCGAATTCGTGTTCAGCTGCGCAACGATGATGGCTCGTTCTGTAATCCCGAATTCACCAGTCGTGAGGCATTTATGCTGCATGTTGCAAGTAGAATACCCCAGCTGAAGAGTCGTCAGGCTCGGCCAGGCGGTGAAGCACCACAGCAGGCCCAGCATCAACAGAGTACCTCTGGCGGTGGTGGTGGTGGCGGCGGCAAGAAGGGCAAGGGCAAGAGACGCTAAGCGCAGTGTGGCCATGAACAACTTCCCATTCTTTACATTCTTTTGTTATTATCCGGCATAATAGATTGATTTTGAAAAATACAAAATTTTTAGATTTTTTTTACAAAAAAAGAAGAAGAAGAAGAAGAAAATGGAATTGAGTGAAATTTTACAAGGAATGAAAGTGGAAAAAGGAAAGGAGGAGAGTAATGAAGGATAAATGATTTAATATTCGATGGAAACGAGTTTTTTTTCAAAAGATTTTAAATTAAAGATTGAGTTGATGAGGCAGCTCACGCTTGGAGGAATCAGGAAATGGAGAATGAACTCAAAACTTTTCGTTGGGATTATGTCTAATTAGAAAAAAGAAGATTCTTCCCTCCTCAAATGGATGTAAAGCTTCCAAAGAGGCAGTAATAGGATATAAAAGGCTATACAAGGGAAAAGCTAATAGGTTCTCGTAAAATAATCTTCCAATAGACAGTCGTAAGAGGTGAACGGCTATGCTAGTCTGGGAATTTCTACAAATGTTCCATGGAAAAGAGGAAGGCAGATGTGGTGTGGAAGAATCAGAGAAAGGGGAATGAACTCAAAACGCTTTGTTGAGATTATGTCCAAGTAGAACAAGTAAAAAAGCTGTATGCTCGGCCGGGCCTAACTTTGAATACCCTCCAGCATTTGGAACGAATTTGGGAATTCTCAAAAACAATAAAATCCGTTAAAAATTCTATTAAAATCTTAAAAATACCGAATGTAGCTGTTATATTAGGATCTATACGACGACATGGACCTGCATCGGTAACTTTTGTCTTAAGCCATTTCAATATTCAAATGCGAAACTTAAAAAAATCGGTAATAATGTAGCTAAAATCCTCAAAATACCGAATATCGGGAGTTGCCGTTATATGGGGGCTATACGAAGACATGGACCTACACAGACAATTTTCTGTCTAAGGATGTGGAATTCAATACGAACTACAAATACCAAATTTTAAACAATTCCGATGAATAATGTCGCTAAAATCATCATAATACCGAATATCGGGAGGTACCGTAATATGGGGGCTATACGAAGACGTGGGCCTGCACAGACAATTTCCTGTGATAGGCTGTAGTATCCATTACGATCTTCGAATACCAAATTTGAAAAAATTCCGGTGAATAATGTAGCTAAAATCATCAAAATACCGAATATCGGGAGGTATCCTTATATGAGGACCTATACAAAGACGTGGACCTGCACAGAAAATTTTCTGCCTTAGGCTGTAGTATCCATTACGAACTTGAAATACCAAATTTGAAACAATTCCGGTGAATAGTGTCGCTAAAATCATCAAAATACCGAATATCGGGAGGTTCCGTTGTATGGGGGTTATACCAAAACGTGGACCTACATGGCCCAATTTTCAATAGCAAAAGTCCTTCAGACATAATAAACATTTGAGTAAAATTTTATCAACCTACTTCATTTCGTTCGGAAGCTAGAGTGATTTCCACAGAGGGACAGACGGACGGACATCGCCATATCTACATAGAATTTTATGCTGATCAAAAATAAATAAACTTTGTGGGGTCTAACATGTATATTTCGAGGTGTTAAAATCAGAATGACAAACTTAATATGCCCTCCATACTATGGTGGAGGGTATAAAAAGGAAAGAAGTTTCTTTCTTAGAGCTTTCAAAAAGAAAGTGGTAGCAGATGAAAGGCCATGCAAATTTTGTACCTAAATAAAAGTGGCCGATTTAAATATTTCGAATGACTTGAGCTCGTCTCCATAATTGTGGGAATATTGCAACGACAGTCTCTAGCCTCTCCCAAGACCTCAAAGCTCCTATTTCTAAAAATTTTAAAAATTAATTTCATTTTGAGTCTCCAACAATCCAAGCTCCTGGTGTAGAAGCACTCCTAGTGACATCATCCGAAATTCCTCTCAAAACTGACCCAAATATTTCTCAAATCCCATTATGTCTATCTTCAAGTTTCAGTCCAAATTTTCTTTGGAATCTCTGACACAATGCAACTGGCTTCCAATGGCATAGCTCAAATCAAGCTCTCTCAAGTTCTACTGCAAATAAGTGACGCAAAAATTCATTGAATAAAAATGCTACCGAACTTTGCTATGTCAATGTCACGGCACCGACAGATGTGTGTTTGTTACACAAATTCCAAAACATGTTATGACAAAAAAAAAAAAAAAAAAGAAAACCGACAACAATGTTCAAGAACATGAAAGAAAATATGCCAGAGCTGGCTGGTTTTAAATTTTCTTCTTGATAAGCTGGCAGTGAAAATGAAAAGTGCTGACTCAACACTACTCAGTTGGGTTGAGAAGAACAAAAAAAAATTTTAAAAAAATAATACCCTACAACAGGGGAATACCCTATGCATGAGAAATTGAGATTGGAAATTTTCTTTTCAAAAAATATGGATCCCAATGGAACTGATTTAAAAAAAGTCTTAGGAGAATGAAACTCTATTTGAGAAAATATTTTCTCCGTGGGACTGTCCCATGACCCATAGGATAAGTTTTTGCCAGAGGCATAAAATGAATTAGAACTTAAGCCAATTCAACTATTTTGATCCAGGCTATCCCCTATCAATTTTCCCAATCTTGGAGGTTGAAAAAAATCGAAAAAACAGGTGTAGGTAAATTTTTTATACCTTCAGCCATAGGGCTACAGAGGGTATATATCATTTGATACGGTCAAAACGTGACTCATCAAAATAACGGTTTCAGCCCCTAGGTCTCTTTGGATCAAATTCGTTTCAGGACATTTGAAGTCGATCTAGAGGTGCCCGTGTGTCCGTCCGTATGCCAGTCTGTCTTGTTGGTGCACTCGATAACTCTCAAAGGGAGTATCCGATTTGTTCCAAACTTGGTACATCGCAATATTATCATCAAACTTAGATCGAGTTTGGAGATGGGCAACATCGGTCCATTCCTTCTGGTACCTCCCCCACAAAATGTCAACATTTTCAAAGAAAATAATTTACTGCACAGAAAGAGAAAGTATAATCCGATTTTGCTCCAACTTTGCAAATACTAATATATTTGTCAGTCCTAGACCTGGTGCGAAAATTGACAATATCGGTTCACTCCATCAAGTACCTCCCCCACAAATGGTCAAAATTTGGAATAATTATAACTCTTATAAAATGTGATGTAAGTGTCCGATTGTCTTCAAATTCCACACATCACAATATTTTTTATAACTCAAGGTCTGGTGTGAAGATGGGATATATCGCTCCACTTCCTCTGGTACCTACCCCACAAAGGGTCAAAATTTCGAATAATTATAACTCTTATAAAATGTGAAGTAAGCATCAGATTATCTTCAAATTTCACCTACCCTAATATTTCTATCAACACAAAACCAGGTGTGAATATGGAATGTGTCGGACCAATCCTTCTGGCCTCTCCCCCACAAAGGGTCAAAATTTGTAATATCCTTGATGCTCATAAAACGGAAAAATAACCTTCGATTCCATTCAAACTTGGTACATCTCAATATTTCCATCAATGCAAAATCTGTTATAGAGATTGTAGAGATCGGACCACTCCTTCTGGTACCTCCCCCCCAAAGTGTCAACATTTTGAATATCCATTAAGCTCATAAAACGTGAAATTAACATTTGATTCCATTTAAACTTGGTACATCTCAATATTTCCATCAACGCAAGACCTGTTATAAAGTTGGTAGAGATCGGACCATTTGTTCTGGTACCTCCCCCACAAAGTGTCAAAATTTTGAATAACCAAAACGATTATAAAATCGGAAATAAGCATCCGAATCTCTTCATATTTCACACATCTCATTATTTTCACTTACACAAGATCTGCTGTGAAGATGGGATATATCGGTCCACTCATTCGGGTACCTCCCCCACAAAGTGACAACATTTTGAATATCCATTAAGCTCGAAATTAACATCTGATTCCATTTAAACTTGGCACATCTCAATATTTCCATGAACGCAAGATCTGTCATGAAAATGTTAGAGATCGGACCATTCCTTCTGGTACCTACCCCACAGGGGGTCAAAATTTTGAATAACCAAAACGCTCACAAAATCGGAAATAATCATCCGATTCTCTTCATATTTCACACATCCCATTATTTCCACTTACACAAGATCTGCTGTGAAGATGGAATACATTGGTCCACTTCTTCAGGAACCTACCCCACAACGGGTCAAAATTTTGAATATCCATGAGGCTCATAAAACGCGAAATTATCATCCAATTATTTTCAGACTTGGCGCAACTCAATATTTCCATCAACACAAGATCTGTCATAAAAATTATAGAGATCGGACCATTCCTTCTGGTACCTCACCCACAATGGGTCAACGTTTTGAATAACCAAAAACGATCTTAAAATCCGAAATAAGCATCCGTTTCTATTCATATTTCACAATTCCCAATATTTCAATAAACACAAGATCTACTGTGAATATGGGACGTATCAGTCCACTCCTTTTGGTACCTTCCCCACAAAGGGTCAAAATTTTGAATATTCATGAAGCTCATAAAACACGAAATTAATATTCGATTCCAAAACACGAAAAAATTGATTCTTAAGGTGCAACACCCCATCCCCCGCAATGTTGTCGAAATGCACCCCTGGACACGTCACTGGTGAAGGGTATACAAAATTCGGATTGGTACGTATTTTGCAATTTTTTCAGATTTTCAATTTTTTTAATGTGTTTTCTTTTTTTGCAGATAAAAGAATATCCAAAACACAACAACAACAAACTTCAAGTATAAATAGTTGATTCTTAAAATTCAAAACGTTTCGGAAAACAAATTTCACAGCGCAAAAGAGAATGTAAACCAACGGTTGCTGGCAGCAAAGCGGCACAAAACTGAGAAAAAAAGAGGAGGAGGTTAACGAAAACAGGCCATGACGGTTGTAAGCAATAGGCAGCTGTATATTTATACCATTGGATTGCTGATCGTGTGGGTGATTGTGCTGACAACGGCCAGTAGTAGTGCCGGTGGAGGCAATCTCCGATCCCTTCAACTCCTTGAGGAGGATGAAAAGAAAAACATCAAAAATTGCCAGGCGCTGTGTGAGCACTGCGGCTGTTTGAATTTCTATTGTGGCGAGGAGTGTTTGTGTGAGTGTAACGAGGAGAATTCCAACAGCAAATGTATTTTGGAAATGCAAAAGAATGCCAGGATCAAAAAAATGCCATTTGAGCTACTGATCCAGGGACCATCGTTGAATGAATTCGTAAAAAATGCCTGGAAATATGAAGAGAGGAAATTTGGTGGTGGCCATCAGGGGAGGAACTTAGTGCAAAGGAGACGCTCAACGGTGACCATATATCGGCCAGATGTGAATAGCAGTGTAATGAGTAAAACCAAGCTGTTGAGTGACATCAAAATCAAGGGCTTGGGGGAGAGGACGAAACGTGAGGCAGGAGCCAGCCAAGATGAAAATAATAGCAATCATCATCAGTTTGAATGGTTCAGTGATTTGACCCATAATCTAGTAAAACCCGCCCCTTTGGGAGGACGTAACCGAAAGCAGGAGGAACTCCCGCCACAGAGAACGGAAAAACCCAAGGTTAGCAAAGTCTCGACGGGTTTGGATAAATCATGGTTTATGGATAGCATACCCAACATTTTAACGCCTGCTCCGCTCTCCAAGCGTTTGGGTGGCTCTCTCCTTGGGGACACTAGCTCGGAGGATAAAAATGAACAAGAAATGCCCGGAAGGACTTCCAAGTCGACATTGTTTTCCCAACCTCAGGATAATTTAAAGAACTTGGGTAAGGAACTGGCCAATGCCTTGGGTTTGAGGCAGCAAAAAATCAAAGAAGACAACGACGATGTAGAGGAGGACAAAAATGAACCATCGAAGAAAAATCTATCGGCTCAAATCTTTCGCCGCAAATTGGAGGAAATTGGCCGGGAACGAAAAAACAAAGAAAAAGAGGAGGAGTTCAGGAGAAAAATGGCTGAATTTAGGAACCCCAAAGCAAATAGAAATCCGCGAAGGAAGGAACAGCAATCGTTACGTTCCAAATTATTCAAAACAATTCAGGAAGATGATGAACAAGAAGAAGAGGAGGACGATTTGGTCTCGGGTGATAACAAGGAAGGGGAAGTTGGGGCAGAAAAGCCTTTGGAAGAAAGACAGCCACTATTTCGCCTACCCTGGTGGCAGCCGGAACGTTTCTTTCGCAAAGTTCAATATGTTTTGAAGACATAGAAGGATTGGAGTTTGATTTTTTTAAAGATTAAAGATTAAAGAGAGGCAGCCACTATTTCGCCTACCCTGGTGGCAGCCGAAAAATTTCTTTCGGAAAGTTCAGTATGTTTTGAAGCCATAAAAGGATTTTAGTTTCACTTTTTTTAATTTTAAATATTTAAAATTTCCAATTATTATTTTTTTTTTAATTTTTAATTACAAATTTAATATTTTGATTTTTTTTAATTTCTTTAATTTAATTATGAATTAAATTATTTATGATATTCAATTATTCAAATCAATTTTTAATAATTCAATTTTTATAATTTTTAATTACAAATTTAATATTTTGATTTTTTTTAAAATTGTTTATTTTCATTATGAATTAAATTATTTATGATATTCAATTATGTATTTAAATATTTGAAATTTTTTTTTATTATTAATTTATTATTTTTTTTTAATTTTCAATTCTAAAATGTATTATTTTATATTTGTAATTTTTAATTATGAATTTAATATTTTTTATAATTTTCAATTCAAAAATTTATTATTTTAGATTTTCGAATTTTACATTTAATTATTTATAATTTTTAATAATTTATGGAATATATATTTTTATAAGTTTGCTATAAATTTCAAGCTCTCTGGTGTCGTACTGACCCTCCGATAGCAATTAGAACACAAAATATTTGTAATTTAGACTAGAATTTGAAATCCAAAAATTTTTTTGAGGTTAAAAAGGATCAATGATGAGGATTTCGATCTCAATTTTTTTATTTTTGAATATTATTATTTATGTAATTTAAATTCCAGGCCAATAATAATTAAATAAAACTTAGTCAAATAAGAATTAAATTATTATAATTTTTAAATTACAAATTTAATATTTTTAAAATGTTTACACCCTCCACCATAGTACGGAGAGAACTGGGTGAGATAAAAAAAAACTGCAACAAGTCAAACGCCATAATTTTTACATTTTTTATACCCTACACCACAAGGTGGTCAGGGTATTATGTCTTTGTGCATTTGTTTGTAACAGGCAAAAGGAAACGAGATAGACCCATAATAGTTCCTTTTGATCATCTGCATAGAATCACATTCTGAGTCGATGTATGCATGTCCGTCCGTCCGTCCGTCTGTCCATGTATTTTTGTAAACAAAGTACAGTTCGCATTTATTGCCCTATCCAGATAAAATTTTGCACAAATCATTTGTTTGGCCCAAGGACGAACCCTATTGAAATTGGAGATAATCGGTCAAAATTTAGATATAACTCCCATATATATCTTCGTCCGATTTGCCTTTTATTGTGCACCAAACGTGTAATATCAGCCCGAATAGTATGGAATTTTGCACATACAATCAAATTAGGCCTGAAAATAAGTATGCCAAATTTGATCGAAATCGGTTCAGATATAGCTATAGCTCCCATGCATATTGTTCATCCGATTTGTTATTTTTGCCCTCCGCAGCCGTAATATGCACTCTGTAACAACAATATTTGGGGAAATATATCAAATATAGCTCAGAAATACATTTGCTAAATTTTATCGAGATCGGTTCAGATTTGGATATAGCTCACATATATAACTTCGTCCGATTTACCTTTGATTGTGCACCAAACGTCTAATATTTGCCCAAAATGGATGAAATTTGGCACTTACGACCGAAAAGCTAGTATGTCAAATTTGGTGAAGATCGGTTCAGATATAGCTATAGCTCCCATATATATTGTTCATCCGATTTGTTATATTAGTTACCCACAGCCGTAATATGAACTCCGTAACAACGATATTCAGGGAAATATATCAAATACAGCTCAGAAATATCTTTGCCAAATTTTATCGAGATCGGTTCCGATTTGGATATAGCTCCCATATATATTTTTATCCGATCTCAAAATAATTGTGCACCAAATGGGCAATACAAGTCCGAATTTTAAAGATACAAATGCTTCGGCATATTTAGTCCTTTGGACTTTAAATTATAATTATAATTAAAATTATATATAATTATAATTATGATTATAATTATAGCGTGTATGATTGAATTCTCCCATAAAAACTTTTAATTGTTATGTGGAGCTCTACTAAATTAGCAAAGTGGTGTAGGGTATCATAAAGTCGGCCCAGCCCGACTTTAAGACTTTCTTTACTGTTTTTTTAAATTTTATTGAATGAAAGCAAAAAATGTCGGACATAGCATAAAATTTTAGAATAAGTTTAGATTTCTTTAGATTATTCGGCGGTTCACCACTTTCGGCCAAGCGAAGCAACTCTTTAGCTCTTTTGAATCAATTTTCTTTCTGTTGCCTTCAAACGGCCAGTGAAACACGCGTCACACGCTGCCCGAATGTTGCTCTGTGGTATTTTGGGCCATTCCCGGCGAAGCGCTTGCTTGAGGTGGTCGACACTTTGGTATTAGTTTAGTGCCAACCTTGCTTTCCAAAAAAAAAAACTTCAGACACAATAGTCCAACGGATTGGTATCCGGAGTGGATTTTGGTGGCCATTGTGGGCTGGAAATGAAGCGAGGAACCTCATTTTGTAAACATTCTTGGGTGGCGCGTGTGGAGTCCTGTTGGAATGTCCAATGTTTGCGGCCAAAATGTTCGCGTGCCCAAGGCTTTCCAGAATATTTTCGCGATAATATTGGGCATTTATTCTGATGACACGGTCGATAAATACGAGTGGCGACGACACACCATCATCATGGCCGGCACTTGACTTCTGGTGGCCAACCGAAGGTGTACAAAAAACTGCAACCAACTTCAGACTGCTGTCATTTCTAAACCACTCGTCCGACAGCTGTTAAAATTATTCCAGTGACAGGTCATTATATTGTTTACAAGCGCACAAACGCATTTCGGCGGGAATTTTGCAGAAAAAAAGTTATTCGTGATGGAATTCAAGCGTGATAGCGTGATTTCTTTGTATTTGGCTGGAAAACAACAAGTGGCTATCATTAGAGCACTCCAGCATTTTAATGTGAATGAATATTTTGTGTCTCGTACCATCGACGCTCGATACCGTGATACTGGTAGCGTAGCCCGACGTCTGTGTTGCGTTGATCGAAATTTTGGGATGTCATGAATGGAATCGGATGATAATTTCACGTTTTATAAACTTCATGAATATTGAAAATTTTAACCCTTTGTGGGGGAGGTACCAGAAGGAGTGGACCGATATGTTCTACCTTAACATCAAATCTTGGGTTTATGAAAATATTGGGATTTGTGAAATTTTAAGACAATCGGACTCTTACATCACATTTTACAAGACTTATAATTATTCAAAATTTTTACCCTTTGTGGAAGAGGTACTCTATGGAGGGGACCGACATTATCCATTTTTGCAGCTGGCGTAGAACTGACGCATATATTAATATTTGCAAAGTTGGAGCAAAACCGGATTGTTGCTTCTCTTTCTGTGTAGAAATTTTTTTTTTTTGAAAATTTCGTTATTTTGTTGGGCAGGTACCAGAAGGAGTGGACCGATGTATTTCATCTTAACATCAGACCTTGGGTTAATATAAATATTGGATTGTGTGAAATTTGAAGACCATCGGACTCTTACATCACATTTTATGAGCGTTGTAATTATTTTAAATTTTGACGCTTTGTGAGGGAGGTACCAGAAGGAGTGCACCGATATTGTCCATTTTCACACCTGATCTAGCACTGACGCAAATATTAGGTTTTGCAAAGTTGGAGCAAAATCAGATGATTCTTTCTCTTTCTGTGCAAAAAATATAAGTTTTGCAAAATTTTGACCTTTTGTGGGGGAGGTACCAGAAGGAGTGGACCGATATTGCCCATCTCAGAACTCGATCTAAGTTTGACAAAAATATTACGATGTACCCAGTTTAGTCCAAATTGGATACTCCCTTCGAGAGTTATCGTGTGCACCAGCCAGCCGTACAGACGTACGGACATCGCTAGATCGACTCCAAATGCCTTTTAAAAAAATCATCCGCTAAATATTTTTCATGCAGTAGAATTTGAGAAGGGAAGGGAAGTGTTAAGAATAGTAAAATTATAATTAAAATTATAATTACACATGAGGTGGCAACACTGGTGTATCTTTATGAAGAGAATTACGCTCATTAAAGGCGAGAAGGGGTAAAAAGTGATTGGTCTTGGTTTATAAGCAACCCCTTTTGCATGTCTAACTAGACCTAATTTTTTTCGCCTAAAAATTTTTTTTAGTCCTTTGCAAATCCACCTTTCTGATCGTCTAAAAAACACCACCTTAGAATCTTTCTTAAATAATCATAGTAGATCTTTTAAGAGACTCCTATTATTATTAAATAAATGGAAAAGTCAAGTTCTTTTATTTTTTATTTATTTTTATAATTTTTAAAGATTTTTTTAATTTTTATAACATCTTTTCTCTCATTTTAGTTCCCCCATAAATGCTTCCTTTTGCCACCCGATGTCTGGTCATTCACACACACCTTACTCAGCATTCCATCCAATTTAAATGACATCTTTACCACCCGCTGAATGCCAATAACTGCAGGTACGAAATTAAAATTAATTTGATTTTTTTTTTTTTGAAAAAATATATATTTTTATTAAATCGCATTTTTTGTATAAAACTTTCTCCTATTTGTTATGATTTGAATTTAGTTGAGTAGTTTTTTTTTTGTGTCATTTCGGCATGATCGACATCAATGCTGATGTGACGTCAAGCCCAGGGAGAAAATATTTTTTTCATTGTCGAGGAGTTGCCATGAATTCCAAAAAAAAAAAAACAAAAAAAGTCTAATTTGTATGCATCCCAGCTGATGGGTATGAAGCGATAAGCGAGCTGTGTTATTAATTTTTTTTTGGGTGGTTGTCTTTTGCATTTATTATCCGTAGATATTAAATACCCAAAATGGGTTTGAAATTTTTCAAAAAACACATTCAAAATAGCAATAATTTTAATGTTATGATTTATATGATTGATTATAATTACTTCCTAGATAAATGATTTTTTTTATACCCTCCACCATAGTATGGAGGGTATATTGAGATTGCCATTCCGTTTGTAACACCTGGAAATAGATATTTTAGACCCCCACAAAGTATATATATTCTTGATCAGCAAAAAATTCTATGTCGATTTAGCGATGACCATCCGTCTGTGGAAATCACTCTAGCATTCGAACG